GCAATGCATAAAATTAGAAAAATGAGATTTTAATATGCTAAATATAACAATAACTTAATAATTTCAAATACCCAGCTAAGGGTATTCTTACTATATGACCATTATTATTTTAGAAGAAACTGTAACACCATATAATATAACCTTTAAAGTTAACAATAATATAAATTGAATGATTACAAGTGTTGATCACATTAAAATGTGTGCTTTAATACATAAATACTTGCCTAGGTGAGGTTAGGTAAGAATTTTGTCTTTATTATTTTATATTTTATAATTTGTTATGCATCTTTTGAGTATGAGTTATTTCAAAGATATACACAAAGTTATGTTAAACGTCTTAATTAGAATTCATTGTCTTAGTATACAATATTTTGACATTAATTATTTAATTTGTTTTTATAATATTTAAAATAATTGACAACCTTATAAGTGAACAACATTTTGTAGTAAAAAATAATATAAAAAACATGGTTATAACCAGTCATTGGCTTTTCTTAAGTTATCATCTTTGACAATTTCTATTTACTTAATATTTCTGCCCGAAATAGCGTTAGTGTGTTAAGTGGCTTTGCAAGAATGTAAAAATACTAATCTTATGTAATCTCACACACCCATTGTGCTTTCTTGTAAATAAAAATTATTATTATTATTATTATTAGTTATTTATATAATATACTGTGAAAATATTTATGTCTTTTTCTTTACAAAATATATACTTAATGTCATTTGTAGACACACCAATGATATATAAATAGCCTTAGACTTGTAATATCCCCATTGGTCAACTATTATGTATTAGCGATAAGACCTACCATTAATGTATGATGACTTACTGTAAATATATAGCTCTTGAAATAGCACTTTCTCTGTAACTAGCTGACATTGTAACTATAAGGTGTGAAGGATAGATGAAATTGTTTATGTAATAATCTAAGATGAGGTCTGATAAAGACCTTTTGTGCCCTCTGTAATGCTTTTTGCGCTACCGCTCACAGCATGAGTATGGGGTGCACAATATACTAGCCGCCTCCGGTGGCAACAATCAAATCAAATCCTTAGACCAGCAAGTCTTCTTGAGTAAGGACAAAGTTACCAATCTCTTGTTTCTCAGACATTTAATGTTCACCAATATAGTTTTACTCAATAACTACTGCTGTAATATTTTGCAATGATAATTTGTATTTGTCTTTTCATAAAATACATATTTATTATAAGTTACAGACACAAAGAGCATATATGGCTATCAGAAAAGCCTTGCCGGTAGAGATATTTCAAAGTCCAGATTATATTGTCGAGAAAACATGACTAATGAACAAATCCACAAGGGCCGAGACGAGGGTTCGAACCTACATCCGAGAGGATCCCAGACGCTGCCTTAATCGACTGAGCTACGACATGGTAAAAACATGCCATATGTACAGTGTACATAAAGCTACATAAGTGTTCCAGAGCACAACCTGTCCCCTGGGAGGGGAGCCCCTGGAGCAAATGACTTCAAAACCACTACATAATTAGTGCCATTGTCTATCCAATATATTTTAATGAATGAATACTAACTATGAAAACTCCCTATTCATGGGATGGTTACATTTGGTTAAGGTTAGGTTAGGGAAGATGTTATTACGTTTGGCCACATTAATACGGTGTATTATTCTCAAAAATGTGAAATGCTGAATTCAAAAACTATTTGACTATCTCCTAGAATTTCATTTACGGAAAACCAAATTCTTCAGACCATTTCAAAGAAAAGTTACAAGAATGTAAGAATTCTTGAATAAAAAAACGAATTTAGCATGTACTTTTTATATACTTCTTATATTTTAAGCCAACGATTTATAACACAATAAAGTTAGAAATTGAGAACAATCTGTTTAGGACAAAGGCTCATTTGCCAGTTTAAAGTAGACTGTTACTAGCTGTAATCGTAATATGTTATCAACCATCACAGATATCTAGATAACTATCCAGGTGGTGTGAGAAATGGGGGGGGTGTCTCGTTCTAATGGATTTACTTTGTAAAGTGAGAGTTGGCTTCGTTATCGACTGACAATCCGGAAACTCAGGTTCGATTCCCAGGACAGAAATGGTTAAGTACGTTTCCTTTCACCTGTTGCATATCACATTAATCATCTGTAATGTGCCAGTTGCTAACCCCATAATCAGTAATGACACTTGCAGTCATATTAACTAACCATTCCTTTCCCCCCGTCCCATCCCAAATCCTTATCCTGATCCCTTCCAAGTGCTACACCCGGCCTGAATGGCTGAGCGCTTTCTCCCGATACTTCCTTACCTTTTCCTACATCTATAATTATAATAGTACATGTTCCCCAACGTTTATTTGCTCATTTACCCACGACTCATTTAGGAAAGTCAAAAGTATCCAGCGAGTTTCCCATCAGACCAAGTGATGATTAACACTGCAGAAGCATACAGTTCAACACAAGGCCACCTCTTGGGTGGCTTAATCATCATCAATCATAGCCTCATCTTGCAGCTACTCATGCCCGTGCCACCTCTGAGGTGGCCTAATCTTCAACAACCATCAATCGTAGCCTCATCTTGCGGCTACTCATGCCCGTGCCACCTCTGGGAGGCTTAATCATCATCAATCGTAGCCTCATCTTGCGGACTACTCATGCCGGTGGCTCAGTCTTCAACAATCAATCAGTAGCCTCATCAGTTCCTACAGGCTACAAAAGCCTGTAGGAACTTTTCCACTCCCCTCCAGCTTACGGGCTCACCATAACCCGTGCTACATGGACACTTCGTTCTGAGTAGCTAAATCTAAAACCGCAACATCCCCCCCCAGCACCACGGTCAGCACGCGATGTAACACTCCAAGAGTCTAGTTCCAGCTCTCACAAGGCGCTATATACAACCTCGCTACAGAGCTGACAGCCAATCCCGGTCTTATTCCCGCTCTGTAACCCAGGCCTCGCTCAAGCTCTAGTCCACACTCAAGCTCTACTCTTGGCTCTAGGCCTCACTCAAGCTCTACTCTTGGCTCCAGGCCTCACTCAAGCTCTACTCTTGGCTCCAGGCCTCACTCAAGCTCTACTCTTGGCTCCAGGCCTCACTCAAGCTCTACTCTTGGCTCCAGGCCTCACTCAAGCTCTACTCTTGGCTCCAGGCCTCACTCAAGCTCTACTCTTGGCTCCAGGCCTCACTCAAGCTCTACTCTTGGCTCTAGGCCTCACTCAAGCTCTACTCTTGGCTCCAGGCCTCACTCAAGCTCTACTCTTGGCTCCAGGCCTCACTCAAGCTCTACTCTTGGCTCCAGGCCTCACTCAAGCTCTACTCTTGGCTCCAGGCCTCACTCAAGCTCTAGTCTCGGCTCCAGGCCTCACTCAAGCTCTAGTCTCGGCTCCAGGCCTCACTCAAGCTCTAGTCTCGGCTCCAGGCCTCACTCAAGCTCTAGTCTCGGCTCCAGGCCTCACTCAAGCTCTAGTCTTGGCTCCAGGCCTCACTCAAGCTCTAGTCTTGGCTCCAGGCCTCACTCAAGCTCTAGTCTCGGCTCCAGGCCTCACTCAAGCTCTAGTCTTGGCTCCAGGCCTCACTCAAGCTCTAGTCTTGGCTCCAGGCCTCACTCAAGCTCTAGTCTCGGCTCCAGGCCTCACTCAAGCTCTAGTCTTGGCTCCAGGCCTCACTCAAGCTCTAGTCTCGGCTCCAGGCCTCACTCAAGCTCTAGTCTCGGCTCCAGGCCTCACTCAAGCTCTAGTCTTGGCTCCAGGCCTCACTCAAGCTCTAGTCTTGGCTCCAGGCCTCACTCAAGCTCTAGTCTCGGCTCCAGGCCTCACTCAAGCTCTAGTCTCGGCTCCAGGCCTGGCTCCAGCTCTCCGGCTCCGGCCCCGTCAGCAAGTAACAACCGTCCTCGTCTCGGCCTGTGAGGACTCCATCCTACCATTTCCAACTGCAGCAACCACGACTATATTAAACAAACCTCAAAAGCCACAACACTCCTTGGAATACCGTCACCCAGAATCGGATACTTTACACCCCCTAATGCACCTGTTCACCCAGCGGTCAAGAGGTACCCAGGAGTTAGGCAACTATTGAGAGGTTGCGTCAGTAGTTCGACCTGGAGGGACCTCGACAGGCTATAGTATATATATATATATATATATATATATATATATATATAATATATATACGAGGGATGTATACTTAGACTGCCTGACCCCAGACAAAATTAATTATTATAATACAGTGCTTGTTTTGAGCTTACATGGTGGAAGGGTGTATTGAATTTGCTGTGGAAAACTCCCTGGATGATGATAAAATTAAAACGCACATGCCTACACCAGATATACACCAACACTGGGCTGCTGTCCTTATATTGCTCCCCAATAAACTCATTCTTTGCGGGCAAATTAACAAATAAAAAATATAAATATTAATTATCTTCCTTATGACATGTTGTATAATAACATATTTGTTTTAGAACTGATTCTAGTTGCATTTAAAGTTCGTTTGACGGCAGCGAATCCGGATTTTAAAGCATCGTCTATCAGTTTATCTTGCTGCTTTTCTTGGGTTTATTAACAAGCTTAGGTATACACAGCAATGTGATGCTTCCCTATTCTATATGAAAGATTACATAGAGTAGATCAGACACTAGTTATAACTTCATATAATATCCCCATCTACTGCTGTAGCAAGTCCTAGAACCTGTTCAGAGTTAAGGAAAGCTGAGAGTAAAACTTTTTTTTAGTGTATAGAAAGGCAAGATGACAATTAAAATATTTGGTTAGCTTAGGAAAAGGGTTTTTCATGCCAGAAACGCTCTGCGTGTTAAAGGTGGTTTTATGTATTATACTTTTCTTACCTAAGAATTATCCAGTGTTCATGTACAGTATATGTATGTACTCATGCATAAATAATATACTGTATTATTATCATTATAATTATTATTATGATTATTATTTTTATGATTATTATGGGTAAGTTTGTAATTATAACAAGTTTGATCGGCGCTGAGGTGAATGCGGATTATAGGTGTGGCGAACGGTGTGGTGATGGCGGCCGCCAGTGTTGACATACAGCAGCTGCCATGATAACTTGGGCGACTTTACCGTGGGGTCGCGTCCTCAAGTGGACTACCAATTACCACAGGAAGTCGTTTCACCTCTTGTCCCGGCGCTACTCTCAAAACACGATGGGTAAAGCATATATGAAAGTCCATATAGGCCAAGCCATGTGGTAATCTATATGAATTTCAGTTTCTGGTGCTCGGCAAGATTAGCCGGGATTTAATAGTAATGTTATAATACATTGTGGCGGGGGACAGGAAGCCAGAGTGTATTCATACACGTTTCGGCTTTTATCAAGGTCCTTCCCCCCCCCTTCAGGTCGAATTACTGTCCCCCACCCAGGATACAACCTCACAACAAGCTGACTAAATCCTGAGTACCTACTCACTGCTGGGTGAACAGAGGCATTAGGTGATAGGACATGTGCCCAACAATTTCTGTTTCGCCCGGGTTTCGAACCAGGAATTCTCGATTGTGCATCGAGAGCGAACCCAACTGTACTACGTCTAATAGTCTTAACTATTAGACGTAGTACAGTAGTACCATCTCAACGTCTAATAGACGTCGAGATGTAAGTCTTGTCCTAATCACACACTTGGACCGTGACCAAGCACTCGGGAGAATGCGAAAGACTGTGTAAATTCTTTACATAAATTTCCTAAATACACAAGTGTGGGGTTTTTATCTTAAATAATAATAATAATAATTTTAGACAAAAGTACATAACAAATCCACAAGGGCCGTGACGAGGATTCGAACCTGCGTCCGGGAGCATCCCAGACACTGCCTTAATCGACTGAGCTACGACAGGGTTAAAAGGTTTGTGCCTCGGAGAGGCTACGGGATCCAGTAAGTTCAGTAGAACTTCGGTTTCAACCCTTTTAACCCTGTCGTAGCTCAGTCGATTAAGGCAGTGTCTGGGATGCTCCCGGACGCAGGTTCGAATCCTCGTCACGGCCCTTGTGGATTTGTTCATTTGATGCATCACGTTAGTGTGATCTCTGTGTGTGAGTTTGGAGGCCTGGTCGACGACCGGGCCGCGGGTACACTAAGCCCCGGAAGCACCTCAAGGTAGCCACCTCAAGGTGTGATCAAAAGTACATACATAAATAAGATTCAAGAACAGTGTAAGATTCGTAGGTAAGGCAAGAACACTGCCTGAAGTCACTAATACTGTATGCAGAGCATTTAGGGCATAATGTGGGAAAAAATGGTGAACCACATAAAAGCTCAATGGGACAACTTGAAACTAAATGAGATCAGAAACATTTCTGAATTGAAGTAGAGAAATATAAATAAAATGACAAGATGTGATGATTGGAACTGCAAAAATTGCACCAGAACAACAGTAATTTTCACAGAATAAACAGATAGTATTCAAACATGTATACAAATTTTAAACCAGCAAATATCAATAACAGTGCAGGAATGGCAGCAAAACATAGGTTGACATTTAGGAAGTAAAGTTGCTTGCATAGAGTTAATCAGGTAGTTCTTAGCTTTTCTTTTAAACTAGAGAAGAACAGTCTTTGATGTGATTTGGTAGGTCATTCTGCATTTTGTGGCCCTTGATTTGCAAAGCATTTCTGCTTTGGTTAAGTCACACTCTTGGAATACCAAAAAGATATTTATTTCTAAAGTGGTGCCCATGGTTTCTATTACAGCTCTCTAGAAAGTGCTTAAGGTTGGGATTAGCACTGCAGTTGTTTCATATACAGTATATAGAGTACACTTGAGAGGATGTGCAGTGAATTAATACACTGTATTTAACATGCTTAAAAGATTTAAGTATGGGAACCAAGTGCTATCTAGGGCTTGAGTTTGTCATTGGTCTAATTGCTGATTTGTTGAGTAATTAGGGGTTGAAGATAATTTTGGGTAGTAGAACCCCAGGCACAGGTGCCATAGGTGAGATAAGGATAGATGAGCGTGTATTAAAGTGCTACCAGGGCAAGGCAAGGTACATAGTACTGTGTCTGATTTTAAAAAGAATGCCAACTGTTTTAGATTTTTTTTTCTATGTTTAGTATATGGCACTGTCTATGTTTAGTATATGGCCCTGGAAATTCAACTTGTCATCAATGAGAACACTGAGAAGTTTACCATTTAATTTGGATGATGTTAATTCTTAGGTTAATTTGATCAGTGGATTTATTACCAAACAAAGGTTTTATCAATATTATGGGCGAGTTTGTTAATGGTTAGTCAAAGGTAGGTTTTTTTAAATTCAGTCCTCGCTGTGTCATTTGAATAAGGAGGTTAGGATTGGAAAAATGAAGGAAGAAAATTTTTTTTTAGGAAAAAAATCCCTCGGAAAAATCTAAGAGATCCATAACCTCTAAACCTATTGTATTAACTAATGTAAATCTTGTAACCTTTAAATATCTAATAAAGCATAACAAAAGACAAAAGGAAGGAGTTGGAGAAAAGCACACAGAAACTGTATTGGAGCGGACCTAAACATTCCCTCTAATGTGTTATGTGTGATTTCCTCTGAGGCTAAGGGTCCCCTTCTTCCAGCTTGAGGTGATACTTCCTTCCATATTTAAAAAAAAAAGTATACATTTTTTGTTTATTTACATATATGAGTTCTTACACTCTTGTAAAGCCACTAGCATGCATAGTGTTTCGGGCAGGTCCTTAATCCTAATTTTCCCCGAAATGCGACCCACCAAATCGTTCAACAACCAGGTAAGTACCCATTCAATGCTGGGTGAACAGAGGCTTCAGTTAAGGATTGACGCCCGGTCAATCCTCCCCAGCCAGGATACGAACCCAGGCCAAAGCGCTCGCGAAGCGCCGAGCGAGTGTTTTACCACTGTGCCATGGGGACTGCTTAGTACTGTATAATGCACACCATGTATTTATTTATACTATACTAATATACATATATTTATAAGCCTAAATCTTATAATTACACATAGCACATAATTTACCTGTAAATATACATATACAGTGGCACCTCGACTTACGATAATTTCGAGTTACGATGTAAGTGTGATCGAAAAATGCGACTCGACTTATGATAGTGTGGTCGACTAACTATATTTCTTGGTACACGTTTGGGTCGACCGAGCATGTGGTTCCTGGTTACGTGGGCTGACCTGCCTCAGTTTACTAGAGCTGCCCGCTTAGTGACAATCACGCCTATAAGAAAGTTAGTTTTTGTGGTGATTTTGTGCTTTTTGAACATAAAACTGATTATTATATATCATGCCATGGGTCCCAAGAAAGTCAGTGGTAAGGTTCAACATATGAAAAGACATGTAAGAATGACCATAGAGGAAAACAAGAGGTCATATGTAAACATGAAAATGGTACAGGTACTAGTGTTGTTGAACTAGCTAGGTAGTACTGTACAATAAATCTTCAGAGGAGGCGGCGGCGGCATTAGAGGATGTCCCTTATTAATTAAGAAAATGTGTGCAGTATGGGAAGGACTGCAAAGTTTTGCTGAAAAGAATCACCCAGATAAAGCTGTAACAGCCCATTGCATTGATCTTTTTAATGACAATGTGATGCCTCACTACAGACAAGTGTTGGAAAGAAGGGAAAAATAATCTTCAATGGAACGATTTCTAGTGAGAAAATCAAGCAGTGAGCCAAAAGCAGGTCCTAGTGGCATGCAGGCAAAATGTCCCAGTGTGTGTACCCCAGAGAAGTCCTCACTGCCTGATGTTATAATAGAAGGGGACTCCCCTTCCAAACAGTAACACCTCTCCTCTCCCCTCTTCACCATCTTCCATATGCCATCAAGAGTCCTCCATAAAGGTAAGATAAACATATGTACTGTATTGTAGTTAGAGAATTTTTTTTTATTCAGTATAAAATGTATTTGTAAGTTAATATTTTGGAGGGTGGGGAACGGATTAATTCAATTTCCTTTATTTCTTATGGGAAAAATCGCTTCAATTTACGATCCGTCTCTGGGAATGGATTACCATCGTAAATCGAGGCCCCACTGTACTGTACAGTATATTGAAATCACTCGTTTGCTACTGTTAAAAGTTCAGTTGCTTCTAATATGGCTGCTCTGAACATTCAGAACAATCCTGGTTGTGGTGCACACAATCAATGAAACAATCCTGGTTATGGTGGACAATTTAAGAGTTAAAGCTAAGGTCTTCTTACATGATTACTCCTGCATCCTTTACATTGGAATTTTCATTCTTTAGTGTGATTTGACTGCGTGCAAGTAAAAAAAATTATAACTTTACGTTTGCATTTCAGGGTTATCATTTGCGCCACATGATGGGCTTGTGAGCAGTCGTCGAGAGGAGGCACAGAGATCGCTGCTGGTGGAAGTGGCAGGACTGGACTCGGTATCAGACCTACACCAGGTGTGCTCTCAATATGGCAGTGTTCACAAAATGTTTCACTACACTCTTAAGAGTCCCCATAATAACAAGGTAGGCATAATTTTCTATATTATATGATTATGTACGAATTATATGAATCCCCAGAATGCAACCCAACAACAGTTGCCTAGCCCTCAGGTACTGTACTTGTTTACTGTTAGGGAACAGAGGTAAAAGGAAATGAGCCCAACTATTTCTGTTCCTCCTGGGAATCGAACTTGAGCAATTATGAGTTGAGAATGAAGCCAACTGTCCGTCATGCTGCTGATTGTACTATTGACTGGGTTAAATGAATTGGACCAATTCATCTACAAGAATCTTTTCAGATGTGTAAAGGTAGTCATTATAACCCTGATTCGCATTTTATTTTCTTAACCCATGTACCCAGGCATGCAGTTGTGTTGTCTCATAATATCTTCTCACTCTCCTGTTTATTACACAACAGTGAAACACCCCTTGAGAAGCAGTCTTGAGATGCTGGGTATGTACTCGCATACATGTGCTTGCAGGGAAAATTTGAGCTCCAGAGCCCTGATTTTTTTGTAACTGGTCACCCATTGTAATGGCTCCCAACCTTCTCTCTTCTTTTCATACTTTTGCTGTCCTTAATGTTCCTACAGTAGAAACTTATTGATTATACGTGTACATGCATTTTTTACTTTTATGTAAAATGTGCAATTTTGTCTTCTATATTTCATTGTAATTAAAGAAAATTTACAGTCCCCATGGTGAAGTGGTAAGACGCTTGTCTGGCATTCTGCGAGTGCTTTGCCCTAAGTTTGTATCCTGGCCGGGGAGGATTTACTGGGCGTCAATCCTTAACTGTAACCTCTGTTTACCCAACAGTAAAATGGGTACCTGGTTGTTAAACGATTTAGTGGGTTGTATTCCGGGGAATATAGGATTAAGGACTTGCCCGAAACGCTATGTGTGTTTGAGCTGTACAAGAATGTGTGAACTCTTGCATATACTGTATGTATACAGTATTAAAAAAAAAAAACTAAACATATTTTTTTTCTAGGAGATGATTCTAGTGGAATTTGAGGAATCATCATCCCTCAAACAAGCTCTTAATTTTACGTGCATAAACTTGGCCCAAAATGTCATTCCTGCCCATTCCCCCTTTGTGTGGCTGGCAGCAAACAAGGCATCTGACCAAGCCAGCAGTGTGCCAACTCGTGAAGATATGACAGATATCATAACTCCAAATATCACATACTCTGCAGAAAAACTTGTGCAAGAAATTGTCCACTGTTCCAATGTAAGGAGACTCGTCTTATTTTTGTTCTACGTGTTAGTAGCTTTGCAACAATGTACAGTACCACTTCATTACTGACATACGTACTTTCACAACCCACTGTACCTTCTTGTATATATAAATAAATGAATTGCAAATAAAATTGTAACATGAAATGCTGTGTTCAAATTCATTGAATTTTTTTGTAAGGTTTATCTCTGATCTAACTTCCCATAATAAACACCTTTACGTGTACAGTATTGCTGTTGTATTGTGTTTTGAATATAGTATACAATTCAACAATTCATATGTTAAGACATTCTGAATTATGCTCTTTATTTACAGATGTCAGAGCAAATTCAGAAGCTGTATGATTGCCAAAAGTTAACAGAATTGGGTTGGAGGCTCAGGTTCTTTACATGTAGACAAGTAAGTTACCATTTTGTAATCATTAATTATTCTAAATGCCCACATGGAGTGTTTAGATGATTAGAGTAAAGCCGCCCATAACTGACCATTTTTGTATGTTATTTGTTTTATAATTGGATTTAAAAATAATTCCTTTATGGTAAAACTTATTATATGTCATATATTTAGCAAGAAGACAACATGGATTAGAGCAGTAAGATCATGCCTTCTGCAGCTACTTGACAACTACAACAAAATCCATGAGGCATTAGAATAAAGACAAAATGCAGATGTAGTACAGTATACACAGACTTTGCAAAGGCATTTGACAAATGTGACCATGGAGTGATATCACACAAAATGAAGTCATGGAAATAACAGGTAAAGTAGGATAGTGAATATTAAATTTTCTGTTGAACAGAACACAATGAGTAATAGTCAACCAAATAAAATCAAGTCCAAGAGCAGTTAACAGCTCTGTACCTTAGGGTACAGTCCTTGCATCACTGTTTTTCCTTATTCTCATATGAGATACAGTATAGACAAAAATCCAAATCAGAGCTTCATATCATATTTTGCAAATGACACAAATCAGAATGAAAATTACTTCAACTGAAGACATTAAAAAACTACAAGCAGATATTAATAAAGTTTTCAACTGGGCAGCAGAAAATAACATGTTTAACAGTGATAAATTTCAGGTACTTGGGTACGGTAAAAATGAGGACCTTAAACAAAATCAATCAAATCCGCCCATAGTAGGAAAGCAACACACGAAGGATCTGGAAATAATAATGTCTAATGACTTAACGTTTAGGGAACATCCTATATTATCCAGGTGCACAATGAATATGCATAATTGAAACTTAACATGTGGGAAATATGGGATTAGGTACCAGAGGCTTCAAATTAAAGCAAAAATCCACTTTTCACTTAATATTACATAGGTATTAAATAAAACAGTGAGACCACTGATGTTAATTGCCTCGGCTTGCAGTGATTTACTAGCTAATTATTAGAAGTGGGATTAATTGGTCCATATTCCAAATCCTAACTGTGAAATGTCATTCATTCTCTTAAACTTTCCTCAAACAGCCTTTGCTGTGCTGTGCATCACTTCTGCACATTTAAACATTTGTTAAACTGCTGATTTAGCTTATTATACATGCGCTTATAAGTTGCAAATTGAAAGGAAAATAATTGATTAAGAGTACATACAGAGGTCTGATGTACAGGCATGGCTGACTGATAGGGGAAAAGTTTCTTTTGAGTCTTTAGACAAAGTTGTAGGATGTTTTTGAATAATGTATATATTTTCATGGACTTGTATACAGGTATTGGAAAATGATTTACAGGATTTTGTTTGTTACTTATACAATGTTAAAACTTATCCTGATCTTCACTAAAGCACTTATTCTGCTTTTCACTAAAGCACTTATTCTGCTCTTCACTAAAGCACTTATTCTGCTCTTCACTAAAGCACTTATTCTGCTCTTCACTAAAGCACTTATTCTGCTCTTCACTAAAGCACTTATTCTGCTCTTCACTAAAGCACTTATTCTGCTCTTCACTAAAGCACTTATTCTGTTTTTCACTAAAGCACTTATCCTGCTCTTCGCTAAAGCACTTATCCTGCTCTTCACTAAAGCATTTATCCTGGGAGCAGTTGCATCCTAGTGCCTGGTTGACCAGACCACCAACCAGGAGGCTTAGTCAGAGACCGGTTTGCATGGACATTGATCCTCGGAACCAACACAAGGTGAACAATAATGCATATGTAATATCATTAAATTTGTTTTATTCTGTGCAACTATTTTAAGCATGAGAGGAAGCAGCATTTAGAGTATTTCAGTGTACTAGTACGACTGAAAAATCACTTTTCACAGATAGAAGTCGCATTGTCTGGGCTATTTCCCAATGCCACAGTTCTACCCTTTGGTTCTTCTATCAACTCATTTGGAAACCTTAACTGTGACTTGGACATGATCCTTGAGCTCTCCAGTCTCAGTTCTCAGGCAAGTAATACATTGAGATCTTGTTGATCAGTTTTTAATTTAATCTTCATTTGTAGCATAGAAGTACTGTACTGTACAGAACATAGTTTTAATTGCCGAGCCCATAGCACGTACAGTGTTGTGGAGCAAATTATAGGTCAAATTTGCAAAAATTCTAATTTATCATATAAATTAAACAATTTATTTAACTAGTGCTATTTTGTCAATAGTAACAATGTAATGGGACAAGTTTTAAGGCATAATTAGGTGTTCCCCAAATATTACTTTTATCCAACGTTTTCAGTGTCTGTACAGTGTCTGGAGAATTCCTACATGTTTATAGTTTAGTTCATTTATTATGCACCCCATACCCATCTTGTGGGCAGTAGTGGAAAGGGTTACAGAGGCACATAATAGGCTCAGGTACTGAACCCCACAATTCATTTATCTCAGCAAGTTACAATCTTGATAAGCTAGTTACAAAATTCAATGCATATCGTCACATCTACAATGGGTTGGAGATCGACCACAAGAATTAGCTTTATAGTGTTTAGACTTGTGTACAGGGCATGGTGAGATCTTGCACCCTTTGTGCAAGATCTCCCTTGAACTTAAACTTTGAACTTAAATTATGCAGTAGGTACAATGTACAGCACTACCAACGGGGGAATTTTCAAGCATTTTTGCTTGGCCATCATATCCTGAGAGTTACTGAATCTAATCTGAAAATGATTGTCAAAATGTGTATCCACAAAAAATTGTTAATTCTGAGCTCAAGCTTATGATCTTAGGTGAGCAAACGAAGACACTTGCCAATCACCTGCCGAGTTTCTCAAGGCAACACACCAGGTGGCAGCGCCTTACTTGCCACCAGGTGGCAGCGCCACACGTGCCCTGACGTTCACTGACCTTTTTTATCGTAAATGAAAAAAAGGTGCATAATATGTGCAGTTACTTAATTAACATTCAAATTATAAAATCTAATGTTGCCTATGAGTATCTAACTGTTACAAATACTGGAGTCTAATTACACGAGAAGTTTTAGCTATAGACGAGGCAAATTGCATAATTGTGTTATTCAAATGAAGTTGAAACAAAAAATTTAAATTACACTGGTACTTGATATGCATGTAAGCACAATCTGTGTTTATAATTATATATTTTGCTGTTACTTTAATAGAAAATATCATTTTTATTTTAAATAAGTTGCACTACAGTAATTAGATACATATACCATTATAGAGAAGGGCCTGCAGGATTCTCCAAGCATCAACCTTTAGATCAAGTTATCACAAGACAAGCCTAGCCCCAGGCCAGACGTTGGGAGTAGAACTCCCAGAGTTCCAGTTAGGTCGGGGTGTACGCTATTTGATTACAGTTTTGACTGATTGAGAGAGATAGATAAGTAGAAAGTGGAATATAAAATACTGTGTGTGGCCTAGGTTTGAGTATACCATGTCAGAAATAGGAATCTCATACCTTGTTGAGGTTACTTTAATCATGGCTCTTACATGATAGGTATGTTGTTAACCTATCAACCAATTCCCTGCAGCGGTTACTGTATGTACACATACTGTATTACAAAATTTTGGGATATTTTATAGTATGACAAGTTAATGCTGACTGACAGTTTTCTTGTTATCAGTATGTAGCCAAATTGCTTTGTATAAATGTTTTTAGTTATTGTTACCACAGCTATCATAATTTTTATTTGTATTTTGTTATTTTGCAAAGTACAGTACTGAGTATTTACTGCTTGTGTCTGTCAATACCTGGACTGCTTATAGATTTTGTTTAAAATATAAACAGGAACGAGTTTGTCACTTTTATATAATTGTAGGTATTGCAGTATTTTTACTGCAGTACATATTAATTTGTTATATTTTTATTAAAAATATGCTTTTAACAGACAGACATCCTCTGCATTTTTTAGGATAATACCCAGCGGCTAGTCTTTCAAGCAAAGAAATCGTTATCTTCCGTAAATTCACGATTGTCATTACAACGACAAATGGAGCTTATTTCTGACATCTTGGACAACTTTGTTCCAGGATGTTCCCAGGTAAGTTGGTCATATTTTCTTATATTATGCTACGTTCTACAAAATGCTGGGTTTGGTCAGTGTAGAATATGTTAATCATGGTCAAGAGGAAAGATATAGTTTGTGGTGTGTTATTTTCTTACTGAGAAAAAGGGAGGACATGTTCACGAAGAATGGCAAGGTAGTGTGTGAAGAACTCTGATAAGAAATTCCAGGTTTTCAAAATAGAACAGGGAGAATTGCGTGAACTGAGCGAGGTGGTGTTAAACCAAGCAGCACTGGAAGAATTTGGACTGAGTGAGCTGATGCAAGTGTGTGGTGAAGATATTGCCAAACTTGACATGGATACATTTAGTGGATAATGACAGCTGGTATTTTGATGTAAAATCAGATGGCAACTATATAAAATTGTTTGCTAAGGGTACCATTTAAACCTCTGAAGGATGTAGTATGAGGTTCACTATAATGGTATGTGTAATTGTATGTGACAAAAGGTTTATTTATTTTTAAAACAATGATTATGGTCTGATGGTAATGATAATGATTACTCAATATCATAACCAGTAGGGCCTGTGAGAGTGCTACTAATAGAGGAAACATGTAGTGTGACCAAGGATCCTCACAAAGAATCCTTATTGCAGAGCTGAAACATGAAGAGCCAGATTAGTGGACACCCTTAAACAAACACATACTGTGGCAGCATGCTAAACAGCCAATAAGAGAAAGAGGAGGGGATCCACCAGCTAACCTTGACATGGAGCCAGATTCATGAAGCAGTTCTGCAAGTACTTACGAACATGTACATCTTTCCTCAATTTTTGATAGCTTTACATTTATTAAACAGTTTACAAGCATGAAAACTTCCCAATCAACTGTTGTTATTGTTATAAACAGCCTCTTGGTATTTAGGAGCTCATTAACTGTTTAATAATTGTAAACAAAGATGCCAAAGATTGAGAAAAATGTATAGGTTCGTAAGTGCTGGCGTAACTGCTTCGTGAATCTGGCCCCTGGTGTTTACCCAAAATGAAGATGTAGTGAACTTAAAATATGAGGTGCAACTATGAGCCAGTAACTACTGCATTAACATGTTTGATTGCACTGTAGAATTAAAAGACAATCGAACCAGGAAAGAGGATAAAGAGTGTGGGAGAAGAAGAGGGGGACTGCAGGATGTTCAATAGAAGACCGAAATGGAAGTAAGGCAACAAATTAAATGATGGAACTTTTAATGGAACAGTTCATATTTCTTGGGAGGAAAGTGGATGAAAGGAGAACAGCAAACCCCCTTGTTCAATGGATTATGTAAGGAGGAAAAGGAGGAGAGAAAAAAGATATGGAAAACATAGGGATAAATAAACAGGGACATGTATACAGAGGCAAATAGGGAGGCACTTAAGAGGGCCTAGGATGAGTACCTCAGAATCAGGAAGGCAATGGAGCAGCAGTTTGAAAACAACATTGCGACGAAAGCAAAGAACCAATCTAACATGTTGTGTTGCTATATACAGAGGAAACAACAGTACAAGGCTTATGTGATCAGATTGCAGAAACAGGAAGGAACACTTTTGTAAAATGATAATGAAATGCATAAAGAACTCTAGAAAGGTTCCAAGAGATTTACAAACCAGAACCCGACTGGTTTCTGAGGAGTGGCGATGACTGTAAGTTAGAAACAATACTAGATAGAATTGAAGTTACTATAGAAGAGGCAAAACGGCACCTGGATGAAGTGTATGTTACAAAATCAGTAGGATTAGACCAGTTATCAAAATGGTTACTAAGAGGAAGCTGTAGGGATTTTGTATTATCCATAAACAATTTGACAGTACTGTACAGTTTGCCCTCTCACCAAGTGCCCAACCGCAAACATTCTGGGCCTCTCAAGGCCATGAAACTGCAATTACATACAGAATGGTTAAGGAAATGACTCTGAAATTTCTAGATATTTTGGCATGTTTTAGCAACACTGAAATGTTTATGGAAGAGCACAGATGATTTTAAAATGTGTCATTGGAATGTTAAGGGAAAAGAGTTGGTATGAAATAATGTGTTGCTCTGGATGGGGGGAGATAGTCACAGCGGCTTGGTGTATCGAACATGGACCATGAGTGCCCATACACTAAGCAAGGAACACCATCAAAGGGCCTCCCAGAAAAGAGTATACAGAACATTTAATGTTTTACTTTTAGGCTAAGATATATGTTGAATACAGTAATGATTGTTTTTTCATCATAAGGTAACTTTAAACATTTATCACATTATTATTTTCTCAGGTACGAAGAATTCTTAATGCCCGGGTTCCTATCATAAAATATCACCAAGACTTGACTGATGTGGAATGTGATCTTTCCATGTCCAATAGGTTAGTAAAAAATTATAATCTGCTTTTGTCATCATCATCCAGTACCAATTAATATTTTTCCAATGGTCATTGGTATGTTCCACAAAACAAATATTTTTTGTACTCTTACTTCAACAGAGTAAATGACTTGTGTTGCCTCCTACTTTCTAATGTAACTGGTGTCAGCACATCTTTAATCTGTAATTATTACTGTACAGCCTACTTATTTGTTATTGAAAACAATACAGCATGCATTTACTCATATTTCAACACACATACCAAAACCATGTTGTAATACAGCTGTAGAATTGGAAATAAACATGATACCGTACTGTATGTAAAAATACTAGTATTTTTGCTTACCGTTAAGTGAAGCTCCACTTGGTTTGTGACTCACAACTGGCTACGTGAGCTGTCCTTGTGTTAAACGAATTTCCACTCACCATGAACAGTGTTTATAGTCTGTATTGAATCAGAAATGATGATGGTACCAATGTCATTCTCTGTCGAGTTTGTCAATTCCCTCTTTTTCACAAATACTGTACCTGTAATTTAAAAAAATATATATATTTGTACTACTACTACTACTGTATAGCCTGATTAATAGTGTTGGTAGACATATTTCCTACTTAGGTAGGTACTTATCAGGAGAAAGTGCTAAGCTATTACGACTGTATAACACTTTGAAGGGATGAAGATAATGATTTAGGATAGGACAAAGAGAAGTTAACTTCCCTTCATCCCATCTTACTACTCAATGTTTTTTTTTTAATAAAAAAAATGGCAAATCATTTCAAATACATAGCATTGCCTAGCAATATTAAAAAAAAAATGGGGGGGCGTGACGACGAAGTATAAATGTGTCGAGTCCAGTAGGTGTTTCTAAAAACTAAATAATGGGTCACATTAAATATATCCCAATATACCAGTATGTGAGGTAACACATAGAGGTATATTGGGATATATATATTTTAATGGTATATAATTATCATGGTATATAATACTATTCTGGTCAAGTAAATGCTGTGTACTAATTTTTCATTGATTCTTAATATTTCAATCAAATTAATATTTATTCAGTTATAGAGAAATGTATCTTACTCTTATAACATATACATCTTAAAAGTGATATATATATCTTACTATTGTAAGATGTATATCTTACAATAGATATATATATCTTACAAAATGGTATTGTCTATTTTCAAAATGGGTTTCATAAACAAACTACAGTAGGCCTATAGAGGCAGTCCCTATTTATATCCATCCAAAATCATTTATATCTATATCTACACTTAAAACACTCCAGTGATCCCACATCTTTTATGGTATGCAGTAATTTATTTCATAAATCAACAATCCACTTTCCAAATCAGTATTTCTATAATATATATGATCATATTCAAATGTTTTACAATTTCAAATATGCAGACGAGGAGTCACAATAACGTGGCTGAAAAATGTTGATCAAACCAGAAAGTGCAGAGACGACACAATCGACTTGATAATGGTCCAGGACAGACCGAAACATTGTCGTCTCTTCACTTTCTAGTGTGTGGTTTGGTCAACAATATCAAGTGTGTTTCTTATGTTTATATATATATTTTTTTTGATAGATCAGGATTCTACATGAGTCAGATGCTGTACATGTACGGGAGCATGGACCCAAGAGTGCGTCCTTTGGTGTTTGCGGTGCGTCGATGGGCAAAAGACCGACACATAACTTCACAGTTCTCTGGCCGCTGGGTTACCAATTTTTCACTAACGATCATGGTCCTCTTCTACTTAATGAATGTGTCACCCCCAGTAATTGCTTCGCTTCAATCACTTGAAGTTAATACAGGTAATAATTATTGAAAATATATACAGGTATATATTAATCATTTATTACCTAAGTGTAGTTACAGGATGAGAGCTATGCTCGTGGTGTCCTGTCTTCCCAGAACTCTTTGTTGTATAACGCTTTGAAACTACATACTGACAGTTGTGGCCTCCGCCACCTTTACATTTAACTTGTTCCAACCATCTGCCACTCTGCAAAAGAAAACTTTCTAATATTTTTTCGGCACCTTTGTTTCCTTAACTTGAATCTGTTGCTGGTTTCAGGAATTCCTCGTGTCAGTTTGGTCAATTCCTGTTAGTATTTTGGAAGTGGTGATCATGTTGCCTCGTTTTCTACTATGTTTAGGCATGTTTAACACCTCTAGTATCTCCTTATAACTCTTGTTTTTCAGTTCTGGAAGCCATTTTGTATCATGTCTTTACACCTTTTCCAGTTTGTGTGCTTTTTGAGATTTGGGCATTATACAACTGCTGCATATTCCAATTTTGGTCTCACAAAAGTCATGAACTGTTTCTTTAGTATTTCACCATTCATATAATTAAAAGCAAGTCTAAATTCAGTGAATTCAGTGCATATAGTCAGTTGAACAAATTCTTACTGTTACTTACGTAACAGTTTTACTCTGCTGTGCATATTTACATAGGCACAACAGTTAATATTGTTGTTCTTACATACATTTGTTTAATAAAATTATTATTATTACAGAAATGTCTGGTTAACTGGTAATGAATTCTAAGGTATTCATGTGCAGTGTACAAGCTGTAGTAGATTACCTATGAATGAATTCTATAGTTCTTCACTTGGTTGTGTGACTAACCTAAGTTACACATTGTGTAACCTAAGTTGTGTGACTGTCTTCATAGCTCACAGGACCATATAGCCAACACTTTCCCAGCTGATCTGCTAACTCCAGCAGAAACTTGTCAAGCATTTTCTTAAAAACTTGCCCTTTTGTCTCAGTGACATTCTTTATATCTGTTGGTATAAGGTGGAAGAATCGGAGACCTCTGATGTTTACACAATGTTCACAAATTGTGTGTATATAGCTCCCAAATTTGTCATTTGACTTGTTCTACATTTCTAACCATATCTCTTACTCAGGTATGATGTAACAATATACAGGTTTGGAAGTTGACCTGTATAAGAGCATTAATACACTAAACACTCCACTTTTATCAATTTTCTCAATTATATTTACATAAAATCTAAAAAGATTTACTATTTTAGCAAATACAAACTAAGGTACATTACATAAATAAGTTTCATGTCTATATTACCATATGCAGTATTTCGGTGCATATTTTAGACATAAATTGTGCTTCTATGTATGTAAATATTAACATAATTTTTTATGGCAGGCCCCTGTGATGGTTATGGAGAAAATGTAAGGTTTACTTTCCCACAAAACATTGAAAAGATGGCAACAACCGAGAACGATGATTCTTTAGAAACCCTCTTTAGAAGATTTTTTGAATTTTACGATAAGTTTAACTTCAGAGAACGAGGACTTTCTATCATGCATGGAAAGAGTTTTGCTAAGCCAGAGCATAGTGCTTTATATATCCAGGTAAGTTTAACTATTTTTTTTAAGTGGGAATTGCAGAATACTTTGTTGATAAATGATATATTTAGACAATAAAAAGTTCCTTTTTCATTAGACTAACACTGCATGGTAAATGATGAAATGCTTCAGGGCTAGCTGCTTACCTCTCAGAAGTTATGGTGGGTGAGATGTAGCTATTTATGCCCTGCCTCTTAGCTCTTCATACCTGGTGTGCTAATTACCCCTCTCAACATTAACTCTTTCATCTTGTTTCTTTTTAAAGTAGTGGATGGAATTGGCTTCAACAGCCTCTTCCTTCAATGCATTACACTTCCCTGACACCCATAAGTAATAAGAACGTCTTTATATCTCTTCAACTCAATTGCATATCCAGCTTCCACCAATATCCCCTTGTCCTAACTCTCTTTAATTTAAATCGTTTTCCCTTATCCACTTTACCTACTACCCTCAAGATCTTGTATGGAGTTATCATATCCCTTCTTGTTTCTTCTATCCTCTAAGGTTGTGAGGCCGAGTTCTCTCAACCTATCCAAAGCTAAGGCCTCTCAATTCTGGTACTAATCTAGTTGCAACCTTCTGAAAAGGTGTAGTTACTGGCCCAATGTAGAGGTTGGGCCAGTAACCTTAAATTTTTTAATTCTTTTAACAAGCACATGCCTTTTATGGTTATTAATTTTGTATATAAATACTTCATTCTTAAAAACTCTAACAGAAAGGTATCCAGAATTCAGGAATGTCATTGCTAATCAATCAGCCATGAATACAAAATATTCCAGTATATGTTGTATAACTTTCTTGTATTAACTTTACTGTTATTTGTTTCTACATTATTTCCACATTATCTTGCTACAATATTTCTAAAACTATATTTTACTTCCCCAGAATCCACTAGATCATAATCTCAACATCAGTCGGAATGTTACTCTTGAGGAAGTAGACAGGTTACGTGTTGAACTTACTCATGCAAGATTCCGCCTGGAAGGCAGCACTGATAGCATTGTAAGTTAAAATGTTTGATTTTTATAAGCTGAGGAATAGAACTTACATTTTTTAATCACTTTGCTAGGTTCTGTAGCAATAAATAATTTTTTGTTTAAATTTTATTATCTAATTTTAATTGAGCTTTTACATTACACTTCCACTAAATTGTTCATCATTTATGCTCACACTTATGATTTGCAGCCATGTTTGAAAAACTGCCTTTAGTGAAGTGAACTGAAATGCATTTAGGACCGACAGAACAACATAGTGACATCCAACCAACAAATCTGAAAATAAAGGAAGTGAAAACATTTCAGTATGTCCTGGACCATTATCTCGTTTAGTAATAATGATGTTTTGCTCTGTCCTGTTATCATCAAGTGTGGTCTGTCCTGTTGCTATCAAGTGTGATCTGTCCTGGATTGTTATCAAGTAGTGTGATCACACAAGTTGATAATGGTTCCAGATGGACCAAAATATTGTCACTTCCTTTCTTTCCAAAGGTGTGGGTTGGGTGTGTAATTTTCAGCCAGGTTATTGTGACCTACTGTCTGAATAGCAGTGTGTCATTGTGGTTCAAGTACAGCATTTGCATTTGTAGACTTGAGAAATATTTCATCTGAGATAGCTAATTTGTGTAAAGATACAACAAAGGTGAAAATATAGATTACAAAAGTATATAGGATATGGTATACTGTATAAGTACAATGTAAGTTTATCTGACAATGTAGTGATCATAGTATTTGTTCATGGATAAGTTTGGTTCTCTTCTTGAGACTTCAGCCAGATAGACTGTTAACCTATTGTGTAGTGACTTATTTGGTTGATAGTTTTCTATTGAAGTCATATTCGTTCTTGGAACTTGATAGATTTGAATAGTTTTGAGAATGTGATAATCACCTTTGTACTATGGATATCTTGGATAATTTCAAGCATATGTTTGACATATGAATGAGTATGGGTGGTTATAAAGAGAAGCTGCCTCTTAAGTACCAAAAGGCTTTCTGCAGTTTACTTTCATTCTTATGTACTTGATTTTGTTGTCTGTAATGGTCACTGATAACATTACTGTACTTGATATTGGGGAGTCTGATCGGTGAGGCTACCTTGAAATATCAAGGTTAAAATCTTGATATTTCTAAACTGTCTTTCTGCCACAAAAATTTGGATTTGGATCAAGTTAGGATCATGGTAATGGATGTCCTATATGAAGTACATATACCTACACAGCTCACTGTTATATTGGTGGGAACTCATAATGATGTGTTGACTTCTGTGACTGAGAAGTTCTGTTCCATTGTGCTGACGATGAGTCACAATTACGTGGCTGAAGAAATGATGACCAAACCACAACTCTCAAAATTCAGAAGTGACAACATTTCGGTTCATTCTGGACCATTACCAAGTCGTGTGATGACTTGATAATGGTCCAGAACGGACTGAAACATCGTTGCTACTACACCATCATTCTGTTCTTTTAATCAGTAAGAAAATCTTGATTCATGGTTGTTTCCCTGGATAAGAATCTTCTGTTATACTATCAAATTAGATGTGCAGAGTGTCGATGGCTTAGATTGCACACTCCTGTGTCATGATTGAGCTATTCACAGGCTTGTAAAGTAGTAGATAGATTATCTGCTTGCAAGGTTGGAGTATTGGAGAGGTAAATGCTGAATTGTATTGTTGCAATCAGAGGCTGCTTTTTGCCCATCATAATGACTGTTCATTATCGCTAGAAAATATATGCAGTAACCTGATATGAATTCATCTGACAAGTGTAGAGTTTTCTGTGGTTTCCTGGCCTATCCACTTCTTGGTTTGCTGTACAGTAATTTAAATCAATAAGGTTTAGAAATATATTACTGACTAACAAGACATTGAGAGTTGAATCCTTTAAATGTTTAAAAGATCCTGCCTGTGTTAGTTAACTGTTCACTTTTATATTTGTTTTCCTCAGTGATGAGGTACTCTGGTTTGTCCTCTTAAACCTTCACTTGATTTTGAGGACATACCAAACTGCCCTGTTTCAAATCTGTTTTTCTAAATTGAATGAGCATACTATTCTTGATTAATTATTTTGGAGCCAAGTGACATTTATCTTGTGTTCAACCTGAATATAGATCATTTCACTGAGCTTAAATTTTATTTTATAGGACAGTAATACAGTACCGTATACAAAATGTAGATTTTCACTGTCCTAACCATAACAGTTTTAAAAATGCAAATTCTTCATAGATGTAGGGACAAAGTGCAGTCTCTCCTGATCATTAATACTTAAAATGAAGTCTCTTGAGTCAACCATCATTATACAAACACTGTTTGGCAATTATTGAATTGCAAAATTCATTAGCCTTCTCAATGGTTTTTTCACACCTGTGCCTTTTCCACTCCCACATGGCATCATAAACTCTTGCCACCTTAACTTGTTTAAATGTCTTTTCATTGCTTTATCACTTTCACTTTGGGAAAATACTGTAATTTCTTCTCAGATGTCATTACAAAATGCTTTCACTTTTATATGTTGATGGCTTGATTCTCACACAACTTGCATTTGGATCCAAGACTGTGCACAAATGTTGTCAAATTTAGATAAATTCAGAGAAAAACTGAATTGTTTCATTATATGCAGTACTCAAAATTGGTTTGGTAGACGTGTACTTACATTGAATGGCTGCCTAAAAACAAGAAACTTGCTTTCCAGACACAAGGTACTCTGATTAATAAGTTTTTGCCTGTACAGTATAATATTTCTTTTTCCTATCCTCTTTAAACCACTAAGGTTAATACCAAAATGACATGAAAATTATTAATGAAAAATCTATACCATCTTTCTTTCATTAACAGGATGTGGAAAGTAATAGCCAATGGGGTGCACTCTGTTTATGGGATGTGGCTGCTACTGGAAATCTTCATTCTCATCAAAATTCCCAAAATTATTCTATAGACTGGAAAGATATGTTTCATGCCGAAGACAGAAAAATTGCATCATCGACTAATAACAATAATGTATCTACAAAATTCGACAGCAAAAACAATAAAAAAAGGATAAATAATAGCAACCCAAATTTTTCTGAGAAGGATAATGCATTAAGAGGAGGAATGAGAGTTACAAGTGCTCCTGAACTTAATGGCCTGATATCAAAATTAAAACAAAAAGCAGGACAGAAAGGACACATTCCTCGAAGAAACAAATTTGTATACAAGGGTAAATTTAAATGATTTTGAAGTGTCTGCTGTTGCAGATGATGAATGAAGTTGTATCAGCACCCATAACCATAGATGGGTGTAATATTTCTACCTGTGTGTGTCCCATATATATCTTGGTACTAGAGGAAGTTAGGTAAGGCACAATTGATTATATTTGGGCAAAAATTTGACATTTGAGTTTTTATATTTTATCAGTACATTAAAGCAACAATAGATAAAGGTGGGGTAGATACTATCATGGGATGTAGCTCGCAGGCCTGTCTCTTACCAGGGGTACTGTGCCGTCTAACTTCCTTCAGGCAAGGTGAGGCAGCAACTGCTATCTTTTTTGTGTGTGTGTGGCAGGGCTGCTGCTGCTGTCATGTAACAACCTGTGGTGAGGCAGGGCCATGTTTGAGGTCTAACTGCTTCCTGATGAGGCAATGTGGCATCTGCCGTATTTACTTTGTGAGGCAGGGCTGCTGTGGAACTATGATCTTGTTGCTGGCACCAGTGTTTTTCAGGTTCATTGCTTTCCAGGGGTGAAGGCAATGGCTGCCAAGGGGGCTCTCTTGGCCCCTTATTCTCTGGGCCTCATGTGTACTGAATTTGCAGCTGGAAAATAAAGCATTGGAATACTAAAGGTAAAAAAAAATAGTCATTTCAGGGACAATTTTTTGTTTTTTTGGGTGGGGGGGGGGGGGACACTTAAATGTTGTTTTAAATGTGCCACTGAATAAAATTTATAATTTTCTTTTTTGGCCATTGTATGTTACTGTATAAAATGTAAATAAAGTTTGATAGGAATAAATAAATGAATATGATCCTTTAGTACATATTCTTTTATTTTAATTTCATTTATAAAATTGTAGTACTGTACTGTATATAGCAAAAGAAAAAAATATCAAAAGAAGGCACCAAGCCAGGGAGACCATGTAACACCATCAGTGTCACTAGATATTTCAAAGGTACTAAATCTCACTGAGGATGCGAATACAATACCAAAAGCACATAAGGTTGTGATATCAAAGGTATCGGATTCACCTATGTCTTAAAAATCAAGACATTCAACAAGGAGATGTATGACTAATAGGAACAATGCAGTTTGGACAATAAAGAGCAGGGCAGTGTTCCATTGCGTGTGAAACGTGTATAGCCAATATGTCACCTCGTCAGAGCAGTTTCCCACTGCCGGGAAGAAGGGGGGGCTTCCTTATCCCCACGAAGAAAGTGGGGTAAATGGTGCAGTTGTTACAATGGAAGGAGCCATACCAGGGCTAACTAGACAAGCCAGTTGGTTCAGTTGGGCCATACTGAACTTTCCGATCTACCCCCATTCTCTCGCCAAAGATGTGTACTGCCCCACTGGGTAGGCTCAACTTACAGATGAAGGGACATATAGGTCTCTGTACATGGCCATTATATTGGAACATGTTTAGCTAGTGCAGCATCACAACAGACAGAAGAGGAAAGCGAGAGCTACCCCCTTCCTACCCGTGGGCTAAACACAACAGCCCCCCTCACTGAGCCAAGGCACTGTCCACCAAATGGGTAGCAAGAGAAAGAAGCCCAGAAGCCTATATAGCACCATGTTCCAGAATATTAATGAAGTTCTAAATATAATCCAGGATGCCAATATGGGCAAACACACAAAATAAGTGATGTCAAATGGACTTGATTTGCCAAGGATTTTATGGAGATATAAAAGAACAAGGAGACAAAAACTCAAAAGAACGGGGAAGGCAAAATTTCCAATCCTGAAATTCTACAAGGAAGTATACAATTATTAATGACAATGGAACTGACAGTTAGGTTTACCTTTGGACGCAGATGTGTACAATTAAGTGTCCTATATGTATCCTAGCTCAGGACGTTTCCCCACTTCCTGTTCTGGGGGTAGGGGAGTACACCAATATTAACTGGCTTTGACTCATCTGAAAAATGGCAGTAGTGCAATAATAAAAATATTGAAGGAAAAGGCATTTCAGGACAGTATAGGGGTATAAGCCTTCACCATACAGGTTTGGGCTTTACAAAATATAATGCAAGACCCTCCATAGAGATAAGATAGGCACAATATGAATAAAACATTGTGGACGTGAACAGAATTCATATGATAAAAGATTGCACAGTAAAGCAGGGCGTCCAATACAAGTAGCAATCAAGGTGTGGTAGAAGGGAGGCTTCATAGGGCCCTTGGCAAGTATTGAAGGTAATATCAAGCAGAAATTAAAGGAGGTAAAGCTGATGAATATGCAGGACATTGACAGTCTAGTTGAGAGAGCACAAGGGAGAAATGTTCACCTATCTCCATCCAAGGAAGTAGCTGACAAGATTGAGAAATACTGCAACACTTGCAAAAGCCAAATAGGAAAGGAATAAGGCAATGATTATTCTAAAAAACAAATATGAGGCCTGTTAAACATTCATCAAAGAAAAGGAAAGGAATAGAGGATCAAGAGAATGGGTAATTTGATGTCATGCAGGTTGTCAAGGACTTTCAAATTCAGGAAGACGTGCAGAGAGACCGAGCAATATAGGAAGAAGTGTGAGTACAAGAGTCAACATGAGTTGGTTCACCAGAGACAAGGATTAAAGAAGCTTAAGATGAGAGATTATATGACAGGAACGGAGATAAAAAAAAAAAGACAGTACAGTATACATTTATACACAAATATATAGATAAATTTGGAATGGGTGCTTGACAACATAGAAAGGGAATATAATTTTGGATTAAAAGTATTAATGGTAATTAAAGTTGAGATCTCTGCTGCTCCTGAGGAAAATGGAATAGCTTAATACTTAATAAACTAGTTATTCTAAAAATCTAATGGACTTGTTTTCATGTTATAAAGAGGTCAGCATTTTTAATAAATGGAAAAACGTTCCTACCGTCTTGTCACTGGCAGTAGAGGTACTTGGTACTACCGTCTTGTCACTGGCAGTAGAGGTACTTGGTACTACCGTCTTGTCACTGGCAGTAGAGGTACTTGGTACTACCGTCTTGTCACTGGCAGTAGAGGTACTCGGTACTACCGTCTTGTCACTGGCAGTAGAGGTACTTGGTACTACCGTCTTGTCACTGGCAGTAGAGGTACTTGGTACTACCGTCTTGTCACTGGCAGTAGAGGTACTCGGTACTACCGTCTTGTCACTGGCAGTAGAGGTACTTGGTACTACCGTCTTACAAGCCCCCGGAGTGAGGCAGCAGCAACACCCTCCTCCTGCGACTCCCGTGGGGTGACTGAGGAGTAGCTCCCAACACTGCCAGCTGTGTTTTTCATGTTTTACCTGAATTTACCTGAAGGCCACTAACACGAGTGGCCTCGACGGGGACAGGAAGCCGGTGGCTTGTCGAAGGTCCCCCCCCCCTCCCATTTGCTTTCATCTTTTCCAGTTGGATTTTAAATTTTAAGTTTTGGCATTTACGGCTTTGGCGGGTAGGCGGTTCCATGGGTTTAGTTTACCTGAGTTTACCTGAGAGCTACTAACACTAGTCGCCTTGACGAGAAGAGGAAGCCGGCCGCTTGTCAAATGTCCCCTCATTTGTTTTTATGAGCTTTTTCAGCTGTACAGATACTTTAAAAGTTAACAGTATTTTGGCATTTGCGGCTTCGGCGGGTAGGCGGTTCCTTAGTTTTATCACCCTGTGTGGGTGAAAAAGCATCTCCTGTTCTCACCTAGTTGTGCTTGCAGGGGTTGAGCTGCGGCTCTTTAGTCCCGCCTCTCAACTGGCGGGACTGTTCCTGAACTTCTTAAGCTCTTATCATATCTACATTTACATCTCGACGCACAATCGAGACTTCCGGGGTCGGATCCTGGGCGGGACAGAAATGGTTGAGCACATTTCCTTTCACCTAATGCCTCTGTTCACCTAGCAGTGAATAGATACTCAGGAGTTAGTCAGCTTGTAGGGGCGGGGTCAGTAATTCGACCTTGGGGGGAGGGGACCTCGTTAAAAGCCAAAACGTGTATGAATACACTCTGGCTTCCTGTCCCCCGACATAATGAATTATATTATAATTATTTGAAGTTGTGTATGGAGTCAGCCTCTACCACATCATATGATGTGGTTGTGACCTCACATTGTGGCTTGTTGAGCTTGAAACCGTTGCTCCTTGTTTGTGTTACATCTGACCTCTGAAAGAAACTGTCCGGATCAACATTCTCCATATTGTTCAGTACTTTAAAAGTTTCAATGAGATCCGCCCAGTCATCCTGTGAGATGGGAATATTAGAGTTTTTTTTTTAGATGACCTTATAGCTAGTTTTTTTTTATCTACACTGTAATCTTTCATGTAGAATAGGGGGCTGAACATTGCTGTGTATACCTTAGTTTATTAATACAAAAAACTTCTAAAAAAGACACTAAAATATCCAGAAAGATCTGTATTTCCCAGATATATGTCTAAAAATAATCTCAGCGCCCCCCCCCCCCACGCCAACACAACTAGGTGAGTACATAGTTTACAACTTTTTTTTTTTTTTTTGAGATATATACAAGAGTTGTTACATTCTTGTACAGCCACTAGTACGCGTAGCGTTTCGGGCAGGTCCCTGGAATACGATCCCCGCCGCAAAGAATCGTTGTTACAGCCAAGTACCCATTTTACTGTTGCGTTAAACAGAGGCTACAGTTAAGGATTTGCGCCCAGTAAATCCTCCACGGCCAGGATACGAACCCGAACCCGATACGAACTGGAATGTTCACCAATGGGGGATTCATTACCTGTAGCCAGCTGCCATAGATATCGATATGACGATATCCCAGCTTAATTCTGTCAATTACAATGTCACACTGTCTACTGGATGTTTTATGCTGCCCGTACATATAATTCTCGGTTCTAAACACATCATAGCAAAATAAATATTTATGAGAATGACGTCACGCGTTAATAAAGGATAACTCATATAAATTTATATTAAGTATATTATACAGATATTAGCTCATACTGACTAATAAAATAATTTGTATTCCACATTTAAATGTTACCCAGAGGGACATGATCTCACAAATACACTGAAGTCACACATGTGCTGGTCAATAACATTTATCAAAACACTCCCTCGAATCATCATCGCAAAGCTCGAGCTTCTGAAATAATTTTTAAACTTCAGGTATTTTTCACTTAATTATATGTTTCTCAGCTAGAGTGCCATATCAGGGGTGTTTTAGTCTTGTCATGAACAGAACACCGGGTAATGCTTGCCGGAAATGAGGCTGCAACTGCGGGTTAACTGAATGACTACAAAAATTCCATTTGATCCTTGAGACAAATTTATGTCTGTGGGTTTTGCACCGGTAGGTCTGGCCCTGAAATGTATATTATATCTCTGTCCAGGGCCCTGGTTTACTACTCAGTTATTTAGCATATGATTTATTGGGAGTTTCAGAGGTGGGAGTTTCACCTCTACTTTAGGGTCCTGGTAGTACAGTCGGGGTCGTTCTCGATTCGTAATCAGGAATCCCTGTCTCGAATCCCAGGCAAGACAGAAATGATTGGGCACGTTTCTTTTAACTAGATGCATCTGTTCACCTAGCAGTCAATAGGTACTCAGGAGTAGGCAACTGTTGTGGGGTTGCATCCTAGGGGAGGGTTCGTAATTCGACCTTTGGGAGGACCTCAATATAAGTATAATGTATGTATGTATGCAGGCTGCCTGTCCCCCCAACGAAATTAATTAATTACTACCACTTCATTGAGGCTTCAATAACTTATCAGTTGGTATTCATGCTTAAATCTTGTTATTAACAAAATTAGATCAAGCACAGCTTTGCTATAAAACTGCCATGAATACTGAATGTTAGAGTGGCACTAGGTATAAATGATTTGATTTTTCTGATGGTTACACAAAGTTCTATATAATATTTTAATATCTGCTGCTGTTGAAAAATTCAGCCCTTTCAGAGACCTAATTAAAGAAGTGTCTGAATATAGAAACCTAATCTAACATGGGTATTATGGATGTGTTGGATATAGGATTATTGGGTAATGCACTACAGGTATTTAGATCCAGAATCAAATATTTAATAATTTACTGCTCATTGTATATTAAGTTAGTTATGCCATCCTAATTTAAAGTTTCCAAATAGCACAGCACTCAAGGCCTGTATCTAATATGTCAACAATCATTTTCATTGTTGGTTAGGACATTGTGAAAATATTTGAATTAGGCCTAAGAGAGCAAAGGAAGTTAACTGATATGTTTTACTTAATAACAGCAGCTGTTTTGCTGGCAGTTGATGATATTCTCATAATACGAGGAAATTTCATTCCCTAACCTAACTACCCAAATCTAATCTCATACTGCATATTTAACAATGAAAACATAAGTACATTCTGTGATGAATTCACTACTGTGAGATTCACTTGAATGCCGCAGTACAATTGCTGACTGATAATATACAAATTCTAAATATAGTAAATATTGTAGTAAAAATAGACCCTTAGCAAAAATAAATAAATAAATAAAATAAATACATACATATATATATATATATATATATATATATATATATATATATATATATATATATATATATATATATATATATATATATATATATATACATACATACATACATACATACAACTTTAGAACACTTTCCCACCAGGAGACTCGAACCCTAGCCAGCACAGAAGCCTTCCAGTAACTGGCATAACAGGTACGCCTTAACCCGCTCCACCACCCGCTCAGACCCTTAAAAGAGATGGTAATTTGGGAGTATTTAAATACACCAAAGATCACCACCTCCCAAGAGCACTAGAGCAAGTGAGGGGTCATTTAGACGTTAATTTCATCCAGTCCCTGTTAATATGGGAAGACACAGTGTCTATGCTTAAGGCACAACTCTCCTAAACACGAGAGTTAAGTATATATATATATATATATATATATATATATATATATATATATATATATATATATATATATATATATATATATATATATATGTCGTACCTAGTAGCCAGAACGCTCTTCTCAGCCTACTATGCAAGGCCCGATTTGCCTAATAAGCCAAGTTTTCATGAATTAATTGGTTTTCGACAACCTAACCTACCTAACCTAACCTAACCTAACTTTTTCGGCTACCTAACCTAACCTAATCTATAAAGATAGGTTAGATTAGGTTAGGTAGGGTTGGTTAGGTTCGGTCATATAGTTCGTTAATTTTAACTCCAATAAAAAAATTGACCACATACATAATGAAATTGTTAGCTTTATCATTTCATAAGAAAAAAAATTATAGAAAATATATTATTTCAGGAAAACTTGGCTTATCAGGCAAATCGGGCCTTGCATAGTAATCCAAAAAGTGCGTTCTGGCTACTAGGTACGACATATATATATATATATATATATATATATATATATATATATATATATATATATATATATATATATATATATATATATATATATATATATATATATATATATATATATACATACATACATACATACATACATACATACATATATGGGGTAAATATATATACAGTTGGCCACATGCTTACAAATGCCTGCTATACGAAAATGCCTGTTATCCGATTGGGGGCTGTTCGGATAAAAATGTTTGGAGAACTGGTGGGGCAGGCAGTCTGAATAAAAATGTTCAATAAAGATGGAATAAGTGTACCCAGTGACCGTACACAGGGCCACTTGGGCAGTGTTCATACACTAATAGATGGCTTAGAAGCTTTCAACTCTGATATGACATTAGGTACATGCCAAAAGGCAGTCTGCTGAAGTTACCCCATCACCATTAATCTCCACTTCAGTCAACCCAACACTATCATCATCCACTACCACCTTTTCTATCTAAATAACTTGAAGATTATAGTTGATGAAGCATTGATAACAAGCAGATCAGAACATATATGGGTTATCTTGAGATGATTTCAGGACTTAGCGTCCCCGCGGCCCGTTCCTCGACCAGGCCTCCTTTTTGTTACACATCCCCAGGAAGCAGCCTGTAGCAGCTGTCTAACTCCCAGGTTCTTATTTATTGCTAGGTGAACAGGAGCATCAGGGTGAAAGAAACTCTGCCTATTTGTTTTTGCCTCCACCGGGTATCGAACTCAGAACCTTAGGACTACGAATTCCAAGCACTGTCCACTCAGCTGTCAGGCCCCTTGTTTGGTGAGTACAAACTAAACACTGTTGAATTTCTGCAATAAAATTTTCAATTTTTTCCTCCTAGCATTTCAGGATGACCAACCACTTATCTGAACACAATATATCTCAGTCCTGAGGGGTTCAGATAGCACGTGGCTGATGTGCTGTCACTCAATATATATATATACAGTATACAGTATATAAAAAATTAATAATAAAAAATAAGAATAGAGGTGGTAGGAGAAGAAATTATTAAATTGTTCAGTGAGAACCCACAAGGTCTTCTCTGAATACTCTATATTTTCTACTTCGAGGCTATGGGTCCCCCACAATTGCACCAGAGGTGGCACCCCTATATATATATCAACCCATCCTGTTTACATAGTACTTTTTTGTAACTATGTGTACCATAGTACAAATATTTTTTTTCTTATGGTTTTTGATCTGGAAGATCCTGTGTAACGAATTTACTCAGTTTCTATGATCGAGCCACAGAGATTTTACAGGAAAGAGATAGTTGGGTTGACTGCATCTATCTGGACCTAAAAAAGGTTTTTGACAGAGTTCCACATAAGAGGTTGTTCTAGAAACTGGAACATATTGGAGGGATGACAGGTAAGCTTCTAACATGGATGAAAAATTTCCTAACTGATAGAAAAATAAGGGCCGTAATCAGAGGCAATGTATAGGATTGGAGGAATGTCACAAGTGGAGTACCGCAGGGTTCAGTTCTTGCACCGGTAATGTTCATTGTCTACATAAACGATCTACCAGATGAAATACAGAATTATATGAACATGTTTGCTGATGATGTTAAGATAATAGGAAGATAGGAATCCTAGATGATTGTCATGACCTTCAAGAAGACCTGGACAAAATAAGTACTGTATATGGAACACCACTTGGCAAATGGAATTTAATGTGAATAAATGCCATGTTATGGAATGTGGTATTGGAAAACATAGACCCCACACAACCTATAAATTATTTGAGAAATTCTTAAAGAATTCTGACAAAGAAGGGAATCTAGGGGTGGTTGTAGATAGAAAACTGTCACCTGAGAACCACATTAAGAACACTGTGCAAGGAGCCTATGTTACACTTTCTAACTTCAGAATTACTTTTAAATACTGTACATGGATGGCAAAATACTAAAGAAATTGTTCAAGACTTTTGTTTGACCAAAGCTGGAATATGCAGCTGTTGTATGATGCCCATATCTTGAGAAGCACATCAACAAACTGGATAAGGTACATGCCACTCCAGAACTGAAGAACAAAAGCTACGAGGAGAGGTTAGAGGCATTAAATATACAAAAACTATAAGATAGAAGAAAAAGAGGCGATATGAGCACTACGTACAAAATAATAACAGGAATCGATAAAATCGATAGGGAAGAATTCCTGAGATCCGGAACTTCAAGAACAAGAGGTCATAGATTTAAACTAATGAAACAAAGCTGCCGGAGAAATATAAGAAAATTCACTTTTGTAAGCAGAGTGGTAGATGGTTGGAACAGGTTCGGTGAGAAGGTGGTGGAGGCCAAAACCGTCAGTAATTTCAAAGCGTTATATGACAAAGAGTGCTGGGAAGACGGGACACCACAAGCGTAGCTCTCATTTTATATCTACACTTAGGTAATTACACTTGGGTAATTAATTCATGTACTAAGGAATTAGATAGTAGAATTTTGTTCTATTTACTTTACAGAGTCCAAAAAAAGAAGCTAAAAATCAAACATATATATTCCTAGGCCTAATATAGCACACACATGTACTATATTAGGCATCAGAGAGTGTGTATTAGGCCTAGGAAGGTTAGATTAGTTTAGTTGTCTTTGAAACCTAAATAGAAAATCTTTTCCGGTCTGTCAAAATTTAATATGTCCGATTTCTACTTTCTATTTGCATTGTATGTCGGTATTGTGTATGTACTATGGTCCTTATCATCACTATAAATACAGTACAATGGAGCCTCGACTTACGATGCTAATCTGTTCCCAGAGATGGGTCGTAAGTCGAAGCGATTTTTCCCATAAGAAATAAAGGGATTTGAATTAATCCGTTCCCCACCCTCCAAAATATTAACATACAAATACATTTTATACTGAATACAATGTTTTTTCTAACTACAATACAGTACCTAAGTTTATCTTACCTTTATGGAGGGCTCTTGATGGCATATGGAAGATGGTGATGAGGGGGGAGGAGGAGAGTTGTTACTGTTTGGAAGGGGAGTCTCCTCACATTATCACATCAGGCAGTGATGTTTTCTCTGGGGTACTCTCTCTCCTACGTTTTGCCTGAATACCACTAGGACCTGGTTGTGGTTCAGTGCTTGTTTGTCTCACCACAAATTTGTCAAGAGACATTTGTTTTTCCCTTCGTTTTAACATTTGTCTGTAATGATGCATCACTTTAGCACCCATAATGTCCTTTTTCTTAGCCAGTATGGTGGATATCGTTGACTGAGATTTGTTGTACTGCCTAGTCAGTTCAACAACCCGCACACCATCTTCATATTTACGAATGATCTCTTGTTTCTGCTCTATGGTCATCCTTACATGGGATCTCATATGTTGAGCCTTACCATTGACTTTCCTGGGACTCATGGCATGATATATAATAATTACTTTAATGTTCAAAATAAAATCACCTCAAAAGTGAAATTTCTTATAGGCGCGATCGTCACTAAGCGGGCAGCTGTAGTAAACTGAGGCAGGTCGGCCGCATGACCGGAAACCACGCGCTCGGTCGACCCAAACGTGTACCAACAAATATCGTAAGTCGACGACACCATCGGATGTCGAGTTGCATTTTCGATGAAATTTACATCGTAACTCGAAATTATTGTAAGTAGGGGCAATCGTAAGTCGAGGTGCCACTGTACTACCAAATTTATAAGTCACTATAAGTACTGTACTACCAAAGTTAAAATTAGTGCCATTTGAAGTTGAAAAGTTTGGCCATTTAAAATTAGTTGAAGCTAGGCTTCAACTCAAAATACCCAAAGTCATTTATTGATAAAGCCAGCCAAATTGCTTGTACGGCTTTCTTTAATTTGAAAAAGAAAGAAGCGTTCTGTATTTAGAATACATTAATTCTGCCATTTCAATTAAATTCCTACAACAATTTAATATCAATGTAGCCTTTAGGAATCTTGAAACACAATTTGCTGCTTAGCTAGCACCTTGTGTTGTGAAACTGGTATGGAGGCAAATTATTTTATTATCATTTTTGAGGAAGATATTGAGGCATTGTTTTTTGTGCCAAGATGCTTCCTTTGGCTAGCTGGTTCTCCAGTTGCAGCTAGTGGACTCTGTGCCTGTAAATCCATGTTTCATTCAGCCTTCTAGCCTCTTTTCCTGGTGAAAACACCAAAACTATGATGGCCAGCAGGTGGCAGCAAGGATTATGTTTGAGGCCTCGGCCTCGAGATCTCCTCTAGGGAAGGTGTGTAGGGGCTTGGAGCACAATTCTTTCCTTTCAGTTCCTCACTCTTGTTTTTCCGGGATGCTGCATTAGTTTGGCGAGCTCTGATGTTGGTCCCTATGTGTCTGAGTGATGAGAGGATTCTGGGGTTTCAGTGGTCTCAAGCTAAGTGCCTCCTTGGTTCTCTGTCAGGTGCATTTCTGGATGTCTGCTTTTCTCCAGATTCATCCCTCTTGTGCAAGTTTCCAGTTTTCTGCCTGCATTCTTTGCAATCTTTGCAGGACTTGCTGTTACAGGTATTCTTGTTGTGAGCCTGGGACCATCGCAGCCTGAGAAATAGATCCTGGTTCCTTTGAATATGAATTCACTGCCACTTTCTAAATGAAGTGCCAACCTTTCAATGGTGCATTATTTGTGGCTTGCCTCTCCTATGAGGTCAGATTATGGTACTTCTACAACCAGCTTCCTCAATTGATGACAGTTTTGCTCTCTGTGGATCACTAGGCTCGTGTAAAATTTTAAGGGGTTCTCTGGGACCCATTTGCAGTCATTGGTGCAAACTCTGGCTTCTTTGCCAGTCTTGCTGTCAGCTGAGGTCTTATTCAAGTTGTGTGCACTGCTGCAGGATGTGGTGGTGGTGGACTTCTGTGTGGCTCATCATGCCTATGAGCAAGTTATTTTGGATCATTTCCAGGAATGTCAGAAAACTTTTCCTACTTCCTGTCTCATCATTTTTACCCCTTCTCTTCCCAGTAAAGTTGTGGGGATGTTAGCTGCAATGAGAATATCTTTCCAACAGCTCCACCATGTGTTTTGATTGAAGCTAGTTCAGCTCACCTTTTCTCAGGGGTGTGGGTATTTGCTGTGGTCTCCTGGATGAGGTGCTGGTGCATCAGTGGTCCACGTTAGTATGGTCTTTTGCCTATCGCCATTAATGGCGAGTTAAGATAGAAAATCACCCAATGCTGGCAGGCAACTGGCTTCCTTTGTCTTGGCAGCCCTTTTATGGCAAGTCCCAGTAATGGTGTGGTAGGAAAAGAACCTGTGTATCTTCCCGTCCATCTCACTGGACTGTGAATTCCCAGCAGAGAAGCAAAACGTTTCTGGAGAAGAAGGTAACCCTCCTAGAAGCTGACTTTCAGAGATTACATCAGTCTCACAGAGGCTAATTTAGCCAAAGGCTGCTGGCCCTTGTGCAGCCTCACAGAGGCTGATTTAGTCTCTGAAATCAGCACTAGACCCAAATGCTGATTTAGTCTCTGAAATCAGCACTAGACCCAAATGCTGATTTAGTCTCTGAAATCAGCACTAGACCCAAATGCTGATTTCAGCTGGCACTCCCACACAGCATTACCAGTTAAGGCTGAGTTAGTCTATGGAGCTCACCACAACCTTCTAAGAGGCCCCCAATGTGTCAGCTTCTGCTGGCCCTTGTGCAAAATGGTTATTTGGAATAAGGAAGAATAGGAATGATGTCTAGTAGCAATATTGCCCAGGCTGAAAGAGCAAAGAAGAAAAGAAAGATTTCCTGTTTATGAAAAGAAGGAATTGGTTATGTAATTTGAGTGGTCTTACTGTAACAAAGGACTAAGGCATTAATACCAGCACTGTTAGCTAAGAGTAATGTACATAAAGTGCTGCAGTGCAAAATGTATGCAAAACAGTATTGTGCTGAAATCATTGTAGAAAATTTGTGAAATTTACCAAACTCCAGATGTAATGGAATTTTAAACAGGCCTGATGTGGTTTGGTTCCAATTAGTCCATTTAACCAGGAATAAAGTATACTGTATTATACTTTTTCCACATATTGTGCTCTTATGTCGTGTGTTTTGTTTAAGTCAGTTTGACAGAATGCATTGTATTATGCAAATTTTAAGTTAAGCTAAAGCACATAAGGCCACATTTGCATTGAACACAAGACGGTACTAAGGCGAATGCTACACTTAGTTGCCAGATAATTGTTCATCACATCCATTCAGGCTTAGAATACAAATTTTGTTCCATGAAGTGTTAATGGTAAATTTATGTTTTTCTAATGTAGATTTTGGTTATAATTTTTTTATATCATAAAAATTCTTGTATAAGAGTACTGTACAGTATTGTACTGTTAATAATTTTTGTCCTCTGCCACTGTGCTTTTTTTGCATATCATATAATGTACTTGTTTTCATGGTGACAATGATGATAAGCATCATATATATCTCCAGTAGATTCTTTTGATAGATAGATTCTTTATTTGATTTTCTTTATCTTTCAGAATACTGAGCCAAGATGGGGAAGGCAGAAAAAGGTACGCCAAAAGATTTGGCTAATAAGATGAAGGCGAAGGGTTTGCAGAAGCTTCGGTGGTATTGTCAGATGTGCGAGAAACAATGCCGGGATGAAAATGGCTTCAAATGTCACACTATGTCTGAAAGTCACCAAAGACAACTTCTTCTCTTTGCTGAGGACCCTGATAAATACCTGGATAGCTTCTCTCAGGAATTTTTGGATGGTTACACCAGTCTCCTTAAACGTCGATTTGGCACAAAGCGTGTTCATGCCAACAACGTATATCAGGAATATATTCATGATCGACATCATATTCACATGAATGCCACGCAGTGGGAAACTCTGACAGATTTTGTTAAATGGCTTGGTCGTGAAGGTCACTGTGTAGTGGATGAAACCGAGAAAGGTTGGTACGTGGCTTATATTGACCGAGATCCAGAGACAATTAGAAGACAAGAGCAGATGAAAAGACGGGAAAAATTTGAGAAGGATGAGGAAGAAAGAATGCAAGATTTCATTAATAAACAAATTGAACTAGGACGCTCAAAGCTGGCTGAGGATGGTGAGACTCAGTTTACGGAATTACAACGTGATGAAGGGGAGACTATAGCTCTCAACATCAAGTTAGGAGGAAGTAAATCAGCTAAGCCAAAATTGGAAGGAAATAGTGCGCTAAAGGCACCTTCAACTAGCAAGATAAAGATTCAAGAAAAAATAAAAAAGGATGTTAAAAAGAGGACAGCTTTAGATGACATAATGGAAGAAGAGATGAGAGGGAAGAAATCCAAAGAAATTTATTCTAAAAGGCAGCTGGATGGAAAGTCGCAGTCTGAGGAAGGTCCTTGGTTGGTCAAAAATATTGTTGTCAAAGTGATTACAAAAGACTTAGGTTCCAAATATTACAAGCAAAAAGGGGTTATTCGAGAAGTAATTGATAAATATGCTGGTTTAGTGAAGTTATTTGAATGTGGAACTAAACTAAAACTAGACCAGGCACACTTAGAGACTGTAGTCCCATCCATAAACAGAAAAGTACAGATTGTTGGAGGTCGATACCGGGGACAAGAGGCTATGCTCAAAAGCATTCAAGAAGCGTCCTTTAGTGCCACTTTAGAGCTACAAGATGGCAAGATTATAAACGAGGTTCCATATGAACATTTTAGTAAATTATATAGTTCTTGATTAGAAAGTAGAATGTAAGTTGTTAACTGATAAGAGTAGATGGTGCCCAAATTGGCTAAATAACTTGAATTTATCAATTTGTATTACAGTAATTTTATATTTTTATTTGTTTAGAAATTAGAAGTTTGTCAGTAAACATTTGCTGTGAACAGAGTTGTCTGTTTAATTATTTGGTAATTTCTTAAGTTTTATGTCATTTTGTTTTAATATAAAATGCAAATGTTGTCCAGTAACATTGTACACATTAGACAAAAAAATTTCCCAATGAGAGTTTAAATTACGGACTGAGAGTCATAAGGAAGCACGTCAATTGGTCCAAAAGAACGGTTGTAGTTACAATTTAATGGACAAATTATGATATAAATTCTTTAATATATCAATTACATAGTACAATATTGTTAGAAATTTATGACACAAATTTCCTTTCATAGCTTTGCAAAAAAAAAAGAAAAAAGAAAAAAAAAGATAGTTTATACAGCACTGTTAAATATTTCTTCTGTCGTGTCAAAATGCTTATAAATATGGCTTTGTGCTGTTGATCAGTTATAAACATTTAGGATACTCTACAGAGGTAAATTTTCTATGACTTTTATAATAAAATGATTTTCTGTACAAATACAGTATTACATTTTTGTACCATGTCTAAATGTGTGACTCTAGCTGGTTATGACAAAATTGAACAAATGTAGTGTATTGTCCTTTATAAGGAAAAAATAAGAAATATTTGGTTAACAAACATTTAAGTAAAAATAGCAAGATCTTGTTAAATTTACATAAAGCTACAAAATCTTATTTAAATTTGTATATTTTTAAATAGTTATTGCTTAACACTTTTAATGTAACATATTTTAGGTAATGGTAATAAATGTTAAAGTTATGTAGATTTTCCATAACCTACATTACATAGGTTTCAGTTGAAGTGAGTTACCATTGTTGAGAGCTGCTATTGTTAATTAAGTAAATCTTATCTTCAATAACAAAGAAAACAGACCATTCAATTGACAAAAAACTGTCATATTTTTATTATAATAATAAAACTGTAATGAGAAAATCCACCAGGGCTGTGAGGTGGCGTGACCCTACGACCTCAGCATTATCAGTCACATACTCTACCACTGGACCATCGCTGACTTGTTGAGGTCAACCGGATTTCTACTGAAATCACAGAAAATCTGGATGCGCCTACAGAATGAAGTCAGTCCAAGTGTTTACATATGCAACCCGTTCTCGCAAATTCGTAAAGTCAATATTGACTTATTAACTACGTGCATAGGTGATATACTAAACATAATAGATACCCTTAAAAAGATTCATAGAAAACACCGACCTTACCTAACCTTGTTAGTATCTTAAGATAAGCATCTTATTGCTTCGTAATTACAATTATTACTTAACCTATACCTATTATAGGTTAGGTAATAATTGTAATTACGAAGCAATAAGATGCTTATCTTAAGATACTAACAAGGTTAGGTAAGGTCGGTGTTTTCTATGAATCTTTTTAAGGGTATCTATTATGTTAAGTATGTCACCTATGCACATATTTAATAAGTCAATATTGACTTATTAAATTTGCGAGAACGGGTTGACATATGACCCACAAGCACTCCGGTGGAAGGCCAGAGTGGTCCCACACCTTATTCACTCGGAACGGAAACCAGCGAGGATCGGCGGAGTGCAGGCCCCTCAAGCTGCTCAGAAAGTTAACACTTTCGCCCGGGCATGACGCAGCATTGCGTCATCCGTTTACTGGCGGTAATACCAGGGATGACGCAGCATTGCGTCATCCACTTTAAATAATCGCCAAAAATCAGGTTTTTATCCGATTTTTTGGGGACTTGTTTTAAAATGTTTGCCGATTTCTTCCCATTTTCTTTGTTGAGCCTCGTGGCCCTCAGGTGGCTTGGCACACTCCGTCGGCCCATTGTTTTCGCTCCACTGTTGTGACCAATGTCGCCTCCCCTCACATCTCAAACGTGTGAACATTTCGTCTATTTTCCGTGGCTATATTTCTTACTGCGGCTTTAGAAACTATCTACGCTTACTCCACGATGGATAGTGATCATGAACAAGGCCCTTCCAGGAGGAAAATTGCGAAAGAAAGGCTTGAAAAGGAAGGGAATTGGGAGTGTAGCTAGAAGGCGTCTGAGCACTCACTCACGGCTAACGCGTGGCCCGTCTTCAACTCGTCGGCGGTTGGAGTGTGACCAGGTTTTTTATTTTATATGCTAATGTTCCTCTAGAGAATTCTATTGCGAACCCATTGAGACCAAAATGAAAGACCTAGGACAAAAATTGAGGTGACCAGAGTGAAAATAGTTAAAACATTTTATCGCGTTTGCGCACTCCTGGGTAACTCATTTGCACTTTCTCTGTTTGCTGCGGGTAATTAGCCGGGCTTTTGGAGTTTATATGCATTTAGTGCTGTAGAGAATTCTATTGCGAACACAATGATACCAAATTTAATCTCGTAGGACGAGAATTAAGGTGACAAAGTTGAAGAGAGTATACACTTTTCAGAATTTACGCGCGCTCCCATGACACCCTGGGTCCCATATCGCACAGTTGAAGGGTGGCGCGGGGGTACACCAAAGTGTTAAGGAGGTACCGAAGCGAATTTTGGTTGTGGGAGATTCCCAGGTGAGGTATTTAGACAGAACGTTTTGTGCCAGAGATAGGGGGAACAGATTAAGGGTTTGCTATCCGGGAGCTGGAATTGGTGATATTGTTGGAAACATGAATGATATTATGATGGGAAATGGGAACAAACCCATTATTTGTATTAGTGCAGGGGGTAATGATGTTGGGCGAGTTAGGAGTGAGGAACTAATACAGAGATTCAGGACAGCCATTGAATTAATTAAGAGCAAGGGAGGAATCCCGATCATATGTGGCATTCTTCCAAGAAAGGGAGTGGGAAATGAATGGATGTCGAGGGCACTTGGTGTCAATTGCCGGCTGGAAAGATATTGCAAATCAAATGCAATATCTTTCATAGACAACTGGGAACACTTCTATGGAAGAAATGAAATGTATGCTCGTGATGGGGTGCATCTATCCAGGGCTGGGGTTGTTGCTGTTGCGAACTCGTTGGAACCAGTGGTTAGAGGTGTTTGTTTGGGTTTAAACTGTTAGTAGATAGTGGTATGGGAATTGATTTGGAGGAAGGAGGTAATAAAAGTATGTGTTCGTGGGAGAAAAGAATTGGCAAAATGATCAGGGAAAGAAAAGGGCCTCAAAATAACAATTCACTTAGGGTATATTACACTAACAGTAGAAGTCTAAGAAATAAAATTAACGAATTAAATGCTCTTGTCTGCACAGAAAAAATAGATATTATTGCACTTACCGAAACGTGGATGAATGTAGAAAATAGAGAACTATGCCTTCAGCCGAACAAGTCTATGTGGGTGGGGACGAGGACAGGTTGACGAGTTTAGCAGTTACCAGGGAGGATGTTCTTAAACAAATAGTAAAACTCAAACCAAACAAATCCCCAGGGCCGGATGAAGTGTTTGCCAGGGTGCTTAAAGAATGCAAAGAGGAGCTTTGTGACCCACTGTCAACCATATTTAATAAATCAATAGTCAGGCAGAGTGCCAGAGTTTTGGAAAGTTGCTAATGTGATACCAGTTTTTAAGAAAGGAGATAGATCACTTGCGTCTAACTATCGGCCAATTAGCCTAACGTCTATTGTGGGAAAGTTACTCGAATCTATAATAGCAAATAAAATTCGTCTTCATCTTGAAAAACATAAATTAATAATTGAGTCGCAACATGGTTTTATAAATGGCCGTTCATGTTTAACAAATTTGTTATTTTTTTATTCTAGCATAGTTGAGGCAGTTGATAGTGGTAAGGATTGTGATGTTGTGTACCTTGACTTTAGCAAAGCTTTTGATACAGTGCCACATGAAAGACTGATTAAAAAGATAGAGGCTCATGGTATTGGGGGTGCTATATTAAGCTGGATTAGGGCATGGCTATTCCAAAGGAAACAGAGTTAGTATAAATGGAGTCAAGTCAGAGTGGGAAAATGTTGTAAGTGGAGTGCCTCAAGGCTCTGTCCTGGGACCTCTGTTGTTTATAATATATATAAATGATTTAGATTCAGGTTTGAGTAGCAACATTTGCAAATTTGCCAATGATACGAAAATCGGTAGGGAAATTAATTCGGAGGAGGACTCACTATCACTTCAAGTTGATCTAGATAGGGTTTTGAAATGGTCGAAGGATTGGCAGATGCAGTTTAATGCTGATAAATGTAAAGTTCTGAGGTTAGGTAATGATGATAGGGTTACAAGATACGAGCTAGATGGTGTTGAGATTGCGAAGTCGAATTGCGAAAGGGATCTGGGAGTTATGATTAGTAAGAATTTAAAACAAAAGGATCAATGCATAAATGTTCGTAATAAGGCAAATCGGACACTTGGATTTATTAATCGCAGCGTTAGTAACAAGACACCTGGTGTGGTTCTCAAGCTATATCTTGCTCTAGTTAGGCCCCATTTAGATTATGCAGTTCAGTTTTGGTCGCCATATTTTAGAATGGATATAAATTCACTTGAACGTGTCCAGCGTAGGATGACTAAGTTAATTCCCCAAATTAGAAATCTTTCATATGAAGAAAGATTAACAAAGCTTAAGTTGCATTCAATGGAAAGGCGAAGAGTTAAGAGGTGACATGATAGAGGTTTACAAGTGGATGAATGGACATAACGAAGGGGATATTAATAGGGTATTAAAAGTATCAACACAAGACAGAACACGAAACAATGGGTATAAATTGGATAAGTTTAGATTTAGGAAAGACTTGGGTAAATACTGGTTCAGTAACAGGGTTGTTGATTTGTGGAAGGTGGGGTCTCTCGATTGTTTCAAACGTGGGTTGGACATGTATATGAGTGGGATTGGGTGGTTATAAATAGGAACTGCCTCGTATGGGCCAATTGGCCTTCTGCAGTTACCTTTGTTCTTATGTTCTTTATGCAGTTACATTCATTTTTATGTTAAAAGTTGTAGCATGGACGCCTGTCTTTTGCCTGGTCTTTGCCACGGACAGTCTTACCTGGACCACAGGACAGGTGGAATGCACCTCGCTCACCACATAAATACGCCGAGATAGAGCGCGAATAGCCAGTCTTTCCCGAGCCTGTGAGCTACGAGTAAAAGTGGATCTACTCTTGCGATAGTCGTCGTTCAAATACTCCTCTGCTAACTGCGGTGGTCCCTACAAGCGACGATTCCCAAGTAGAATCTTTTCTTTATCTTTCAGAATACTGAGCCAAGATGGGGAAGGCAGAAAAAGGTACGCCAAAAGATTTGGCCAATAAGATGAAGGCGAAGGGTTTGCAGAAGCTTCGGTGGTATTGTCAGATGTGCGAGAAACAATGCCGGGATGAAAATGGCTTCAAATGTCTGTCTATGTCTGAAAGTCACCAAAGACAACTTCTTCTCTTTGCTGAGGACCCTGATAAATACCTGGATAGCTTCTCTCAGGAATTTTTGGATGGTTACACCAGTCTCCTTAAACGTCGATTTGGCACAAAGCGTGTTCATGCCAACAACGTATATCAGGAATATATTCATGATCGACATCATATTCACATGAATGCCACGCAGTGGGAAACTCTGACAGATTTTGTTAAATGGCTTGGTCGTGAAGGTCACTGTGTAGTGGATGAAACCGAGAAAGGTTGGTACGTGGCTTATATTGACCGAGATCCAGAGACAATTAGAAGACAAGAGCAGATGAAAAGACGGGAAAAATTTGAGAAGGATGAGGAAGAAGGAATGCAAGATTTCATTAATAAACAAATTGAACTAGGACGCTCAAAGCTGGCTGAGGATGGTGAGACTCAGTTTACGGAATTACAACGTGATGAAGGGGAGACTATAGCTCTCAACATCAAGTTAGGAGGAAGTAAATCAGCTAAGCCAAAATTGGAAGGAAATAGTGCGCTAAAGGCACCTTCAACTAGCAAGATAAAGGTTCAAGAAAAAATAAAAAAGGATGTTAAAAAGAGGACAGCTTTAGATGACATAATGGAAGAAGAGATGAGAGGGAAGAAATCCAAAGAAATTTATTCTAAAAGGCAGCTGGATGGAAAGTCGCAGTCTGAGGAAGGTCCTTGGTTGGTCAAAAATATTGTTGTCAATGTGATTACAAAAGACTTAGGTTCCAAATATTACAAGCAAAAAGGGGTTATTCGAGAAGTAATTGATAAATATGCTGGTTTAGTGAAGTTATTTGAATGTGGAACTAAACTAAAACTAGACCAGGCACACTTAGAGACTGTAGTCCCATCCATAAACAGAAAAGTACAGATTGTTGGAGGTCGATACCGGGGACAAGAGGCTATGCTCAAAAGCATTCAAGAAGCGTCCTTTAGCGCCACTTTAGAGCTACAAGATGGCAAAATTGTAAAGAAGTACCATATGAACACTTTAGTAAATTATATCACTCCCTAACGAATTAAAAAGTTGTCAAACCTACGAAATATTCAAAAGTAAAGTAAAGAAAGTACTTAATTTCATCCTCATAGTTTCCTACCTAGTGCTTCAAACTCGCATTGTATCTTGTGCTACCCGCTCCCCCAAAAATATGTCTAAGCCACACAACTTTGTTTTAATCATTGCTATCATTTTATATCATGCTTTAATCATTGCTATCATTTTATATCATGCTTTAATCATTGCTATCATTTTATATCATGTTTTAATCATTGCTATCATTTTATATCATGTTTTAATCATTGCTATCATTTTATATCATGTTTTAATCACTGCTATCATTTTATATCATAGTTGTCATGTTATGAACGCAAATTTCACTGAACAAGTCCGTTCAGTGCGTTTGCACTGAACGGACTACAGTGCACCTAGAAATAATCCTCAAATTATGCTACTATGTACCTGTTGATAATCATTAAACTTTACTATAATGGACCTCCTAGTTTTCTTACAATATACCTGTTAACATTTTTCAATTTTGCTACAAATTACCTTCTTAATATTATCTGTTAGATTAAGGACCCACTATGCATGTTAGTGACTTTACAAGAATGTAAAATATACTCTGTTATATATAAATGTTATATATACTCTCATAAATCCAATGTATCTTGTATTATATATATATATATATATATATATATATATATATATATATATATATATATATATATATATATATATATATATATAAAATAAAGATTCAAGAATTATATAAATACGCAATAAAAATAGAAAAAGTATGAGTACATAATAAACTAAACCTCCACGTACCCCTTTATAATTACTGGTGATCGCTCTCACGAAAGTATAAAGGTTGTTCCTCCGCCCGTGGCAGACAGCAGCCGACTGCCGCCTCTTCCACAAATATCGGGAAAGGATAACAAGGGAACGCCCACTCCGCCCAGCGACAAACTATCAGAACTACCATTTAATATGGTATTTACCTGAGGGGTCACTATCTCTAGTGCAGCACCGCGCCTGTGCCAGCCTGGTAAGTCCACTACGGGCTCACCATAGCCCGTGCTACTTGCACCGCTCCTGTGCCAGGTAGGTCCACTACGGGCTCACCATAGCCCGTGCTACTTGGAACTTGTTCTGAGTAGCTGAATCTATAACAACATATCTCTAGTGGCCTCGATGGGGACAAAGTCGGTGACTTGTTAAATATACCCAAGGAATTTTTTTTCCAGCCGTCAAATACTATAAACGATGTAGGCTATTAAAATTTATTGTACGTGTACCATTGTTTATAATGGTAATACTTACATGCTGCCATACATCACGATAGTCGCAAATCTGGCACAATGTTGAGATTTTTTTAGTATATGTTAACACTTTCTTGAACAATTCTCATTAGGTAAATATTAAAAGGTCACGAAATCTTAATTTATGGTTCAAGAAACCGTTGACAAAATTCTTGTTTTGACTAACCAGTAAAAAAAACATCGGTCACTTTGAAATTTTGTACGTTGTGCCACAACGTACAAAAAAATGTTGTACTAAAACTAATATAGAAAATGTGAATGATTTATAGAACAACATATTTTGTCCATTGGGGATTTTGACGTCAAAATGCTTTTATTTGAGAGGACAGGTTGTGAGAACCCTGCCCCAAGCTGTTATTTTTCTGCTCATTCCAATCCTCTTTCACTTTCCTCTATCTTTATCCCCCCCCCCTCACCACCTCTCTTCGTCCACTAACCCCCTCAACATTTCTGTCTTTTTTTTTCTCTATACTTCTTCCTATTTCGTTTTCTCCCTCTATACTTCCTCTTTCTCATACATCTAAATGTTTCATTCCCTGTTCTCTCATCTATACCTTCTCACCTTGACCCACTTTAATAAACAAAATAAGCTCTTGGAATAAATATGAACGATGAAACTTGAGAAAAATTGGCTACAAAAAAAAATCTCAAAGATGTCGATAATTTCCTGTCTCGGTAGATAATAAATTTTACGTATATATGAACAATGAGCCAAATGAAGAAACTATTTATCACCTAGTAATTAATATAATGAACAGATAGCACAGGAAATGAAACTAGGAAATGCATTTGGTATTTTCGAGTAATATCAGATCGTCATGAAATTCCTCCTCTTGTGTCAGCTCCTGCAGGATGCCGTGGTGATGGTAGGTGTGCATGATGTTCTTAGGACTACTGAATTGATCGTGGATCATAGTCATGAAGATCCTCCTGCTCTTGGGTCAGCTCCTGTAGGGTGGGAGGTATGGATGTTGTGTTCTTAGGGCTGGTGAACTTCTCGTGGATCATAGTTCGTCATGAAGCTCCTCCTGCTCTTGGGCCAGCTCTAATAGGATATCGTGGTGGTGGTAGGCGTGGATGTTGTACAGCATCTGTGCGTGCTCTGGGCTGGTGAACTTCTCGCGGTAGAACGATCCATCCTCGCCCAGCACTAACGTCTCTTGACTCTCAGTTGTAAACAGGGGCCAGTCTTCCCGAGGAACTCTGCCAAGAGATTACAACATTAAGTGAGAGTGTAGTGAACCGCTTATTGCATTAGATATTATATTTATTTGAATATTTACTAGCGCAGTGAAATATTTTGTATGTGTTAAAGCTAATAAAGTAGTCGAGAGACAATTTGCAGTAATTTTAAAATCATCATAGTTAATCAGTTTTAAACAAGGGATACCAAGAGAAAGATGGAGTTCGAAGAGTGGCCATAAAAAATAAGATTAATGAACAACAAATAATGAAGGTTAAAATACTGAAAAACATATAATGAAGGTGATTAAGAGCATATTCACAAAGAAATCACATTTACGTGAAGTATAATAAATTCTGTCTTCAGATAAATTAGACCCTTCGTTATTTCGAGGAATTTTTCCAGCTGAATTAAAACAAACGTGGTGGTTTCCGTTCCACTGAGTGCCCAAGAGTTAACCTTGTATCGCCGATACTCAATATAGTTAAACAAATCTTTATTCTAACATCAATTACATCACATAACAAGTGGCTGCAAAGTACTTTATGAACGTACCAGACCATAGTGTTTCGTATATGAGCCAAGGGCCAACGTTGTTTAAGATTCGCTACCTGGAACAAAAGGTTCCAAGTAGCACGGGCTATGGCGAGCCCGTAGGGCCAACGTCGCCCGTAAATCAACCTGAACATAACATTTCACAGAGTCCTCACCGCCCATAAGCATAGTTCTCCACGATGTCAATGAGATCCCGGCTGATGACTCGCTGCTCGCTGGAGAGGTTGAAGAGTCCGTGCTCCGGCAGGAGGAGCATCATCTCGTCCCCGTGGCCCACGGCGGGAGGCATGGGCGGCGCCTCTGAGGGATCCGGGTGGCGCAGAGTAAATAGTTTGGGTCCTCCCATGTATTCGAACCTGGCCAGGGATACAAGAGTGTGTTGTAAATGATACAAGTCATATTATACATAAGAAGGTTCGCTGACGGGTTATAAAGCCTACTTAACCTTACCTAACCCAGCCGAACCCAAGCTAAAACATCATAATCTAAGGCCCATTATTTACTGTTTTAAGCCTATTTACACGTTAAAATATACCTTCTTGTATATAAATAAATAAATAAAAGCCTGACATGTATGAATACACTCTGGTTTCCTGTCTCCCGACACAGTGAATTAGTAATTATATATAGCTTTGTGTGTACTTTGGTGCGAGTAGGTTGGGAACCTACTCGCGTACCACTTGTTGCTATTCATTCTTTATTTAAGAGCTCTACTTCCACTTTCAATAATGATGAGTACTGATCCTGGACACATGTCTACCAACCTTAACACGCGGGTCAACACGTGCTCTGAGAGAAGGTTGGCAGCACTGAGGATTCCCGCCTTGAACTGCAGGTCTCCAAACATCTGCAAGATAATATATTAATTATATTTGACAAAGTATTTGATACATACATTATCATAAAACAGGTTTCTCGATCTGTTACACCGTAAACAATGCAACTGTTTTGCCTAATCAGAAACGTTAGTAAACAACCCACTTACCTTGTCGAAGCAGATGCATAAATATCATCAATATTGCGGTGGTTTAATTTGTACTAATACGCCGCGAATTTAACGGATTGGTCGATTCAGTAAAAAAACTAAAAAAAAAAAACACTACCATTTTCAGTCAAAAATAGATGAGAGCATCTATTGTCATTAGTGAAGTATTAACACTGAGAAAAAGGTGAATAATATTGCAAAAGATCATAGATATTAGATAACAAAACTTTGCAAATATCCCTCGTCCATTTATTATATTATTCATAATATAGCAAGGAGCACAAGGCATTACACATAGCATACACTAAGAGTCATCCATAGCTTCGGCTTACTCAAAAATCCACAGATTAGGCTTGCTCAAACAGCCACAGATTAGGCTTGCTCAAACAGCCACAGATTAGGCTTGCTCAAACAGCCACAGATTAGGCTTGCTCAAACAGCCACAGATTAGGCTTGCTCAAACAGCCACAGATTAGGCTTGCTCAAACAGCCACAGATTAGGCTTGCTCAAACAGCCACAGATTAGGCTTGCTCAAACAGCCACAGATTAGGCTTGCTCAAACAGCCACAGATTAGGTTTGCATACAAATCCACAGATTAAGATTGTTAAAACATCCATAGATTAGGCTTGCTCAAATATCCACATATTAAGTTTACTCAAACATCTACAGCTTGCTGAAATATCCATACATTAGGCCTGCTCAAACATCCATAGATGCAGGGAAGAGGTAGTATGAATGACATAAATGACGTGACACGGTAGAATCCACTTCATTCTCAAGATTTAAATGAAGAGAAATACAAATTGTAATGTTTGATTCATTTGTAATTAATTATCATACTGAATCAAAACATTTCTGTATTTACACTGATGACAACTTACTTGTGATAGACCCGGGAGGATTTCGTCGATGTTGTTAAACTTAATTCCTGGAAAATAGAACTCCGCAAACTCTTCCTCGTGTGTTGTGAAGTCAGAAATATCTGTTGAGGATAAGACAATAATGTGATTACAGTACTCACCTAGTTGTGCTTGCAGGGGTTGAGCTCTGGCTCTTTGGTCCCGCCTCTCAACCGTCAATCAACAGGTGTACAGGTTCCTGAGCCTATTGGGCTCTATCATATCTACACTTGAAACTGTGTATGGAGTCAGCCTCCACCACATCACTTCCTAATGCATTCCATTTGTCAACCACTCTGACACTAAAAAAAAAGTTCTTTCTAATATCTCTGTGGCTCATTTGGGAACTCAGTTTCCACCTGTGTCCCCTAGTGCGTGTTCCCCTTGTGTTAAACAGCCTGTCTTTATCAACCCTGTCAACACACCGTGTGTGTGTGTGGATAGGCAGGCAGGAGGGTTACTAAGTAGACAAAATATTGAACTTCTTACAAGGAAGGAAGCATTGTGATGGTATGAAACATTGATTTACTATATCAACTATATGTAGTTTTTTCCTTGTAAATTAATGTATATATGACTCTTATTTATTATTTAATAAAGAGAAAAATAAATTATGCATTCATATCTACAAGTGCATCCACCTTTATTCTGGGGTAATATATTGACTTAGAATAAATATACTTTAGGCTTGTATTAAGAACACCCCCCCCCACCCAAGGTCCAACCACTGACCCCCCCCCTCATGATGCAACCCCACAACAGTTGCCTAACTCCTGGGTACCTCTTGACTGCTGGGTGAACAGAGGCATTAGGTGAAAGGAAACATGCCTAACCACTTCTGACCCACCCCCGGGGATCAAACCCGTTATAGGATTTCAATGATAACCTATAGATCCCGAATTCAATTCCCAGTGGGACAGAAATGGTTGGGCAAGTTTCCTTTCATCTGATGCGTCTGTTCACTTTCAGTAAATAAGTGCCGGGACTTAATCAACCGTTGTGGGTTGTTAGCCTGTGATGTACAATTTATATAGCCACTAATTACATGCAGCGTTTCGGTCATGTTTACAGCAATTACTGTATCGAGTTTTACATTTTGAGATAATACTTATCACCTACCGTTTTCCTTGAGTAACAACTCAAGAAGTTTACCGAGAAACTCCTGGTCATTCGCTAGCTTGTACTCCATCAACTCGTAAAATTCTGCAATACCAAAAGCATTCGTTAATACCACTCTGACCTGTATTAAAACAAAGATAATACAATAATTAGTTTTACCACCATTAAAGGTATAATCCATGGTTCGGTAGGCAGGAAACTAGTGCAAAAGTGTAAGCCAATTCTCTGGGGGCGGAGAAATTAGCTAGTCAGAGTAATCCATGGTTTGGAAGGCGGGGAAACTAGCACCAATTGTTGAACATACATAGATAAACATTATACAAAAGCCTCGTCCTTTCTTACCCATGTCAGTGTCGGTAGCTATAATAAACTTAATATCTGATAAGCCCTTCAAGCTACAAATCTGAAAATAAAGGAATTGACGATTTTTTTTGACGATGTTTCGCTCCGTCCATTATCAAACTAGCCGACGACTTCGCCGGCAGCAATCAAAATAGTCAATTCCATTATTTTCAGATTTGTAAGTTAGTAGTCTAATTTTCAGCCATGTTACTGCAACTATCTGGTTACTGAACGTACATAAACGTCATATAACAACCTGGGTTGCTTTTGTCCCCTCACCCATGTCAACGAGGTAGCTGCCGACAGCTCTGGTCACGCCCATGAGGACGGGCACCTTGTGGAAACTGCCTTCAGTGAGGCCCTTGAGCGGGTGCTGGTGAAGGAAGAGGCTGCTCTCGTCGCTCTGCTCAGCCTTCTGCACGTGCGGCGCCAGCCTGTGGTTCCCCACCAGTGGGTCGCGACCCTGTAGTCACCATATTAACTGTTAACTCCAACAAATTTAAAACTAAATTCACTTATTTATTTAAGTTATGCCCAAACGCTCTGGGTAATTAGTGGCTTTATATGTTATACAATTGCTGTACCTACTATGTAACCACTGTAGTATATGTACCACTGTATTTTATAAATATTATTATTAGTATTATAGTTCTCACAACAGCAAACACGTAGCAAACAATCATTTATATTTGTATTTTTTGCATTATTTTAATTATTATAATTATTTCAATCCTTGGACTTGGCGGTAGAACGACGGTCTCGCTTCATGCAGGTCAGCGTTCAATCCCCGACCGTCCACAAGTGGTTGGGCATCATTCCTTGCCTCCACTCCATCCCAAATCCTTATCCTGACCCCTTCCCAGTGCTATATAGTCGTAATGGCTTGGTGCTTTTCTCCTGATAATTACCTATTATTAGCTCTCTCGAGTCTGGTTTGTTTTGTTAGTCCTGAGGCCCTCAACCTTACTTAGCTTCAAGATGGGTTTTTGTCATTTCAACTTTCTCCGAAGCAATTTACTTGAGGGTTACTAACAATAGTGGCCTCGACGGGGACAGGAAGCTGGCGGCTTGTCGAAGGTCCCCTCATTTGCACACAGAAATCACAATAGCGTGATGCATCAAATGAGCAAATCCACAAGGGCCGTGATGAGATTTCGAACTTACGCTCGGGATGATCCCAGACGCTGCCTTAGTCGACTAGGCCACGACATGGTAAAAGAATTGTAACCGGGAGTTCCACTGACCTCACGCGGATCCTGCAGCCTCTCCTAGACACAAACCAGGGTTTCACACAAATCCCCCATGCACTCGGGCTCTGCCAACAAGCTGTTCTGCCTCTTCGCCCTCACTTCAATACACTCATCTTCAGAAGACCCTGTCTCCTCATCTTCAGAAGACCCTGTCTTCTGAAGATGAGGTCACCATCTTCTTATGGTCTTTTGAAAGTGATGCCTCAAGGCCTGGATACAGTAGTCCAGATGGGGGGGCTCACCAAAGATTTTAAGGGCCTTAATAACCACCACCTTTTCTTTGAAATTAGAGGCTCCTAGGATTATTAGTCCAAAGATTTGGTTGGCTCTTTTCCTATCACAACTCTTGCTTGTTTATCGTTTCAATGGCTGGTGTTTCATAACTTCTTAAGGTCCCTTTCTCCAAAAGTCTGCTGCACAGGCATTGTTGATACGGTAGTCATGATAAGTAGTGGTATGTATATATACAAGATCTTGCATTTGTTAATATTGAAAAGCCTTTGCCTGTCTTCTGACTATTCGTGGAGATCGTGTATTGTTTTTCAAAACCTGAATACTGTTTCCGCTCCCGATTTTACCTTAGATTGTTACATCATATACAAATTTGATGGTGGATTGTGATTTTGTCATCTATATCGTAGATCTGTATTACAAAAAGGGTTGGCCCTAAAATGGAACCTTGTAGTACTCCACTCAGAACATTTTCTCATCAGATTCTCTTCCATTCAGTTCAACTCTTAGCTTTATTTTAACAATCTGTTATATCTATTTTTACCCATTTTATTTTTATCAAAAGCTTTATTGAAGCCGACGTAGATTACATCTAGTGAAGTCCTTTATTTGCATATTTGCTGCCGTTTCCATATATGTAAACAGCTTCGTTAGGCACCGTTTCCAGAAATGTAAACGGCTTCATTAGGCACCGTTTCCAAAAATGTAAACAGCTTCATTAGGCACCGTTTCCAGAAATGTAAACAGGTTCGTTAGGCACCGTTTCCAGAAATGTAAACATCTTCATTAGGCACCGTTTCCAGAAATGTAAACAGGTTCGTTAGGTGGGCAGGATTTATTGTTGACACAATCTATATTGTTATCCTTTTACAAGATTGTAAAAAGATGGTGTAATGTAAGGCCGATTTGTTTGTAGTTTCCATCTAGGGGAAATTTTCCTTTGTCAAGAATTCATCGGACAGTTCTTATACTATTTTTTAACGAGGTAGGAATAGTGAATGAATTGGTGGGGGGTTTGAATATTGTTGCCTTCGTTTTCTATATTGCTGTGAAGCCTATAATATCCTTTGGTAAAAGCTTGTGAAACTCAAGAATGGGAATCTGATATTGATGATGAATTACTATATTTCTATTGTTATAATTATTATTAATAATAGTGACAGATTCAGAGAAACCCCCAAGTCGAGAGTACCTGGTTGTAAATCACTTAGCAGGATGTGTTTCAGTGAAAACTAGTAGGCTAAGGCTTAAGATGAGCTAACAAGAGTCGGCTCCTGTACGCTGCCTAAACAGACTAATATCAAACAACGTTTCGCCTATAAGGACTTTATCCAATGCAAAAATCTTTCCTCTACAATTAAAACCTATCTTCTTTGTGTTTGCATTATGATTACCATCAGTATTATAAGCTTTACCTCGATAACAATTTGAGTAGGTTCGAGGAGCTCTGCCTGGTCGAGCTCCTGGAGGCACTTGAGGAAGAGACTCTGGTCGTAGGCTGGACACTTTAGTATGTTGGCCAGAATGAGCATGAAACGATGGGTCCTGGAGTTGAGTGCCCATGGTGACAATGGCGACCCGGACAGTGATAACACGCGCTGGAACAGACCTGTTACACACCTTCGTTACTAGGCATATTGAGCACTCACAGTGGAACAGACCTGTTATACGCCTATGTTACTTGGTTTATTGAGCGCCTACGCTGGAACATACAGTACCTATAATTCTAGGCTTATTGAGCACCCACGGTGGAACAGACCTGTTAGTCACCTATGGTAATAGGCTTACTGAGCCTCTACAGTGGGACAGGCCTTTTGCACACCTACGTTACTAAGCTTACTGAGCAGACATAGTAGAAAAAATCTGTTGCACACATCCACGTTACTATGAGTTTATTGAGCGTTAAGGGTGGAACATTGCTAGGCTCAATTTAGTTTATTATACACCTAGTTATTCCTATCCCGTGAGTAGTAATGGAAAATGTTACAGACACAAAAACAAATCAAGAACTGAACGTAAATACAATAATGTAATTGTTACTATGAACATTAGTACTAACGTTGAATCAGCCCAATAACGGACGTGCGTTACTAAGTTTATTAGTTAAAATAAATATGCACGCTGTAATGTTTAGATAAATTCGTGAAATGATTATGGGCAAACACCAAAATCTTGATTTGATGAATATCATACAAGTAAGTAAGTGATTATCAAAAGAAGGCACCAGGGCGGGAAGGCTATGTAGCACCAGAATATCATACGAAAACAAACTAAATCAGAAATTCGAGTGGTGTCCCACCTTGCGATAGCGGAGACAGCATGTGGTAGATAGCGGCCGCCCCGCCTCCACAGTCTCCAGCAAGGGTGACTTCCTCAGGATTGCCGCCAAAGGCAGCGATGTTGTCGCGCACCCACCGAAGTGCTTCTACTTGATCCAGCATCCCCATGTTGCCTGGAATGCGTCCGGTGCTGGTGGCGAGAAACCCTGGAAAAAGGCTTTGTTAATGAGATTGTGCAGCCTAACAGGAGTCATTATACATTTTTCATTACATTTGGGAGTGTAATGTTACTCGGTTCGTATTTATTCGCTTGACTGAGGGCCATTTGTATCCTCAATATATATATATATATATATATATATATATATATATATATATATATATATATATATATATATATATATATATATATATATATATATATATATATATATATATATTAAATTTATATACCACCTTGTGCATCTGTTTGGTAGCGTGTATCATTTTCTTTAACGAATAAGCAATACCTGAGCATCTAAACATATCATCTCTTAGCAATTGTGACGACCTAAACCTATACATTCTATATAAGAACAAAACTGATCCTTGTGAATATTATTCCTAGTAAACCTTCCTGCGTAATTGCTAGACATAGACAGCATAACTATATACAGCCCATCCTCCTGTTTTGGTAGTATTTAGCATAGTAAATATACCGACGTTACACGCAATTAGAAAGCAGAAATCTGTACTATTGAAATTGGACAAACTGGAAAATATTTTCTATGTTGCAAAGGCAAACTAAACTAACCGAACCTAACCTTCCTAGGCCTAATACACGCTATCTGAGGCCTAATTGAGTATATATGTGCTAGGCTTATGAATATTTGAGATTTTTTTTAAGCTTCATATTTGTTCGGCTCTATAAACTGAATAGTACAAAATTCTATTTTTTAATTCCTTAGTACGTCAATATTTGTACTATGTTGCACGTTATAAAAATTACTATATAAACAGGATGGGTTGCTCTATAGCCATATCTTACTATATTTAATTCGTTTCTCATTCGCGAATATTAAATTTGGATGATTGTGTTAACTTTTACGACAATTTTGTTAAATATTTTTTTAATTGAGCAGTAAACTGGATTTGTAAAGTGATTGGAACAGAAAAATTATCAATAATAACTTTTTAAACTAACCAGCTAACTATCTTTTACAACTTTCTGAACGATGATACTCAGCCTAGATACTAATATTATCACATACAAGAGTTGTGGTACCTAAGAGACCCAGTCTGTACTGGGGAATGACGAGGACGATGTCCCGGTCCATCAGGAAGGACTCGTCCAGGGAGGCGGCGCCGCCCACCACGAAGCTGCCGCCATGGAGCCACACCACCACCGGCAGACTCACCACATCATCCGGAGCCGGCACCTGCCACATGCCTCGCCAGGGGAAGCAGGTGGACCGCCAGAGGAAGCAGGTGGACCGCCAGAGGAAGCAGGTGGACCGCCAGAGGAAGCGGGTGGACCGGCAGGTGGACCGCCAGGGGAAGCAGATGGCACGCCAGATAAAGTGGGTAATTATATGTTAACGAAGAATCATGATACATTGATCTTATTATTGCGAGGATAACATAATTAGCCTAGTCTAAATTGATTCTGTTGTCCATAGGCCACATTTGTATCTTCAAATCTATATCAGTAACATAGAATGCCTGTGTTTGTCAGAGGTTGGAAGCCTCGCCCAATTATCCACGATGGATCATAATGGGTAGGGGAGTGTCATAGGCTAGTTGGTTTCGGCCAAAGTGAAACGCTTGAAGAAATATAATTTATAGAGAGACTTCCTTCCCTATGCGATTTTCCTAAGTCATAATATTTGTTGTGTTATCCGTAGAATTGTTCAGCACTTACAATGCTTCTAAATAATATATTTTCTGAGAGAGGGAGAGGATGAGGTGGGGAACAGGAAAAGGCAAGGGGAAAGAGACCCGGGCACAGCCGGCTACCCCTTTCTATTTAATGTACACTAAGAACATGAGTAATGAAGACATGACAGAAGTATACAAATGGATAAATGGGTATAATAATAGGGATATTAACACAATGCTATATACATACATAACAATAAAACATGAAACAATGTATACAAACTGGATAAGTTTACAAGTTCAAAATACCTGGGTAAATACTGGCTTTGGACCAAATTACTAATAACGTAGCAGATGTGGGTTGGCTTCATTCTTACAAGCTTAGGTTAGACATGTATAATATGAAAAGACTTTGGCTTGGGTATAAATAGAAGCCGTCTCGCATGGGGAAGTTAACTACCTCTCGCAGGACGAGTACCAGGTGCACAATAAATTACCTCTCAAAATGAATACGAGGTACACTATAAACTACCATCTGCAGGATGAATACAGTTGGCTTTGTTCTCGACCCACAACCATGGATCCCGAGCTTAATATCCGTGCGGGAGAGAAATGATTGGGCACGTTTCCTTTCACCTGATGCCACTATTCACCACTATTCACGCAGTAGATTGGTACTCGGGAGGTAGGCAACTTTTTTTTTATTATTATTTTCTACCACAGACGTGGCCACACATTTACCCACACCAGCATATATACATTTTCTTCTGTCCTCCATGGACAGGGTTAGAGATCTGTTAAACATATAGTTCAGGGATTTATTGAACAATCAACCACACAAGGTGATTGTAGTGCTTCTAAAATGCTAAGTTAACCTACATACGAAAATACATAGATACACAGATTTACGTCTGCCCTACATAAAGTGTTCGATGTATATATGTATATTAATGATTCAGAGGCTTCCTGACCCCAACAACAAGAATTTAACTTACCACTCTACCGAAGCTCCCTCGACAAAGACAGACACCCACTCACACAAATTACAAGGAGTGCAATTAGCAATAATTACCTTGGGAGTGTATACATATAAATTGAGACAATCCTCAACACCAGCAGTTATGCCGAGGGCGGCCTGAGCGCACGGCTGTTTGGGCTGAGTAGCGTCCAGCACTCCTGACCATTCTGCTCCGGCAACCGTCGGCTGAAATCACAATAGCGTGATGTATCAAATGAACAAATCCACAAGGGCCGTGACGAGGATTCGAACCTGCGTCCAAGAGCATCCGCTGCCTTAATCGACTGAGATCGATTAACCCTCCAGAGGTTAATAGGCCTAAGCCCATCATCAAATAAACCTAATACATTTAAGATGTATATGATTGTATATGAAACAGATTGACTGTGCCCTACGGTAACAATTTTTGGATTTAACTCTTAAAATATATTTGTACTAATTACATTTTCCTTACCATAAATCTGTTCTTTCCAACTGGCGGCTGGGCGTAAGGAATGGCATTGAAAGCGTGGTATTCCCGCCCACTCTGGCTCTGCCTGACCGCGCCCCTTACCACGCCCCCGCCCACCGTTACCTCGGACGCACATGCACCACGCCCACATCCAACAACCAACACCCACACCCACGCCAAGCCACGCCTCATATCCGAAGTCGATTACCTTTGTCTTTTCAGTTAAGAGCAATCGACCATTCCTATGAAAGAAAAATATATATTATCTTTACATTTTAATTTTGTATATAAAGTTTTATTTATGCCAAAAAGGATATAATTATTTGTGAATTATTTCTTCAAGAGTAACTATCAGGTTAGGTTAGACTGCAGCGAAGGAGGGGGGTGGGGGGGGGGGGGGCGGGAGGTTGGACTCAAGTCTTTAACATTCCTTCAATTCACAATTTAAGTGGTGTAGCAGATCTACAATAAAAAAACTAAGCCCACATTACTATGTAGGAACCGGAAAGATTTCTATATAGAATGGACGGATTGAAGAAACGGTGCCTAGGAACCATCGGGGATCGAACGCCGACCATGCAAAAAACCTACCTGTCCAAGCAGATGGCCATAGCAAATGTAGAGAATACAATAAAACAAGTTATTAAGGAACTGGACATTACTTCGGAATAAAAATGATGGCTTGTTAATTAACAATTTAAATCCCGTTGAAATCAAGTTATCTTTAGATGATTTCGTGTCCCTGCGGCCCGGTCCTCGACCAGGCCTCTACCCCCAGGAAGCAGCCCGTGACAGCTGACTAACTCCCAGGTACCCATTTACTGCTAGGTAACAGAGGCATCAGGGTGACCTCTGCCCATTGTTTCTCGCCGGCGCCCGGGATCACGCGTCCAGTGTTCTGTCCGCTCAGTCACGGGCTCCCGTCCCTATATATGGCAACCGTTACATGAGCTGTGTATTTTAAGTTAGATTCAGGGTAGGCTATGAATCTATAGCTTATGTACCACCCCGTTCTCACAATAGACATGCGTCTAAGTTGAAGTAGTTTTGCCTAACCTTAAGCACTAAAGTTCTATGTATAGTTAGGTGCGGATTAGGTTATGTGGCTAGGTTCTGCATGTTGGCCATTATTGGGATTTGCAATAATTACATGCAACCTGTCCTCACACTAGGCTGTTTAAAGCAGCAGCCGTTCTCCCTACACGCATTCATCAATTTTAACATCCAGTGTATTAAAAATAGGTTTGTTCTCATATATATAAATTAACAAAATTATACATAAAAATTATATGTATAGTTAAACGTAGGCTAGGTTAGGTGTTTAGGTTATGTTGGTAATTATTTGTATTTGAAGTACGTGGGTGAAGCATTTATAGAACTGCAACCCGTCCTCGACTCAAGTCCATTACATCCAGCGGTCAGCTCCACAGACGCATTCATAAATTTTTACATGATGTTCATTCAAAACAGGATTTTTCTCAGATATAAATTATTATAATATATTAACATATTGTGCATATATAGATTAGGTTAGGTGTTTAGGTTCTGTTGGCGATTATTTGTATTTGTAGTACGTAGGTGAAGCATTTACAGCGTTGTGGTTCGAACAAAATTCGTGTTAATATATCATAATATGAATTTATATTTGAGAAAGGTTTTGTTTTGAATGAACAATGTTAAAATTGATAGCTGTGTCTTTGGGGTCGACCGCTGGATAGAATGGACTTGGTCTGAGAACGGGTTAATGTGTTCTCGCATACAAAAAGATCGTTAACCAAGCCGCTAATTCAAGTTAATCAAGATGTTAATTTAATTCCTACAGCTGAGCAAAGAAGTTTAGGCCCTATTGCCTTTCACCAGATGCCTCTGTTCACCTAGCAGTAAATAGGTACCCAGGTGTTATGTATCTTGTGGCTTCCATCCTTGGGAGGGTCAGCAATTGGCCAAGAGGGACCTTGATAAACCTAACAGTCACTTGTTCCTAGTTAATATTAAGTCACTGCACATTCTCTCTTGTGTATTATACATATATAAAACGCTGAACTGTAATGCCAATCCTGACCTCAAAAGCTTCATTGAAGGTTGTAACAGAACCCATGAGCACCACACCAGAAATAAATACAGTTTTGATATTCCTAGAGTACGACTTAATCAAACTAGAAATGCTCTACAAATCAAGGAACCCAGAATGTGGAATGACCTTCCCAACCATGTTAAAGACTGTACCTCTCTCAACCAGTTTAAGATAAAAACTAAACACTACCTAATAAATTCCCTGTAACCTACCTCACTCCTCTATTGTCAACCCATGTCTGTAATTTTATTTTTGTTTAATCAACACTGTTTGTCAACCTATTGTATTTGTGCTGCTTTTTCAGGCATGTTCCCCCTTTTTTTTTATCTTTATTTGTATTTGTTCTCAACACTTTTTATTCTTTATGCTCAATTAGTATTAAGTTCTAGATATTAATGTTTTTCTTGCCCGAAACGCATTGCGTAATAGTGGCTTTAGGCATTGTATGTACTAGCTCTATCTATATATCAATCCATTAATGTAACATCACTTGTATGTATGTATGTACCTTACCTGAATAAACATATTTATTTATTTATTTTATATTTAATAACAATGGAAAACGTTGGGAACAATGGGGGGAACATTTGATAAGCCGCCGGCTTCCTATCCCCGTTGAGGCCACTAGTGCGGCCCTTAGGTAAAATCAGGTAAATAACAATCCAACTATGACGGGAAGGCGCTCACCTGTATACAGCTTGGTGGAGGCAGACGGGTGTGTGAGCCGGCGGAGGGCTGGCTGGTGAGTGAGACCCGCGCCACCTGCTGCAGCACACTTGTGTATAGGTGGTGCAGGTGGTGCAGGTCACACGCTGCTCCCATGTCCTGGGACACCACGCTGCTCCCATGTCCTGGGACACCACGCTGCTCCCATGTCCTGGGACACCACGCTGCTCCCATGTCCTGGGACACCACGCTGCTCCCATGTCCTGGGACACCACGCTGCTCCCATGTCCTGGGACACCACGCTGCTCCCATGTCCTGGGACACCACGCTGCTCCCATGTCCTGGGACACCACGCTGCTCCCATGTCCTGGGACACCACGCTGCTCCCATGTCCTGGGACACCACGCTGCTCCCATGTCCTGGGACACCACGCTGCTCCCATGTCCTGGGACACCACGCTGCTCCCATGTCCTGGGACACCACGCTGCTCCCATGTCCTGGGACACCACGCTGCTCCCATGTCCTGGGACACCACGCTGCTCCCATGTCCTGGGACACCACGCTGCTCCCATGTCCTGGGACACCACGCTGCTCCCATGTCCTATTATACATGCAGTACAAATATATATTGAATGAGTTGAGTTGGTTGAGCCTACAGCTCTATCAACTGAGCCACCAGCACCCCATAATAGGAAGGATTCCTGAGGCACTTATCTGCTGTCCAACTGGCACTTTAGGACTTTCCTGGGGTGTCACTTTGGCTTGAAGGTGTTAGGTGATCCACCTCCTAGTCATATAGGTTGCTATCCACCATATCGTGTATAATAATATTTCATTCACCTGGATCATAGGAGTCTTGAACCGCACACCACAGAAGCAGCAGTCTGCAGCTCTACCAACTGAGCCTAAGAAAGAAACGAGAAACTTAGTGGACCGGCCAGAAATTCTAGTTATTTGCTGAATATTTCAACATTCGAATATATAATTTGGAGTCGAGTTAGTTATTATCTTTTATACTCTTTAAATATTGTATTATGAAAGGAAAGGAACTATCAGGAGAAAGCACCAAGCCATTACGACTGATTAGCACTGGGAAGAGGGTCAGGATAAGGATTTGTGGATGGGGGGTGGGGAGGAATGGTGCCCAACCACTTGGACGGTCGGGGATTGAACGCCGACCTACACGAAGCTAGACCGTCGCTCTACCAGCCCATGTAGTCAGGCTACTGTATTATGAAACCCGCGGAGATTAAGATTAGATAAGCTCATTAGAAGTTATAGAAAAGCCTCGCTAAGTGTGGGATTGTGTCAGGTGCGTACTTGAGACGGTACTAGTACAGTGGCTGTACGTTCCTCACTCACAATTGAAGGTCCTGTGTTCGATTCCCATGCGGGACAGAAACGATTAAGTTCGCTTCCTTTCACTGATGTCTCTGTTCACCTTGGAGTAAATAGGTACCCGGGAGTTAGGCAACTGTTGTGGGGTTGGTTCATGGGAAGGGTCAGTGGTTTAACCTTGGGGGTGACCTCGATATCGACACAAGTCTAAAGTATACACATATATACACAGGCTTCCTGTCCCCAACAAAAACGAATTATACAGGTTAACGGGACTTCAGGATTATAAAATAATTGTTCGATATTCTTTACAACACAAGAAAATATGAACATACAAGAAACGAAATGTAATTAGTTATTATAAATTGATTATTTGGGTATAGCTAAGTATATCGCTACGAAAAGATGGAAATAAGGAAATAATTAAATAAAAAAATTAATACATGTTTGGTTAAATATGACTGCATTGCTGGCGTCATTGATCTTATAGTGTAAATTTCTATGCTTCTATTTTCTTAGTATCAGTAAAAAGAATAGCAATCAAGTTATTAAAATTCAAGGTAAATTAACTAGTAATTATTGAAGAATTTATTTTCTACGTTTAATTCCTCTCTGGAACTTCTTCAGATAAAGAATGACTACATCATTAATGAAGATTAAGCCACCCAAGAGATGGCACGGGCATGAATAGCCCGTTAGTAAAGATTGCATGATTGATTGATGAAGATTAAGCCACCCAAAAGGTGGCACGGGCATGGCCCGTAAGTGGTGGCCCTCTAGAGCCATTACCAGTATCAATAGATACTGGAGATCTGAGGAGGTGAGACTGTACCCTGCGTGACGGGAGATGTCTCCTGTGATTACATGATGTACACTTTTTGGTTAAATACACGAGTCTCGAAGGAATGTAGGGTGATGTGAAGGGTCAATCAAACATAGGTTAAGGGGCAATTAAACACAGGGAAAGGGGGGGAAAGAGGATGCCACACTTGGTCCGGGAGACATCTCCCGTCACGCAGGGTGCAGTTGCGCCTCCACAGATCTCCAGTATCATCTTTTGATACTGGTAATGGCTCGAAAGGGCCACCACTTACGGGCTATTCATGCCAGTGCCACCTCTTGGGTGGCTTAATCTTCATCAATCAATCAGGGGAAAGAGTCAATCACACATTGGGTTAACTATGGTGGGTACATGTCAAGACCTCGGCAGAGATTTCTTCTTTCTCAATTCACTGTCAGGGATTGCGGGCGGGACAAAAATGGCCGAGTATATTTTCTTCCATCTAATGCCTTTAGTCACGGAGCAGTAAATGGGTACCCAGGAGTCAGGCAACCGTTGTGAGGATGCATCCAGGGGAAGGTCATTAGTTGGACCTTGAAGACCAGACCACACACTAGAAAGTGAAGGGACGACGACGTTTCGGTCCGTCTTGGGCCATTCTCAAGTCGATTATTGGACCTTGATACAAGCCTAGGTATATATACACACACGTTATATGACAAGAGTGCTGGGAAGATGAAGGGGGAAGGGAACTATCAGGGGAAAGCACCAAGCCATTATGACTATAGACAGCACTTGGAAGGGATTAGGATAAGGATTTGGGATGGGACGTGGGAAGGAATGGTGTCCAATCACTTGGACGGTCGGGGGATTGAACGCCGACCTGCATGACGCGAGACCGTCGCACTACCATCCAGTCCAAGTGGTTGGTCACCTAGACAAAGAGGAGCAAGAAAAAAATAATTAAAATAAGAGCCAATTACGACACAAATAATCACATGTAAATATCATCAATTTTACAATGTTGGAATGTTATCCGTTTGGAGCAGTATGTAGTGCTTCCTCTAAGTTTCAAGACTCGCAGCTCAATGATCTGCTGTATTTTTAACGTATAAGATAAACAAAACTCAATTATCCAGGTTTGCACTACTTTTAAATGAACAATAAATTTATCACTTATTCATAGATTTTTATTGGGTTAGTAGACATTTGCTAAAGGTTGTAAAAGAAAAGAAAAAATGTTAAACTATCAAAACTAGGCTGAGAGTCGGCGTGTCAAACAGCCTGATTGACCTAATCATCGACCTGGCCTCAGAATCCTCAAAAGGTAACCAACCATCCATTCACTGTATGGTCCAGTCAAAACAAAAAACCTGCACCACCTACACCAACTTAAAACTAGTTTTATTTACATTAACATCACCGCTAAACTTGGCAGTAGGATAGTCATTTAATTCATTAAAACTCATTTTGTTTCAAGTACAAGCTGTTCTCTTAACTAGATATTAATTTGCTTTGCAGAGTAAATTATATTCATTCTATTCACACACGACATAACATTCAAATCTGATTAAAGATTGCTTAAAAACACTATAAAGTGTATGTTATAATAGCATCAAGATGTATAGATACATTAGTGAAATACAATACTTGTTACAGGAAGAAATTATAAAAAAGGCACCAAGCCACGAAGATTACATAGCACCATCTAAATTGCAAGATATTCCTCTAAATTGCAAGATATTCAAAATATGCTAAACATCACTCGGGATGCCAAAATGTGAATGAGACATCAGGCGAGAATCATCAAAGGTTGTTTAAGGAATAGAAACACTGTACCTATATGGAGTAGAAATTTTTATTATCTTTACTTCTCACAATTTAAATCATTACAATGCCTTCAAACGGAACCTTGGGCGGGGCAAAATGAGCTTTTTCCCATGATGAATGAAGAGTGGGGAAAAAATTTAGGAAACCTGATGTATTATAAAATAAACCAAAGTTAACAGTACCCTAGAGATCCTTAAAGACAGATTGTACTACACTAATGTTGCCCCCTAACAATGCACTTGCTGAATAGTAATATAAGTTAATAAAAAGCTTGCCAACTTGAGGCAAGCGTGCCATGGATGGATGGGTCCAAAAGTGGAGAACAGGGAGAAAGTAAATGTATTAAAAATGCTTGGAATAATTTAAGTCCACCAATGATTATAACTGAATACAAACCAAATAACTTAACTGGACATACATTTTAATTTAACATATACTGGTTGTACAGTTTACTCCAAAAATTATAGGTTATCATAAGGTAACATTTCCATCATATAATCATCACTGAGGGACAAGTGAAGGAATCTAGATATGACAATATATATGAACTTTGTAAACACAAAAACAAGACTTGTGGGAAAGCATTGTGACGGTAATTCACAGTAGCTGGAAAACACAAAGCAGTCACATGGACTCTGCACCACAGATTGCATGCTTGCCGCCTACTGTCTGTTGCAGTAATTTACTTCGGAAACAGGATCATAAAAAGAGCAACCATGGACGAGGTATGAAGAGGTGAATGGACACTGTAAACCCTCGTGTACATCGAAGCAGTGTATTTCCTAGTGTGGTGGCTCCATTACAGGGTCATGCACACACATGCACCATGCTGCTAAACTTACCCTATACCTTTTTAGATATTACGCAACTAATAAAGAATTGGAATGAAAACTTTATTTAAACCATAACCAAACCCTGAGCCAGTACCTAAATCTTACCAGTCTTCTAGGTAGAAAGGCAAGTTAAGGCTACAAATACACTGACCTCTGACGTTTTGTGATAACTGTCTTAATACATTAGCTACAATTATGAATGAAACAGCAGTTGACGAAACTACTGATTCACATCAAAGAATCAACCAAATCTTTACTAAAAAAAAATTTGATAGTATCAATTGATATGGACATGCTTTCAATACAAGTGTGGTATTCATTAACAATGAGCATTTACTAGCCTAAGTGATTCAATTTCACATTCTATCAAGCATTTTTCAGGCTCCCATGCTAAGCATGATATGATCAGGTTTATGTACCCTTTTTAATCTGATAAATCTTTTAAATCCCAAGGCCTCGGTAACATGATAAAAAAAAGTGTCAGCAATAATGCCTATTCTTCAATGAGGTCCACTGGTATAAGAAACTCAATGTATAGGCAACACCCTGCAACTAGCAAGGATGCTACCAGTGTGCAGCAACCCTTCCACGAGAGAAGAGTGTTGGTGGCATAATGGAGGGGGTGGTGGGGGTGGTTAGGTACAGTGGACAGCTAGTAGTTGGTGCCCTCTGGCGGCTGTGTTAGCTTCATATTCTCCTTCTGGGTCATAAGACGCCTCAGCTCTTGTAACACTGTCTTAATTGTGTAACTTCTTTGCCAGCGTCCCAGTACAGACACATGTCGACGATCCACCTGAAAGCAAGCAAATCTCAGAAAACAAAACATGGAAATTCAATACATTTCATACTCTTACTCCAAATTTGTGCTCCGATAACAATAAATCATCCTAAAACCATGTCCTAGCACTCCAATGATTCAAGATGAAGTTTTTCCAAACTTGACTTATTTCATAATATGAGGCAGGCTTAAAAAATCATGATCATGAGTGGCTGGTGTATAGGCTACACTTCCTGAATAAAATCAGTTACCAGACTTTATTACATTCATGTTACTCCCTTCAAGTGCTAACCTTCTCAACTACTTTTCTCAGGATTGGTATGGGTACAAAATACACTAAAGCATGTTGGCCCAAAAATTATTTACAATTTTGCTTTTATAAAACTAATAATACAAATCTAGAGCAGACACATTCAACAAAATGACACCAGAATGGACGCCATACATATAATACCAAGAGAAGTTAACGAAATGGCAGTCTCGGGAACAATGTTACATGCCAGTTGCCTAGACACCCTGGTGCCAGTATTCAGAAAGATGGGCACTTTACCCATTACACAGTGCTAACTGTATAAACACGTAATATGTTTATAATATCGAGGCATTATTACAAACATATAGAGCTAGAAATAACCTGCCGTGACCGATTATCTGCATGCAAGCATACATGCTCTTGGCGGTGGTGAGAAAGAAGCCAACACTAACACTTCCACTAAGGTCCAGTAACGAGGAGGCCTAGTCTAAGACTAGGCCGCAGGACGCTAAGCCCCGAAACCATCTCAAGGTAACTGCAAGGCAAGGTGTGTACTCGCCTCATTGTGGTTTTTAAAATATAACATTTACTTCTGGAGCTTTTCTGAACTCCTTCATTCAAAACACTACATTCCTATATGTATTTTTTACATTCTCATTAGTGTTGTATTGTTTGGCAAGACCGACTTGTACGCAGTTGGAAAAGTCATTCACAAATTAGATAGTTATGGTCCTATGGCTAAGTATTGACAGGTTCTACTTGCTACGTCCCTTCAGGAAGGTAGAGGTAGGAGTGAAGGGTTAGAGGAAGTGAAGATAAAAAAAAAAAATCAATAAAAGACCTGATGGCAGCATGATCACCTAAAGTGTTGGTATTTGTAACTTGCAGTTAAATACAATCCAAGCTGTGCAGATATATACTCGAGGTTATTTATCATGCTCAATATAATAATTAGACTCTTGGTAATTTCTTGAACATTTGAAAATGGGACAGGTTCCACCAAAAAGCCTTAATTTCTTAGCATACTTGTCTAAATCATAATTTAAAATAGGACTAATTTGCATATTTAATCAGGCCTCCACCTCTTGAAAGGAATGTTGTGATCCGATGGAGAAACAGGGTACGAGATTAAAAAACAAAACATTAATAGCACAGCACAATAATCATAACTTACAACTCCAGTCTGGCTGTTAACTCCCTGCATGTTGATTCGACTGATAAAGCGAATTGTTGGTGGATCATCCGGATAATTAGACCCACATTCTACTTTTAAGGAGTACATCCTATTTTCAAAATTAGTCTGTAAAGATAAAATATTTTAGTCGTTAGATAGTAAAATGAAGTTTTCTTATTAATATGAATAATATTAAAGATTGACCTTATGACAAAAATTTACATAATTGAAGTATAGTGTACCAGACATCTGGCAATGGGTTTTCCAAACTGAGGCAATTCTTCACGCTGTTACATTTGTGAATTCCAATGTTACATCTGGAGGTTTGTATATATTAGGATAATAATGAGGTTTAGGTTCTCTACCTTGATTCCAAGTACCTCTTACACCTCATTTGTGGAGTTCGAGAGTTCTGTACATTCAAGTTTCTTTAATATACAAACTAACTCCTATATTTGACCTATTTACGCTCACACATCTATATACGTGTACAATATAAATAGGCACCAGAATTCCCTGTCCATGCACTCTTGTTTGACTGCTCCAAATACTGAAACTGATTAGCAGGCCATTTATGAGCAGAATTTTGTTTTATCCTTTTTTATTAAGTCTTGCATGTTGGTAAATACAATGGGCTTTCCAATTTGAGCAATTTCTGTGATGTTTTAAGTTCTTCTCCATCAATCCTGATTTAGGATTTTTTAATCAATTTGTCCAAATTTGGTAGTAGTAATGATGTAAGGTAATTACCTAAGTGTAGTTACAGAATGAGAGCTATGCTCGTGGTGTCCCGTCTACCCAGCAATCTGTCATATAACACTTTGAAACTAAAGACGGTTTTGGCCTCCACCACCACCTCACCTAACTTGTTCCATCTACCACTCTGCAAAAGTGAATTTTCTTATATACCTCCGGCAGTTTTGTTTTGTTAGTTTGTTTTATGACCTCTTTTTCTCACTGGTTCTATTCTGCATTTTCTTCCATGTCGTTCACTCCAGTACGTTGTTATTTTACTGTGCAGATTTGGGACCTGTCCCTCCAGTATTTTCCATGTGTATATTATTTGGTATCTCTCTCGTCTCCTTTCTAGCGAGTACATTTGGAGAGCTTTGAGACGATCCCAATAATTTAGGTGCTTTATCTCATCTATGCGTGCCGTATTAGAAGCTGTAGTCACCCCTCCAATATGTTCCAGTTTCCAGAACAACCTCTTATGTGGAACTCTGTCGAAAGTCTTTTTAGGTCCAGATAAATGCAGTGAACCCAACCACCTCTTTCCTGTAAAATCTGTTACTATCATCAGCAGGGAGCCGGTCGGCCGAGCGGACAGCATGCTGGACTTGTGATCCCGTGGACAACTTTGGGACATGATGCCCAAGAAATGCTGGCCCCAGTTGAGCCATCCACGTGTCATCTCATGAGGGTCCTTCTGCGAGAGAATGGCGTTCTGATTGGTGCTCTGTCAGAAGGCTGTTACTTAAATGAGCAAGGTGTGGGCTTGGTTGGCTTGGCCTTAGCTCTCCTCATTCTCAGGCAAGCAGCAGGACAAGATGAGTGCTCTCTCTTGAGCTTAGAGAGTCACCCTTGACGATCTACAATTGCTTATTATAGACACATTCTGGTAGAGACAACTCACCATTCATCGATGGCATCAGAAAACATGTATGTGTGGTGTACCTGTTACTGCTCGAGGAGGTCATTATTACCAGTGTTAAGGTTAGGTAGCGTTACATCACCTGAGTATGAGGGTGATGTACAAGTAATGCCAAGAGATGGTACTGTGTATAGAGTTGCCTCTGCCAAATCTGTCCTACAAATGAATCCTCCAAATATACTAGCACCACATCTTATAAATTTTGATGTTGCTTATCTCTGGTCTCCCTACACCACCAGGTAGAGATCAGACATGACCTATATCTGGCAAGATCTCCCAAGATCTTGCCTAAGGCATTTTAGGCTAGGCTCCTTAGGCATTTTATGTTGTAGATAACTACTGTGAGCAGCTTGCATGCCTGTCCTAGTCTAGCTGCACCCAGCAGCAGTCCAACATTAAAGTAATTTCAGATGCCTTTGTTAACCAATCTAAGCCTGCTGTTTAAAAATGAAAAAAGTACAGCATTGGAATTTTAGCTGTACTGTATTTCCAATTTGCATCTTTGGCAGCCCTTACCACTACCATTAAACAGGTCTCTATATTTCCTGGGAGGAGGTTACCTTGAGGTGCTTCCGGGGCTTAGTGTTCCCGCGGCCCGGTCGTCGACCAGGCCTCCTGGTTGCTGCTAAATCACTGCTACCTTCACATGCTATGCCATGCCATGTCTTAGTATGTATACTTGCTTATCAATATGCAGGCGATCAGTCACAATAACGTGGCTAAAGTATGACGAGAATGGTCCAGGACGGACCGAAACAACGTCGTCCCTTCACCTTCTAGTGTGTGGTCTGGTCATCTTGCTTATCAACTTCTTTTAAATTTCAATTCATTGAAGCTCCAGTACAGGAGTAGCAGTTGGGCCACACTATCATAACCCTCCTCTTCATCTCTTTCCTTAATACCTGATACTCTCTTGGGAAGATCAAATGCTCCAACACTTTCCATTTACTTGCATTTACATTTTTAAATATTAATACAGTACTACTTATTTTTTACCTGGCTGCTTCGGTTATGCTCGTGGGGTAGTGATTCTTTTAATTCCAAGTCTAAGCTTCAGAGGGGAAACAATGAACATTGAGCTAGTCATTCATGTCTGTTCATTTGAATGGGTGCCCCAACAGGCTGGGGCTGATCTATTTTTGTTGTATACCCTGTTGCTAGCTGCTGGTTCTTAACGTCTAAAGTTTGTGTAGGTGTTGTGAAATCTTGGGAGTGAGGAGGACAGAGGGACATAAGATCAGAAAAGTAACATGGTGGGTGAGGGTAATGGGGTGCAGGGTACCCACACACAAACATTATATATTTATTTATGTGTGTGTGTGTGTGTGTGTGTGTGTGTGTGTGTGTGTGTGTGTGTGTGTGTGTGTGTGTGTGTGTGTGTGTGTGTGTGTGTGTGTGTGTGTGTGAATGAATAAATAAATAAATAAATAAATAAATATATATATACACACACACACACACACAGTGGCACCTCGATTAACGAGTTTAATCCGTTCTGGCACCAAGCTTGTTATGTGGAAAACTCGTCTTAAGAAACAAATATCCCAATTTAAAATAAAGGAAATAAATTTAATCCATTCCACTCCCAAAAACATCTATACTTGTATGACATTTTATAATGTAAATATAATACTGCTCATGTAATTATAAATGTTTTGCTGTATTGTTTTCATGTTTACCTTATGAAGAGTCTTTGCTGGCTTGAGGGAGACGATGGGGAGGTGGGAAGGAGGAGGGGGGTTATGGTGTGGAAGGAGAATCCACCTCTGAGCCAGGCGGGCTCTTTCTTGGGAATTTCACCCCACTGGGACCGGGTTGTGGTTCACCATCACTGGCTCCTCTTTTCTCTACTTTTGCAGAGAACGTGTCTATTGACAATTGCTTTTGTCTTGGTTTTAGGATGTCCCTAAAACGAGACAGCAAATTGTCATTAAACATGTTCACACACCGGGTTGTTACTGCTTTATCAGGGTGATGCTTTTCCAAGAATGCGGTCACCTTTTCAAACATTCCCAACACTTCCCTGATCTCACTGGAAAAGGCAGCATCCTCCCTTACCTCCTCCCCTTACTAATAATGCAAATTGTTGATGAGGCCCTGCCATACTCCCTTGTGAGATCAGTCACACGGACACCACACTCATGCTTTGCTATAATTTCCTTCTTCAAATCCACAGTAATTGTGTCTTTCTTCCTCTTGACAACATTATCTTTAGCAAGCAGCTTCTTTGGCGACATCGTGCATTACAAATTGTAGTCACAAAACCACAAAAAAAAAGCGCAAATAAATGCAGAGGGATGCTTGTCATGCGTGAAACAACAACAACAACACTGGCGTTGGAGGCGTCCGAGAATTTACGAGAACCCGCGAGACGCTAGGAAGCACCATGTGGGTTTTGCTCGTTAATAGAGGTGATGTTTGTCAATAGAGACAAATTTGCTGCGAGGGCTCACTCGTTACTCGAAATGCTCGTAAATAGAGCCGCTCGTTAATCGAGGTGCCACTGTGTGTGTATATATATACATACACACACACACGGGGGCCTGGGAGCCTGGTGGATAGCGCGCAGGACTCTTAATTCTGTGGCGCGGGTTCAATTCTCGCAGCAGGCAGAAACAAATGGGCAAAGTTTGTTTCACCTTGAATGCCCCTGTTACCTAGCAGTAAATAGGTTCCTTGGAGTTAGTCAGTTGTCACAGGCTGCTTCCTGGGGTGTGTGTGTGTGTGGTGGAGGAAAAAAAAAATAGTAAACAGTTGATTGACAGTTGAGAGGCGGGCCAAAAGAGCAAAGCTCAACCCCCGCAAACACAACTAGGTGAATACACAACCGTTTCTAGCTTGAAGTGAAGACATTAAGGCTTTTTAAAAAGACAATGAAAAATATAATAGTGGCCTTGGAACTATGTTGCTCAATTTCAATACCTGCCAAACATCTATCCACAAATGGAAATTTTGTACTGTACTCATTAAATTAAAATATCTAGGCAATTCATTATTTATTGAATGAAACCTATCTGAGGGAAAATGATCCAACAAATACCAGAACACCTGATCACTGTATTACAAATAATGCAATGTGTAAATAGTACCAGACACAAACACGGTACTGAAACAAAGTGCCCGCCAACATTTTTGCTTACCCTGGGTGGTCCAATGATCATGCCTGTCCAACTGGTAAGGGTCATGTCCGAGTCGTCTTCTAGCCCCCAGGAGATGGTGCCATCTCCAACTCCCTTTTGTCCAGCCTCCAATTCCTCTAACAGGCGGAAGTTTCGCGGGACCACTGAAACGAATAAGCATGTATATTAATTATTATTTAAAACCTATGCAGCAAATTATTACCATGGTTTAACAAATTGACAGCAGCATTAGGGAAACCTAAACAAACTACCCCTGGCAAGGATGGTATAACTTATAACACCTTGAGCTTACTGAATGATGTCCCTAGTCACCATCTGATTGACCTCTATCAAATGAGCCTCTCACAAGGTATCTTGCCAAAGACATGGACACAAAGTCTCATAGTATCAATTCTTAAATCTAAAAAATTCAGACCCACTTCCTTACATTTTGCATGTGTAAAGTCTTTTAGAGAATTGTCCTCAATTGTGTCATGTTTCAGGTCACAGAAAAATTGACTCCTAACCTATATAGGTTTATGCCCAAGTGAAGCACACAAACATGTTTTGCTGAATATTTTGTATACTTAGGATAGGACACAAGCAGCCTTTATTGATCTAAAGTCAGCTTTCGATGTAGCAAATGGCAAAATAATATTAGAGCAACTTGCTGAATTGGGAATCAAAGGTAATCGTCTGAGTTGGATAAAGAGCGACCTATCCAACAGGCGTGCTAGTGTCCTATTTAAAGGAGTTAAAAGTACAAGAACATGCATTCGAACTAGGCACAACAAGGTGGTGTCCTAAGCCCTATGCTTTTTAATATACTTATGCACAAACTTAGCCATGATATACCTGTACAACCTACTGAAACTTATGTGTTATGCTGATGATATTTGTACTAAGGCACACAGTAAACCAAGACTACAGTACAAGTATTACTTGATGTATATTGCCTTTATACGATCTGGTGTTGATTATTATGCCTTGCATCATAATTTTTCTCCTAAACAACTACAAGGTCTAGATGCAATGCAAAATGATGCCATGTTAATCATCCTATGTTGTCCTAGAACTGTCAGAATTGTTAACATGAGAAAGGAACTACAGATTACCTTTTATTTATGAGAAAATAGATCAACTTAATACTACAGTATAGCCATTCATCAAATACTATTATCAACTCTTAACCCTTAGGCAGCGGTCATCATCATGTGTCGATTCACAGGATAAATCGTCATATGACAATTTTATAATTATAGCCTGGGTTTTACACGTATGCAAATAAGTTGATTTATGTCGCCTATATCACATATCCTTAATTCTTTGCCTTTATAGAGAATGTAAATTGGGCTTTGTCAATCTTTCTTCATATGACAGGTTTCTAATTTGGGGATTAACTTTTTTCCTCCTACGCTGGACGTGTACTAGTGAACAAATCCACAAAGGCCGTGATGAGGATTCGAACCGACGTCCGAAAGCATCCCCAGACGCTGCCCTAATCGACTGAGCTACGACATGGTAAAAGAATTGCAACCAGAAATTCTACTGAATTTACTTGGATCCTGCAGCCTCTCCGAGACACAAACCAGGATTTTACACAATTCCCCCCATGCACTTGGCGTCTGGGATGCTCTCGGACGTCAGTTCGAATCTTCGTCACGGCCCATGCGGATTTGTTCATTTGATGCATCACACTATTGTGATTTCTGTGTGTAATGAAGTAAGGGCGAAGAGGTAGAATGGCCTATTGACATAACTCAAGTACATGGGGGAATTGTGTAAAGTCCTGATTTGTGTCTCTGAGAGGCTGCAGGATCCAAGTAAATTCAGTAGAATTTCTGGTTGCAATTCTTTTACCATGTCGTAGCTCAGTCGATTAAGGTAGCGTCTGGGATGCACTTGGACGTCTATTCGAATCCTCGCCATAGCCCTTGTGAATTTGTTCATTTGATGCATCATGCTATTTTGATTTGTGTGTGTAGTGTACTAGCGAATTTATATCTACTCTATAGTATGGCGACTAAAACTGAACTACATAATCTAAATAGAGCCTAACCAGAGCAATATATAGCCGAAGAATAACACCAGGTGTTTTATTACCAACACTTCGATAAATAAATCCAAAATGTGATTTTTCCCATTGATTTTTTGGTTTTAAATTCTTACTAATCATAACACTCGGATCCCTTTTGCAATCTGACTTCACAATCTCGACACCATCTAGCTCGTATCTATTAACTCTTACCATCATTATCTAGCCTCAAAACCTTATTTTTGTCAGCATTAAACTGCATTTGCCAAAATGTTGACAATTTCAAAACTATTTAGATCGTCTTCGAAGTGAAAGCGAGGTTTTTTCGGTGTTTATTTCCCTTCTGATCTTCGTATCGGCAAATCTGCAAATATTGCTGCTCAAACCAGAATCTAAATCATTTATATACATTATGAATAACAGAGGTCCCAGGACAGAAATTAAGGGACTCCACTTACAACATTTTCCCACTCTGATATAACTGTTTCCTATGTAGCACTGTATCAAAAGCTTTGCTAAAGTCAAGGTACACAACATCACAAACCTTATCACTATCAACTGCCTCAACTATGCTGGAATACAATGATAGCACATTTGTTAAAACATGAACGACTGTTAGTAAAACCCAAAAGAACTAAGGTAACGGCAGAAGACCTATTGGCCCACACGAGGCAGCTCCCATTTACAGTATATCCAGCCACACTCATTATCTGGTAATCTGCTCCATAGATCAACAACCCTGATTTCTATACCAATACTTACCCAGGTTTTTATTAAATCTAAAATTATCCAATATCAACTGTTTCGTCTTCTATTTTGTGTCGACGTATTCAACCCAATATTTGCATCCCCTTTTGCAATTCCTATTCATCCACTTGTGCATATCTATTGTGTCACCCTTAACTCTGACTTTCTAGAGAATGAAAATTAAACTTTCAATTTCTCCTCATACTCTGAATAAAAAAAGCATAGTCATGGAGGAAACATCTAGATAAAAGTTCACATTTGTTTCTTAAATGTTCATTCTGGGCACAACTATAACAACTAACACTATATGACCTGATCAAACTACAAGACACACCCAATGATCAAGCCAACACAGGAAACCCCCTCTCCCATGCCTGAGGCTTCCTCTCACCCCATACCCAAGGCTTCTTCATACCCCATGACCAAGGCTTCCTCTCACCCCCATGACCTAGGCTTCCTCTCACCCCCATGACCTAGGCTTCCTCTCACCCCCATGACCTAGGCTTCCTCTCACCCCCATGACCTAGGCTTCCTCTCACCCCCATGACCTAGGCTTCCTCTCACCCCCATGACCTAGGCTTCCTCTCACCCCCATGACCTAGGCTTCCTCTCACCCCCATGACCTAGGCTTCCTCTCACCCCCATGACCTAGGCTTCCTCTCACCCCCATGACCCAGGCTTCCTCTCACCCCCATGACCTAGGCTTCCTCTCACCCCCATGACCTAGGCTTCCTCTCACCCCCATGACCTAGGCTTCCTCTCACCCCCATGACCTAGGCTTCCTCTCACCCCCATGACCTAGGCTTCCTCTCACCCCCATGACCTAGGCTTCCTCTCACCCCCATGACCTAGGCTTCCTCTCACCCCCATGACCTAGGCTTCCTCTCACCCCCATGACCTAGGCTTCCTCTCACCCCCATGACCTAGGCTTCCTCTCACCCCCATGACCTAGGCTTCCTCTCACCCCCATGACCTAGGCTTCCTCTCACCCCCATGACCTAGGCTTCCTCTCACCCCCATGACCTAGGCTTCCTCTCACCCCCATGACCAAGGCTTCCTCTCACCCCCATGACCAAGGCTTCCTCTCACCCCCATGACCAAGGCTTCCTCTCACCCCCATGACCAAGGCTTCCTCTCACCCCCATGACCAAGGCTTCCTCTCACCCCCATGACCTAGGCTTCCTCTCACCCCCATGACCTAGGCTTCCTCTCGCCCCATGACCTAGGCTTCCTCTCGCCCCATACCCGAGGCTTCCTCTCACCCATACCCGAGGCTTCCTCTCACCCATACCCGAGGCTTCCTCTCACCCATACCCGAGGCTTCCTCTCACCCATACCCGAGGCTTCCTCTCACCCATACCCGAGGCTTCCTCTCACCCATACCCGAGGCTTCCTCTCACCCATACCCGAGGCTTCCTCTCACCCATACCCGAGGCTTCCTCTCACCCATACCCGAGGCTTCCTCTCACCCATACCCGAGGCTTCCTCTCACCCATACCCGAGGCTTCCTCTCACCCATACCCGAGGCTTCCTCTCACCCATACCCGAGGCTTCCTCTCACCCGTGCACCACGCCCACAAACCACTGTACACTGATTCATCAGGAATTAGGAACTCCGGGTTATGAAGGGTGTCAGAACATGGAGCAAAGACAAGATGAGGCAATTGAACACCTTACCAGTGTTCACATTCCTCGCCCCTCTCACACTCTCTCTCCCCCACGACACCAGGAACTGATCAATCTATCATGTGGGATAAAATATTTAACATTATAACGGATGTGAGAGTTAAATGTTAACAGGAAACTGCGAATGTCAAAATCATCGTCTTGGCCAGTGTTTTAACTTCCTCATTTAGGGCTACTCCTCTCTGCTTCTTATTACACCTTAAAAGCATCTCAAGGAGTGAGGGATTAAGGACATAGCGGCTGTGATATAGTGTAAGGAGAAACGTGACTGCCCCTCGAGACGTTCAACCACCGCCTTAACCTGTGTTGGGCGCCGCCATTTTCGCAGAACAGCCGCCCACGTCGCTGCTGGAGGGTGAGAGGTGGGTGAGGTGGATGAGAGCCTCGCCTGGAGGCTGAGGTGGGTGTCACAGGGCTCGCTAGACGAGGCAAAGGCCACACCAAATATGACTCTCAGCCGCCGCCGCCGGGACCAACAGCTCGCTGTAATGGCCAGCGTTCCAATACTATTTCCCTGCCCGTGTTTATGTTGTCCACCTTACAACACCCTTATTTATACACTTTTACACGCCTATATCCACTCTCTCTCCTGCTTATAACCTTCAAATAATTCATACAATATTATTTAATATTTACGTCCAGCTTAAGCAACATATTAGAGGGAAAATAGCGTGTAGTATTGAATGTGAATGACTCGCAAAATATATATGGGTTAAGTCAAATGATTCAAATATAATGGAAGAATTGTCAAGAATATTATACAGCTTGAGATAAAGGATTCAAAATAGAGCCCAAGTTGAGGGGTTCAAGTTTTAGGGAAGAGTTAAGTTTAGGAGAGTGGAGGTGGGAAGGCGGCCTCAGCTCCTGTCTTGGGCTAACACGTGAGGGCAGAATTTTGTCTTTTATTGGGTCTAATGGCCTCGTTGGTAGGCCTAGGAGGCCTCGGGGGGCCACACACATCTATGTCTCTATGATAACCTGCCGTGGGAGGGCTGTTACTCTGAGCACAGTACTGTGGAGGGTGATTGAGTGATAGATATTTGTAGGCTTGTCAGCCTCAGGCATAAGAAAATTCTAGACTTCTCTATTTCCTTTTCTTACATTTGTTGTAGCAAGATGAGTGCTTGTCAAGATCATCATTAAGGAAATGAGCCTAAAGGATAAGTATTGCTGGTGTGTACAGGTGGTGTAATATCTCGCTGCTTCGTACACTTGAAAAAAAAATGTCATTAGACGTTTCGTCTATTAAATCTATTTAAACTCATTTGTAAATAGATTTTGGTTTTTAGTCAGATCTAATCTATGGTTATGTTTAGGAAATAACTATTATAACCATCAAAGCTCTACCTTACAAAGTGACCTGTATTTGGTGGTTGTACTTGGTGTGTTTGTTTCATTACTGGTATTGTTTATTTGTAATGTCTCATTCATAAGTTTTTTTTTTTATAATTTGTGTGGTATGTACTTGTATGTATGATGACTGAATGAGAAATGTGGTAATTTAACGAAGAATTATTGAAATGTTTGCGTGATCAATCCAATTTTTTTATTATTATTTATTTTATTTATTTTTTATTCTTATTTTTATTTTATTTTTTATACCAGTCTGCGTGGTGTAGTGGTAAGACACTCGCCTGGGGTTCCACGAGCGCTGTGTCATGGGTTCGTATCCTGGCCGGGGAGGATTTACTGGGCGCAAATCCTTAACTGTAGCCTCTGTTTAACTCAACAGTAAAATGTGTACTTGGTTGTAACAACGATTCTTCGCGGCGGTGATCGTATTCCAGGGACCTGCCCGAAACGCTACGCGTACTAGTGGCTGTACAAGAATGTAACAACTCTTGTATATATAAAAAAAAAAAGAAAAAAAACATATTTAGGTACATGTGGTCTCCGTGGCACAGTGGTAAAACAGACATCCGCTTGGCGAGCGCTTCGGCCTGGGTTTGTATCCTGGCCAAAGAGGATTGACCGGGTGCCAATCCGTAACTGTAGCCCCTGTTCACCCAGCAGTGAATGGGTACCTGGTTGTTAAACGATTTGGTGGGTCGTATTCCAGGTAAAAATTTGGAGTAAGGACTTGTCTGAAACGCTATGCGTGCTAGTGGCTGTACAAGAATGTAACAACTCTTGTATGTACAATATAAAGAACAAAATGTGCATTAGTGCAGCTACCCTAGACTATACGAAGAGACTATACAGTGTGCGTTTCAAGAACTAGCTCCGTGATGCTAAAAATCTCCATCACACAGGATGCTTAGTCATACAGGGCCATGTGATCAATAGTCTGCACTGGCACACTCTGCCTGCATTATGATGATGACATCATCAAGCACACCAGTGTGAACAAAGTCTCTGTGATACTAAACAGTCCCCATGTTGCAGGATGTTTAGGCATCGTCCCAACAGTGAGGTGATGTGAAATATGTGCAGTCTAACCTGATACCAATTTGTACACCTGTATATACAATATAATTGATACAGTTTACTTCAAACAGCTGATGATAAATTGAGATACCTGTAGTTCACTTCAAACACCCACTGATTAACTGATAGTTTACTTCAAACAGCCATTGATTAATTGAGATAGTTCACTTCATACAGCCACTGATTAATTGATACAGTAGTTCACTTCATACAGCCGCTGATTAATTGGTAGTTCGCTTCAAATAGCCGCTAGTTAAGTGATAGTTCACTTCATACAGCCTCTGATTAATTGATACAGTTCACTTTAAACAACCGCTGATTAATTGATACAGTTCACTTTAAACAGCCGCTGATTGATACAGTTCACTTCATATAGCCACTGATTAATTGATACAGTTCACTTTAAACAGCCGCTGATTAATTGATACAGTGCACTTTAAACAGTCACTGATTAATTGATACATTTCACTTTAAACAGCCTCTGATTAATTGATAGTTCACTTCATACAGTCACTGATTAATTGACATAGTTCACTTCATACAGTCGCTGATTAATTGGCATAGTTCACTTCATACAGTCGCTGATTAATTGACACGGACCGAAACGTCGTCGTCCCTTCAACTTCTAGTGTGTGGTCTGGTCAACAATTGACACAGTTTACTTCTAGGGGTCAGGATAAGACTTAGGGACAGTTGAGATAAGTTTGGGTTGGGTTGGGTAAAGTTAGATAAGTTTTACAAAATTTAGCGAGCTGTCATGTGTACGATGTGAGTCAAACATAATATGTATTAGGAAGTATTTAAACTAATTATAGCAATAAAAACAATAGTGATAAAACTAATAATAATAGTCCTTGGATCATACCCCAAGCATTTCGATCGAACTACTGATTCCCAGGATGCAACCCCATAACAGTTTCCTAACTTCAAAGTACATACTGCTAGGTGAATATACACATTAGGCGAAAGGAAATGTACCCAACCATTTCTGTCCTGCCCAAGATTCTGTACTGTGAGTCAAGAATGAAGCCAACTTGTTGGGTTGTTTCATTTTATACAATGGTTCTAGTGCTGTACGTTTTAATAGACACTTGTAGCCATTTTCTGTTGATTGGTTGGATATGAGTAGTCGTATACAAGTCACGTTGTACTCAAGATGGTTCGCAGCAGGATTTTAAACCATACCTAACCTTTCCAGACCTAACTTAACGTAACACAACCTAAGCTAAGCCATATATCCTAGCCTAACGATATACACCTGTATATGATTTTGACAGTTGTGAAAAAAAAAGCCTTGTCAAAATGTTGTGTACAATTTAACTATACCCTGAATGATCTTACCATAATCTATTTTTCTTTAAATTGAAAGCACATTTTAGCTGTTGTGTATGATGTTTTCTCCAACTGGCAAATTTGTTGGTTTGATTTTTTGCAAGATATTTTTGCTATGTGTTAACTCCTTGAATTCCTTGAATTCAGAAATATATCTACCGGTAGTTAAATCTAGAGGATAGAAATACAGTAGAAAACAGTAAAAACCATGAATATGTGATATCTGCTTTGGGCTGACTGTGATAAGTTCATACAGGCTGCATAGTAACGTGGTTTTTAGTCATTTTATTATCATTAGCACATGAGCAATGAAACGTGTAATAATGGCTATTTTGTTTCTTGAACAGGTGATTTTGTCACGATGATTTGATGGTGCACCGACTGCAATGGTGGCTACGCGTCTCTCTCCAAGCAAACCCTAAATATAGCAAGTGGCCTGTGGTTAGAGAAAGTAAAGCATGTTTTGAAACTATAAGCAGAGGGAAGAACCCTTCTACAGATCCGATATTGGCGCTAGCCAAAAGTAAACCTACTGGAAATAATTGTGTCCCTTTTTTGTGAGTAGTCAATCTTAGTTTATATATTTTTTTGTATAAATTTTTGTGCCAGGCAGCCAGTGTGCTTATTAATTAGCTTGTAACCTTTTTTGCAAATCTCATATTTTACCTTAGCAGGACCATACAATCTGCGAGCGTTGTGCAAACATATTTACGTATCGTACAAAGGGATTCCTTGGTTTTTATTTATTTATTTATTTTTTTAACATTTTAAGTGGTGCAATATCTGCATAACACCTTTGTCCTTGCTATGCCCAATTCTATAGTTGAGTTTTGGTCACTGTTCAATAGAATGCAATTATAGTCACCGGAGCATATGAAAAAAGATGACACAGTTGATTCCAGGAATTTAATGCCTCCCATATGAAGAGAGATTAATCTTTAATCTGCATTTTCTCCTTGTCCTCTTGAGGGGGGGAAAGGGCAAGATGGGAGTTTGAAATGGTCATGGAACCCAGGCATATCAAATATGTCCCATCTGTGTGTCGTGAGCTCAGGGTACCTCCTGAAGACTGCCCAGAAGGTGCCTTTTCATTGCACTCAGTTCTCTCATTTTTACATTCATTTTGTAAAGTATTGTATATTAAATTGTATTTTATACCTATCTGTAATGAAGTATTAGCAGCATTTCTCATGGTCTAGATACTGTTCTACATACTGTATGTAGGGGAGTAAGGATGTAATTATTAAACAACTCAACACATTAAAAGAAAGGAAAATGGGGATTGTTATGAGTGTTATGACAGGCCAGAGCATAGTCGCTGTCCTTCCTTTCACGTGTGGGTTGGGTTATATATTTTCAGCCACATTATTGTGACTTTTCTGCATGTAATTACTGTATTAATTTTTATTATCAGTGCAGATAGTGCTCATGTTATGGAGAGATACTTTGAACAGTATTCAGGTGTCACTTTCACAATCATAAGTATGTCACTGTAGTACCAGCCATATCTAATACCCAAAATGAAATGTGATTACCCACTTAACAAACTTCATTAAGCTGATTGAGCTCAGGACAAATATACAGTATAGTATGCAGCTCTGTAAGAGCTTGTTAATCCAGATTCCAGTAACCTGACTCTGAGTAACCTGAATTAATTTGTGTTCATCATTTTAGAGTAAATGGCAGGAGCAACTGGGTTATGGTTAAAAAAAATTATCTTTTTCTGTGGAGTCTATTTGACTCTCCGGAGCTATACCGGGCTGGTGTATATATATTAGACCGTGGCAACAGTCAATTGATGGAGTTCTAAGCCTACTGGGGACCACGAACCAGAACCTAGCCCCCTCAGAGAGGCACGAGGAGCAATGGCCTATAGATACCCCCATGTAGTTGGAAGCAGTCTATATCTGCCATCTACCAGGTCAGGCACCCAGAAATGTAGGAATCCCAAAACAAACTACAGCTGGTTAAAAATTACAAACTGAAAGCCAAACGAGCAAGCAGAACTGCCAATCAGAAAACAAGCAAACAAGCATGATGTCACCACAGGCACGTCTCCAGGAGGAACAGAACCAGCCGCTATGCGTATTATAAGACACGGCTGCACAGTACGTTGTGCCCCCTGCCAGTGATGATACTACTTCCTACCCAAGACCAAACAGTGGTAGGAAAATACCCCAGCGGACCCCAAGGGCGGGCTATCACCAAGCAGTAAAAGAACCCTGTGGAGACAGTTCCTGAATAGTTTGTGGAAGGGAACCCCAAACCGCAAGGGCAGTACTTCTTCTGGAAGTTCACCTGTCTCACACACTGCCACAAGGCACAGCACTGCTCAAGGATTGGAGCCAGGGTCGATCGACCCCCACCCAACACAACAGCCTCAGAACTAGGGTTGGGTAACTGGCACAGGAGGTCTGGGACCCCCTTTTAACTCCTGGGGAGGGAGGAGCTGCACAGACAGTGACATTAGCGGCTGTGATGATGTTATGCTGGTTTACTTGTTATCTGATTGGGGAGTTCTGCTTGATCGTTCGACTTTCAGTTTGCAATTTTTAACCAGCTGTAGTTTGTTTTAGGATTCTTACCTTTCTGGGGTGTCTGACCTAGTAGATGGCAGATATAGACTGCTTCCAACTACATGGGGGATATCTATAGGCCATTGCTCCTTGTGCCTCTCTGAGGGGGACCACCAGGTTCTGGCTCGTGGTCCCTGGTAGGCTTAGAACTCCATTGATTGACTGTTGCCATGGTCTTCTGTATGTACATCAGCCCGTAATAGCTCCGGCGAGCTTCCGGGTCTCACCCCGAAAATGGCTTTTCATTACATTCAACTCTTGTTTTATGGACGTTACTGGTAAGCAGTTCAGCTAGGTATATATTATATATATTATATACAGTATACTGTCTATGCTCAGTACAGTAATCTCAATTAACCTAGCTGAACTTCTTACCAGTAATGTACATTCAACTCTTGTTTTATGGACATTACTGGTAAGAAGTTCAGCTAGGTTAATTGAGATTACTGTACTGAGCATAGACAGTATACTGTATATAACTAAGGAATAACGCTTGGCACAATTTCTTAGTTTCTCAGCTGTTAATGTTAACTCTCTTTCTTGTGTTTGATCCTTGTAGTGGAAGGAGAATGAATGTGTTCACTCAGCAGCTGAACCCTATAACAGGGAAGCTTGAGTGGGGGATACAACCTGAAGACTATGACTACAAGCAGGAAGTTGCACGATCTGCATATGCTGACATGTTACACGATCAGGAGAGGGTAGGTTACCATTTATTATGTATTGCCCGAAGGCCGGTAATAACTTCCTAGTAACTTCCAGTTATTTTGTTATTGTTCCAAAATTTGACTTTGAAATTAACAGAATGGATATATTATGGTCTCTGTCTCTTGATTTTTGTGATGATATACATTACAAGAATAATTAGGTGAACATTCCAGTTTCAAAATTATAAATTTAAGGACTATTTAAAAAAAAAAATTACTTTCCCTATCTCAGGTGATGTTAATGTCAGCTCTTCAACATTCATGTAAAAATTCACAGACAGATATTTTAATATGCAATGCTGTTTGTAATACAGTATAAAGTAATCATTGATGCTTATTTTGGTACGTACCTTAGTATAATTGAAGGTATCTATATCTGTGCACTAACTTATATAAGCATTAACATTTACATTTACACATTTCCAGTACCAAATAATCTGACAAAATTTGTGGATACAATTTTAGAATGCTGCAGGATAAAGAAAAATCATTATAGTTATTCTCGCATTGTCTTAATTCTTGTAAATATTTCTTAATACTCAAGAGTACTGTAGTGATAGTGTAAATTTCTATACAACCTTTTTTATTTCTTGGTTAATTCAGTGAGTGTTTTTATATCAACAGAATGATAAATACTTTGAAGGACTACGGCGGTCAATTGCAGATCTACGAAGACGTGGGCAAGAGGTGCATGTGCTAGACATTGGCACAGGTACTGGACTGCTCTCTATGATGGCAGTTGAATGTGGGGCGGACTCTGTGACAGCTTGTGAGGTACGTTCGGCTAAAATGCTTGAATTGTGAGCTGTTGTGTTTCTTTGCAGGTCCCCACAAGAGCTTCCCAGAGCATATGGCACTGGTATTGTAGGGTCCCTTTTGGCCTTCTCAGGGTTTGTTTTAGTGTGCCATTCTTGTCCTTTGTTTCTACAACTTCATTGAGGTGTATATCCTATGGATAATACTAATATTTAAATAACCACTAATACTGATGAATAATTAATTTATAAATATGTTGTTTGAAGAGGTGCCAAGCCTGCAAGTCAGTGCTGTAGTGAGGTAGGAGTGGGTGGTGGTCTCTTCACATTAGTTCTCTGGGCACAGAGGGCTTGGAAATTCTTGGACAGGAGTTGATCTTCTGTTGTTATGTTAAAGTGCTCACAGGTAAGATCTGCACCTGATTCTTAAGTTATAAATTCCTTTCACGTGCACGAAATGTAGCAGAAGGGTTAAGAAAATGTGGTCTGTATGCACCTTCAGTACTCTTTTTGAAAGTGTTGAACAAAAGTACTGATGGTACCTTACAATTAATGGAGGTGGACAATATTTACACAAAGAAAAGTTCTAGGGGTTAAATCTAGAGTCTGATGGGCACTTGATTGTGTACGATAGAAGGTATACTGCAGAGTGGCTGTTGGAAGAATTTATAAGATGACAGTTGCGAGAGAAATACAATGGTCTCTGCAGGGGCTTGTCTGTGTGGTTCATATATTCATATTGAAAATTTGCAATAGAAAATGTGTGATCATGGTCTTAGCTTATTAGAGTTGTTCTTAACTTATTGCAGTTATGCATTCTTAGTCTGGGCCTATTGCAATTGTGGAATACTTTGTGTAGAAAAGGTAAACATAATTTAGCAAGCTTATTTTTTGAAGGATTATTATTTACATTTGAATATTGTTGGATATTAGTTATAAAATTTGTATTAATATAAAATATATTTGTATAATTTTGTCTCTGTTTACAGGCATTTCATCCCATGGCTGAGTGTGCAAAGAAAGGAATAAAAGCAAATGGATTTGCAGACAAGGTAGAGTAACAATATTTATTGATATACTAGTACTGTATATGCAGTATTTAGTACAGTAACATTAAAAACAAATATTTGCCTGTTTTAGATCATTGGATTTATATCATAGATGAGTTATACTGCTTAGTTTCTCTCTTTCTCTCTCTCTTTTGGGTAATATCCAACTCTTCCCAATAATAGTACAAGAGACATCCAAGGCCGGTCATAATTTATACCTCGGTGCAGTTGGTGTCTTTTCAAATGTCTCTGCCGGGGATGCTAAACCCCCTCTCAAAGTGTACCTCTGTTTCAAAGAGACCACTGAGCAGCCCACTGCTAATTGGTAGACGGCCTGCATGGCCACTACCAGATGTTGCCATGTACATGTTAACAGTAATGAAGATTTACCCATCTCATTTATTTTGGCTCTATTACAACACCTGTTAGTAGGCAGAGACCTTATATTTAAATTAAACAATTTGTGTTCATCCTTAGAATCATTCGTATCGTGTGTAGCGGGCTCCTGGCATTACTGAATGGTTATGCAGTTATTTGCATATCTCTTGATTATTTACCAGATGATTTTACAGAATTATATTTTCTATTCTGATCTGGTTTGTGCCTCAGCTGTGGTCGTTCTCCATTTTGAAGTTGTCCCTTGTTTTTTCTTGTCTGTGGCTTGACAGTTGGGTTAGGACAGGCTGTGAATACATATCTTGCAACCAGGTCTTCTGATTGCAGATATTCCCAGAAAGCTACACAAGGTAGGTTCTGGGACCTAGTGTAGGCTTTAGTATAGTTTTTGTGCTGCATTGTGTGGTTTACCATGATTAATTAGTACATTTCTGGGCATGATTCTGTGGGTGTAGTTTTTTTCTGGCATACTTGTTTTGTAAAAGATAGCTTGCTCCTTTTGGGGCATCTGAGCCTTGGTCTCTGTAATTTGCATGTGAAAGTGCCATCAGCCTTGGAACTTTGACATGTTGATGTTGATGGTCCCAATTCTCAGCTGTGGTAAGTTATTTGAGGAGTGTTTATAAGTTTTGGTCCCAGCGACTTGAGAGATACTAGTATTTCAGTCATATTTCAAGACTGAAACGTTCCTACTGGTTTTCTTTCCATCTCTAGGTGCCTCAGCTGCTACTATGGTAGGAAGCACCTGGCTTGCAATTGTTTTCCTATTACTGTCTGCTTCCACTATTTTCAAATGAGTAATGGCATCTTTCTCTACCCAGGGTGGGGAAGTTGGCAGTGTTGTTCGAGTGTGTTCTATTGTAGACATTAGGGGTCTGGTGTAGGAATATTTTCCTGGAGGCATTGACTGTGGAGCCAACCTGGTTTCCATTTGATCCCTTGTGGATATTAGTGACGACGTCGAGCCCCTGCACAGGGCATCGATCCCTGGGGCCCTAGGACTACGAATCCTGATCGCTGTCCACTCAGGTGTCAGGCCCTTGTCAGGACCCCTGTTGTGTGTGCTTGTCCTTGTATTTGATGTTGTGATGTGTGTGCTTGTCCTTGTATTTGATGTTGTGATGTGTGCTTGTCCTTGTATTTGATGTTGTGTTGTGTGTGCTTGTCCTTGTATTTGATGTTGTGTTGTGTGTGCTTGTCCTTGTATTTGATGTTGTGTTGTGTGTGCTTGTCCTTGTATTTGATGTTGTGTTGTCTGTGCTTGTCCTTGTATTTGATGTTGTGATGTGTGCTTGTCCTTGTATTTGATGTTGTGTTGTGTGTGCTTGTCCTTGTATTTGATGTTGTGTTGTCTGTGCTTGTCCTTGTATTTGTTGTTGTGTTGTGTGTGCTTGTCCTTGTATTTGATGTTGTGTGTGCTTGTCCTTGTATTTGATGATGTGTTGTGTGTGCTTGTCCTTGTATTTGATGTTGTGATGTGTGTGCTTGTCCTTGTATTTGATGTTGTGTTGTGTGTGCTTGTCCTTGTATTTGATGTTGTGTTGTCTGTGCTTGTCCTTGTATTTGATGTTGTGTTGTCTGTGCTTGTCCTTGTATTTGATGTTGTGTGTGCTTGTCCTTGTATTTGATGATGTGTTGTGTGTGCTTGTCCTTGTATGTGTTGTTGTGTTGTGTGTGCTTGTCCTTGTATGTGTTGTTGTGTTGTGTGTGCTTGTCCTTGTATGTGTTGTTGTGTTGTGTGTGCTTGTCCTTATATTTGATGTTGTGTTGTGTGTGCTTGTCCTTGTATTTGTTGTTTTACCCGTGTTTATTATAGTTTTGGTGGAGAAGTATCAGGATTTCCTCAATGGGTGACTCTGCTACAATGTTGCCAAGGAAGTTGGTTTTCTGGAAAAATCCATATTCAGATTTCCTCTTCGTCTCTACACCTTATTGCAGCTGACTTAATGGTTCACACCTGCGTTGTGGATGTGGTCAAGTTCCTCCAAGACAAGAGGTTTCTCCTCTTAGTTGCAAGCTGAATGGACATAACAGGAAGAATTGAGCATTTTATCGCCATCTGTGGCAACTGCAGTCTTGTTCAAAATATTTGTGCAAATTCTCTGGGATTTGACTTTGGACTTCTTTGCTATGTCTTGCTTGAAGGGTAAAATTAGGCTATATTTAAAAAAATTTAATGTTTTCATCACTCTTTGTGTTTTGAAATGGAAATGGTTGAGTTTGGAAACATTTGAACATTAACTTTACTTGAACCTTTATAAAAACAACAAAAATATGTCCTTGACAATTGCACTAAAACGTTTTTGCTGAAACCAGGTGAGCAGTGCAGTGGTTAAGCAAGTGTGGTTCTCTGAGACTCTGGTGTGCTTACTGTTTAAGCAAGTGTTGTTCCTGTGCCCTTGTCACTAGTTGGGTTGGACTCCATTGATGGGTTGGGGTTAGGATATTAGCAGACTTTTCAGAATTTGTCTTCATAGGTGTTGTTTTTGGCTGCGATCCCCCTTATTCCTAAGGGCATTCCTCAGCTGCAGGCAGCCATTTATTCCACTACCCTGCATCTATATTTGGGAAATGTTGGGTAGAGAGGTGATTGGAGTGACCCCATTCCATGCAGTTTCAGTCCCAACTCTTTCCTATGGTCATGTGAGAGACTCCTATCAGGAGGAAGATTTCTGATTTGTCAATGGTTAATGCCCACATCTCCTATTCCCTTTCAGGTGACCACTGTGCTTGAGGTTTGCCAAGTGGTTTAACATCATTCTTGGGTCATTTCCTTGGATATCCAGCATGCCTGTTGGCATTTTCCTTTGGGTCCGAGTTTCAGGGATTCGATTGGTTTAAAGGTCGATCACACCTACTACTCTCAGGCTTTTCCATTTGGGTTGAACTTTGTTCACAGAGCTTATTAAAGACTTATTGGTTCCATGGGACCCTTTTTTTTTTTTTTTTTTTTTTTTTTTTTTTTTTTTTTTTTTTTTTTTTTTTTTGAGATATATAGAAGAGTTGTTACATTCTTGTACAGCCACTAGTACGCGTAGCGTTTCGGGCAAGTCCTTAATCCTATGGTCCCTGGAATACGATCCCCTGCCGCGAAGAATCGTTTTTTCATCCAAGTACACATTTTACTGTTGCGTTAAACAGAGGCTACAGTTAAGGAATTGCGCCCAGTAAATCCTCCCCGGCCAGGATACGAACCCATGACATAGCGCTCGCGGAACGCCAGGCGAGTGTCTTACCACTACACCACGGAGACTGTAATTGATTGTGACTTACCCTTGATTGTTGGTAATCAATATCTTGTTCTATCTTTGCAACTAACTCTTTTGGACTCCCTTTTGGACTATGGTGAATATTGGCTCAGTAGATGAAGCTAGACCAGTGATTCTCAAAGTGGGTGGTACTACCCCTTTCTTGCTGTGGGTTAGTTTTCAATAGTGCAAAATTTATCACTCTACCGTCTAATTTAGAATAGCTAAAAATAATGCCATTGATTGTACAAACGTGAGTAGTGGGAGGAAGCAAAAACAGTTTGGAATGACGTGAGTTAGACTTTACAGTGTTTTCACACTCCAACTATGTGACAGTATTATTTGTAAGTTATCACTGTATGGTAAAGTCTGGCAAGAAACTGGGGCCAGATTCACGAAGCAATTACGCAATCACTTACGAACCTGTCCATCTTTTCGCATTCTTTGGCAGCTTTGTTTACAATTAATAAACAGTTAATGAGTTCTGAAGCACCAGGAAGCTGTTTATAGCAATAACAACAGTTGATTGGGAAGTTTTCATGCTTGTACACTGTTTAATAAATGTAACTAAAGCCATCAAAGATTGAGGAAAGATGTTCACGTTTGTAAGTACTTGCGTAACTGCTTCGTGAACCCGGGTCCTGGCAAGTAATGTCCTGGATGGACTTGGGCACCAGCTAATAAAAGAGTATTTTATTTTACTGACTCCATTTTTTCTAAAATCCATAAAATTTTCTCACCAACAAAACATTATTTTACATGCATTCCTTTGTAAACCACAATACTATTGTGTAATTATACACTGATGTTCTGTGTATGAGAATTCTTTTAACATGGGTTAAGGATTAGCATGATCTTTTATTTTTTTATAGGTTCATCTAGTTCCTAAACGGTCAACAGAAATTGAAGTTGGACCAGGCAAAGATATGGAAAAGCGAGCTAACTTGCTAGTCGCTGAAGTCTTTGACACAGAACTGATTGGTGAAGGAGCTATTGATACCTACCGACATGCAAGGGATGTGTTGTTAACAGTACGTAAAACATATTTTCTCGTTTTATGTCCATCTGATTTCCAGGCTTTCCTTACTTTGTAGATCTAATCAGTATGACGATTTAAAAAGTAATTATGCGTACACTTACAAAGTCTGTACCTCTTTCCTCAATCATGGCGGCTAAGTTTTCATTTATTAAAACATGAACTTCAAAGTCCTATGAGATTGTCTATAACATTAATAACCTTGGGTTTTAAATTTCTTAAACTCTCTAATAAATACAGAATCAGCCACTAAGATCAAGGAAAGATATACAGGTTTCATAAGAACATAAGAATGAAGGTAACTGCAGGAAGCCTATTGGCCCATATAAGGCACCTATTTATAACCACCCAATCTTATTCATATACAGGTAATCATGCCCTAATTTTTCAACAGATTTTGAATTAAAATTTATTTCCTTAACAGGAAGATGCACTCCTGGTTCCTTCAGAGGGCACAGTATATGCACAGGTGGTATCATCAGAGATGCTGCAAAGATGGAACCAAATCCAGCCTGTTACCAGAGTTAAACCTGGGACTACAGAGCAAGAGGTGTGTAGATGAGGAATGGTTTTCTGTCACTCTGGCGTATAATACCTGGAGAGGGTTCTGGGAGTTATACTCTTTTCCCCCAGCCCAACCTGGGGCCAAGCTTGATTTGCAATGACTTGGACCAAAGGTTATTGCATGGAGCAGCCCACAGGTTGCAATATTCACTGCAACTCAGTTGGTCCAGCACCTCTTGCAGTAACTTGCCTAATTATTTCTTGAGCATGTACACTTTTGTCTGGTGATATTACCAAGAGGAGCACGGTACACTACTTGTTACAAATTGACATACGATACTGCACTCAACTGGCTAATGCCAACAGTACTAATGCCAAATTATGTTATTTCCTGCTACTGATTAGGTGTTGGTACTTTTTGCATCATATGCTGTATTTTAATTAGTTATTCCTTAAAGGAATTCCTCTTGCTTCTCACATAACTGTTTTTCTTTGTTCAAAACTCTTCATATTGCAGATATTAGAACCTTCTTAAAAGTAAAGTTATATAATTACATACAGTATTTATAGCATTAAATTACAGGCAAACCTCATTTAACAAATACTTACACTTCAAGGATTTGCTGTAATGTATTGCATTAATTTATCCAATTACAGTGTTAATAATATAATAAATATTTGATGCAACAAGTAGTAAAAATCTACCACTGTTTGGTACATGGCAGCATATTGAGCTTGGTTGCTCAAGACGTTCTTGTTTACATCCATCCATCCCTACGACTAATGAATTGGTTTAGCTCAGGAACAAACTAATTTTAATTGAAAGAAATGATATTCGTGATGAAGGTCAGTAGGAAGAATGAGCTTGTCTTATGATGTTATATCATGTAATGACAGCTGATATATGCATCCACACAAGACAGTGGGGAAAGGGGAATCAAATGTGATGAAGATGTGTGTTCTAGCCTGAGTCTCGTATGGTAGTGTGCCTAGCCTGCCTGCTGACCTGATGTGGTGCGTACTTGCTGACCTGCCTTTACCTTGCTTGGATTTGATGGGAATGAGGAGGAGCAGGCTTTAAGCTCAAACACAATATTACAGTCCGGTTCTCACCACTCCTTTATTTATACATGTTCGTACAAAAACACACTTGATGTGCATTTCTTACGTTTACATTTTGTTTCAAAGTGGACAATTTTGAGTCGGAAATGTATAGCATCTGCTTTTAAAAAAGCAGTCAATTAGAAAATGTTTTTTGTTTGCTGGATATTTGACTACTGTATTGAACACTTTTTGAGGAATGCATTTAGTTTAAAAATTGAGGTGTCTGTCTACTGTATTATCAAAAGCAAGGTATAGTATATAATTTACTTGGGTGGATTAGATTTCATTTAGGATGTTCTTTCATGCTAAATTAATCTAGTAAAAAATAAATTCTGTGCCATGTGATGTTAAAGCAGCCCGTCCTCCTAAAGTTTCCCAGCGTCAAGAAACTCTCATTCTAAAGTCCTCTCTCCTAACCTACCAGAGGACCCAGAACAAAAAATGGGACAGTGTCATTTGTGGGAGCTGCTGGAATTTTCTAGTACAACGATTTTTGCCGTTAAGTTCAGTATACATCAAAATGTGACGTTGTATTAGGAGTACGGGTTGGCTAAAGAGTGTTGCTATATAAATTTTTTCTTCTCTGGTGAAGGTGTTGGTATCTGTGCCATCGTGTGTTGAGCAGTGCCCAGGAGCCGCAGCTGTGCACGACTTGCAGTTGTCCCAGGTGCCACAAGAATGGTTTACCCCCATGTCCCACCCGCTACCTGTGTTTTGGTTAGTTCCGGTCCATGACAACTTGTGTTGTTTTAATTTTTGTGAAATAAACAAATTATTTTGTTTATTTTGATACATTTAGTTAGTCAGTTATAATTTTGAAGTTATTGATATTGGTATGTAATTACTTTAAGGTAACGCACAATATATATAAGATGTTTATGCAGTGTATTGTCCCTTTTCTGTTGCTAGTAGAAGCATCTAGGAATAATAGATTCTGCATGAATCCTCTTCTCAAAGTAGGGAACTTCTTAGTTTCTTGAAGAGCCTCAATTTAAATTTTTTTCTATTATATACCGTTGAATTTATACAAAATATTCTTTTTTTAGCTATTTGAAATTCAGTCGCACTTCTGAATGTAAAACTTTATATTTTAATTATGTTCTTGGTACCGATCATTTGTATCACCGTGAAAATTTTTTATTTAACCGTATTAACCTAAAAAATGTATCTGTATTTGTGCTCGTAGAAGTGGTCATTTTTAAATCCGTTTGTGCAGAACTGGAGGACTTATGTAGATTATATAGTGTTTTAAATATAAATAATTATTGTAACTTTATTTGTATGTGTCATTGGTAGGTTTGACTGGAGCGGCAGACAAAAGGATATACCCTGTGACGAGACAACCCGCGTCAAGTTCAAGACTTTGGCATCAGGGAACTGTGATGCTGTGCTTATGTGGTGGGATCTAAGGATGGACCAAGATGGGGAAGTCATACTTAGCTGTGCTCCTTACTGGGCCCATCCTGACCTAGCTGGTGGGCATATTGCATTTGTGTATACTGTGTATATCTTATGTGAACTCGCCAGGGTTTTTTTTTTCGTGTTATCATTTGCATCATATACAAAGATTTTCAAGTGATGTATTACTCCTCACGTAGATCATTTATGTATATAAGCATTAGTAGGAATCATGCTGTGGCATCCCACCACTTACCATTTCCTGCTATGCCTGGCATTTCCTCTGTAGCTGTAACTCTGCTTTTTCTCTGCCAGGTACTCTATTACCTAGTCTAGTACCTCCTTAGTTTTGTTCAAGCTGTTTCTCCATTTTGTTATGAGGATGTGTCAAAGACTGATTATCTAAAATTATGCAATCCACTCTTTCTCCTGCCTCATCTTGGTGACTGGCATATAATCGAATTTAATTCGCCAGGCACAATTTGCCCTCTTGAAACTTATTCTCTGTTAAGAGGTTTGTCATCTCTAGGTATTTCACAACCCTTTAATTATATTTTGTTTAGTATTTTGCAGGTGATATACATTTTTCACTGGTATGTGATTGAGGACCTCCTGTCTATCTTAAATATTGGTTCCACTTTCACAGTTTTTCAGATGGCCAACAGTTCTTCATCTATGAATGTAACATTAGAACCTTCTAACCTTTAGTTTGAAGGTTACAGAATATTCCTGCTGCCTTTTTCATTTGCCAAGGAGACAAGTGATTTGGCCCTACATCCTTACATTTGTCAAATTTAATTGGTTAGTTTATTATTTCTTTCTTGGATACTAGCATATTACTCAATATTGCCTCTACTCGTTTTCTGTTGCCCAGAGCAGGTCTTCACTTGTTTGGTGTTGAAAACTTCCTTGAACATTGGGTTTACTGCTTACAAATTTCCTTTATTTTCTTACAAGCTGAACAGTGGTGCTGTTAGCTTGAGCTGCATGTTCTACCCTTGGCTGCTTGCTCTGTACTGAGGCCTTCACACCCAGGAACGAATGATTTTTTCTCAAAATGGCATCTGTTTACTGGGGACCTGAAAGCTAATAGGGGCCCCGTGTATCTGGGGGAGGGAGGGGCGAGTTTTACATCTTATGTGATATGTTACAGCATCCTTAGATGACTGGTACAGGTTTTCAGACGTGCCTCTGTTATTCCTGTATGACTTGCGCAGCAGAAGGGTAAATCCGTGTTGGCCTCAGTAATTTGCTGTCTCTACTTTTTCCATGCTTTATCCTCTACTGTATTTGTCTGCATTGTTGTATTATGGTTTAATCTAGCTCATCCAGTCTGCCTCTTTCCTAAGTCATACATATTTTCCAGTGGCCTCTTTGCATATTTGGACAACTTGCTCTATAATATCAACTTCGCCCGCTCGTTGATTTTACTTACAGAAGGAAGTCATTTGCCTTTCTGTATAGTGAATATTATGAATGTGTGTCTGACACTGATTTACAAAACTAGCTCTCTGTCTCTTTAGCATGGCACACGACAGAAGTGAACAAAACTCTGTTACATTACATTTCTCTGTTGAATTAATGTATAAGCACAGCCCTTTGTCACCCTAATGGAGCAGATAATTAGTTTTATATCTGACACACACATTCATTGAAATAATACCCTCTAAATTAAAGTTAATTTACATACAAATATTATCCAAATTTCAATTGTTGAAGAATATATATATATATATATTTGTTATCAAACAGAACTCTTAATAAATTATGTATTAGGTAATTATTTGTTGAAGAACATGAAATACAGCTGACATGAATGATAAATTGTGAAAAAAAAAAGTTACGAAGTACAGTACTGTACTGTATTTTCTTGTTATAATTTTGTTTTTATGTAGTTTTTTGTAACATGTTGTTTCCATTGTGATCAGATAAATGTTGGAAAGGCAGTAGTGAAGACATTCCTTGGAGAGACCATTGGATGCAGGCCGTGTATTATCTTCCCCAGTCTCGCAAGGTGTCCGAGGACACTACACTGACGCTCCTCTCTGCACATGACGAGTACAGTCTCTGGTTCAACATACAGAAGGATGAGAGGTTCGTGTTTTCAGGTAGCATGATTGGAATTAAATCATTGTACTGTTAGTACAGTATGTGTTATAGTGAGGGGGGATTATCTTGAGGTGATTTCCGGGCTTAGCATCCCCGCGGCCCGGTCCTCGACTTGACCAGGCCTCCTTTTTGTTACACACACCCCGGGAAGCAGCCCGTAGCAGCTGTCTAACTCCCAGGTACCTATTTACTGCTGGGTAACAGAAGCATCAGGGTGAATGAAACATTTTGCCCATTTGTCTCCGCCTCCACCGGGGATCAAACCCGGAACCTCAGGACTACGAATCCGAAGTGCTGTCCACCCAGCTGTCAGGTGCCTACCTTTCTAATGTGGGGTGGTACTAATGTGTAAATAAAACAGTGTGTACAGGAATCCTGTACCCATGTCAGGGGTCCTGCATGTCAGCTACTTACCTTCCTAGGATGCAACCCACAGTAGTTTCCCTAACTTCTTAGTACCTATTTACTGCTGGGTGAACAGAGGCATCAGGTGAAAGGAAATTTGCACCATTTCTGTCCCGCTTGAGGATTGAACCCAGGATCCTTGAATGTGAGTCGAGGATGTAGATCACTGTACCACCTAACAAATATAAATTAGGTATTTTATTTTTTGTACTAGCTATAATTGGTAAGTACACTATTGACAGAAAGATGCTTGTAGATGAAGAATTAAAAGTCAATCCATATGCATTTTGAAAAGCATATTTTGGGCTTATTATGTTCTATGTATACCCATTTCATTGTTTATTTGTGTGAGCTCAATATGTCATTTCGTTACATTCTACATTAAAGTGAATTTTAGATTAAATTTGCGTATTTCCTTAGGTATCTCATTCAATTACTCCCTATGGCAAAATCCAATTGATATCCTTATGATATTACAGGATATATGTCATATCAGCACAGTGGTGATCTGTGCTGATATTTGTCTAACCTTTCCTTTTTGAGGCTAACCTTTCTTAACCTTGAAAAAGAAAAAGTTTCCTTTTTTCAAACTGTCTCTGCCGGGGGTCACTCTGGTGCTTGAGAGAGACTGGAGAACACACTATCCCGCTGAGAATGTGGTCAGAAATGCACAATGAAATTTCAGGAACGTGATGCAACTACGAGAAAATGTTAAAGTTCTGGGAAGTTCAGGTATTTTTGCAGAAATGCTCATTATGTAAAGTTGAAAGCTTCTGCAGGTACACCTTGGCATCAAAGATACCTCCAAGCCATGTCCTTGCTAATTACTGATCAGTCCACACGGTCACTACCCCTCAGTTGCCACATGGTGGCAGCACAATAAATCCATATTGTGTAATCATCTTGACATTCCATCTTGCACCTTGACTAGACTCGACTGCAAGATGTGTGGGCATGCGACACCCATATTCTTCTACAAATAAATTGTATTATTGTTAGTTTAAACACTGTTCAAATTGCCAAATCTGAATATGAAACTGATCCAAGAGTCATGAGTAGAAGGAATCTGAGGCCAAAATATATATGCATAAATGTTTTAAATAAAGCAAGTGAGATACTGGGATTCATATGTAATGTTATTTGTCAGGTTTATTTTGTCCTTGTTTTACAATTGGCTTTATTCTTGACACACAATTGGGGATCCCGGGTTTGATTCTCCAGCTGGACAGAAATGGTTGAGCACGTTTCCTTTCACCTAATGGCGCTGTTCACCGAGCAGTAAATAAATAGATACCTGGGAGTTAGGTAACTGTTGTGGGGGTTGTGTCCTGGGAGAGGTCAGTACTGTTGTTCTACCTTGGGGTGGTTATTAATAAAAGTCTAAAAGTACTGTGTATATATATTCAGTATATATATGTTGTACCTAATAGCCAGAATGCACTACTTGGCCATCTATGCAAGGCCAGATTTACCTAATGAGCCGAGTTTTCCTGAAGTTATATATTTTTATAAAAAAGCACTTACGAAATGATAAAGCTTTCCATTACATTTTATATATGATTTCCTTTTTTAATTTGAGTTCAAACTAACATAGAAAAATTACCAAACCTAACCCATCCTATCTTAACCTAACCTAAACTAACATAACTATGTCAGTAATTCATGTTCTTAATATAATATAGTAATATTAATTCAAATAAACCAATTGTAATTTTTTTTTAAATAACAAAAATCACTCGGCCTATTAGGCAAATTGGGCTTTGCATACTAAGCCAAGTACTGCATTCTGGCTATTAGGTACAACTTATACAAATATATATATATATATATATATATATATATATATATATATATATATATATATATATATATATATATATATATATATATATATATATATATATATATATATATATATATATATATATATATATATATATATATATATATATATATAATATATATATAATATATATATAATATATATATAATATATATATATATATATATATAATATATATATAATATATATATATATATATATATATATATATATATATATATATAATATATATATATATATATATATATATATATATATATATATATATATATATATATATATGTCGTACCTAATAGCCAGAACGCACTTCTCAGCCTACTATTCAAGGCCCGATTTGCCTAATAAGCCAAGTTTTCATGAATTAATGTTTTTTCGTCTACCTAACCTACCTAACCTAACCTAACCTTGCTTTTTTTGGCTACCTAACCTAACCTTACCTATAAATATAGGTTAGGTTAGGTTAGGTAGGGTTGGTTAGGTTCGGTCATATATCTACGTTAATTTTAACTCCAATAAAAAAAAGTTGACCTCATACATAGAGAAAAGGGTTGGTTTATCATTTCATAAGAAAAAAATTATAGTAAATATATAAATTCAGGAAAACTTGGCTTATTAGGCAAATCGGGCCTTGAATAGTAGGCTGAGAAGTGAGTTCTGGCTACTAGGTACGACATATATATATATATATATATATTGTGACGATAATCTCCTTCAAGAGATTGAGCCTGCTCTTCCCTCCAAAATTACGTCTTCACAATTATATAAAAAGACTATGGAAGAAATGTCCAACAACGACAACAACACCAGCACCAGCAAGGCTTGCCAGGGTGAGCAGAAACGTATGCATCCAGCCACCTGTTCGAACTCCAACCACCAAACTACCCGTTGATCGCTACGGCTCCGCTGATTGGTCGCCGGTCTGGCTGCACCTGCCTCGCCCCCCCCCAATACTACCTGATGTCTGGGGTCGCCCCAACATCAGTCCTCAGAATGTTCCGTGCTTTCGTAGCCAGCACTCCTCCCAGCTAGACGTTAGCGTGTACTGAGAGAGGTGGTGGCTTTAAGCCAATATTCCAGCACCTCCCACTTACCTTTTGTTGCACTTCTTGTTATTTTGCCTTAACGTAACTTTTCATTGTGTCATTTAAGTATTCTTATTATTTTGATTGATTTTATTATACATATTTGTTTGTGCATTATTTTCATGTTTTGATTTATTTAACGTAATTAAAATTTCATTGTTAAAGTTTTACTTGTGTTTTGTGTGTCTTCTCCTTACCTTACCACAGACGAAGTTCCAGTTTTTCTATTTTTTTTTATAACTATGTGACGAGGCCATACCCCTAGCCTTAAACAGCCGAACACCAACGCGTTACCGTCACAAGTTATATGGGGGCCTGTCCTAGGAGCCTCACTCAGGTACTGGTGCCAAGTGGTAATTTATGGTAAGCGTATTTAACTTTGTTAACGTAGCTTTACTATTTTTCATTCAATTTCATTTTTTATAAGGTGCGGTGTATTGTGCATTACGAGAGTAACATATAGTGAAGGTGAGACAACTTTGGATTACGTGGTGACTGTAGGCCTCAGTCATACTCTTAATTGGTCATCTCTCCCTCCATGTTATTACTCGTATTTACCATCTATGTCCCTTGAATATTTCTCATTCTGACAGATCATCATATTGGTACCCTGGTACTGTGGTCTGCCCCGGGTCAAGAGTACCCAATCTTCTGCAATCTGACTGTAGGAGGACAAAGAGGGCCATAGTTCCTCTAGCTCGAACTTTAGTTGCTGAATTGGGACCTCAGCAGCAGTTCTCGTCACAAGTTGACACCTCGCACCCCTACACGTCAGTCAGAGATGATGATACATACAACGGTAGGGAATTAGCTTATTTTTTCAGAGCACAAAAATTCGCTAATTCTGTAAGTATCATATTAAATTCAGTAGGAAAAACTTGCTTTATGTCCTATAGAGACTTGGCAAGGTATGCCTACATCCTTGGACTACCAATTTTACTTTTGAAGCATTTAACTGTTTCATTTGTTTTCGAAACTTTGTTTCATTTGTTAGTAGGATTTTCTTGCCCTTATTCTCTTACATGAGTACTGGGTACAAGATTTCCTGCGCCCTTGATTTAATTTAATCATTTAATATCTTTCACTTAACGTTAATTGTTAAAGATCACACAGGATAGGTGCCAGTTGCCACGTTGTCCTGTTTCTGACATTTCATTATTGAACATTCGTGTACCTTTATTTGCTAATTTCACCATGTTTCGTCTCCAAACTTTCCGTGCAAATCCAGCAGGTGAAATAGGGACTTTGAGTCGTGCCAAGAGGACTGAACTACAAACTCTTGCACATGAGTATCAACTAGAAGTTCCCTACCAAGCCAACAAAAATGACCTACACAACCTGTTGCTGGATTACTATTTAGAGCAAGGTAAGATAGACTCTGAAACTCATGAAACTTACTATATTGCAGATAAAACTGATTTGGCAACGCTGAAACTCAAACTAGAGCTGGCCAAGATTGAACGTGAGCAGCAAAGAGAAGCAGCTGCCATACGAAGAGAAGAACACGAACGTGGACTCGCCCTCCAGGAACGTGAGGTTGCACTACTCCAGGAGCGGGAACGAGTACAGCTTGAAACCCTCCAGGAGCGGGAACGAGTACAGCTTGAAACCAAACGACGCGAGTTGGAGATGCAACGCGAACATGACAAGCAACA